GGGAGGGCAGACGGGTATGAATGCAGTGGCGCTTTGGGCGGGCGGCTACTTTTCGAGATGCTCCGCTTGCTGCATTCGAGTCTGAGTCGATTCGAGGTCGAAGGCCAGCCGACGGCATCCATAAACGGCCTGGCTCGGGCAGCGAGCGGCTGTTCCTTGCGCATCCACTCTCTCCCCCGAGCGCACAAGTGCATTGCCGCGCACGATCCCCACCCAGAAACAGCGCCAGATGCGAACCGCAGCGGGATGAGCACATGAAAAAAAAATGCCGGATCGAAGCTCGTCTTTTTCGGCGGATTAGTTTGCATCCGAGCGCGCACATGACGCAGCGTCCCTTGCCATTCCCCCCGGTCACTTCACTGGAGTTGCGAGACAAGGGGGAGGGAGCGGCTCGGCAGTCGACTGAACCCCACCCAACTACCGACCCTGCTGGAGCATCTCAGAGCTGCGATGCAATCGATCAGGGATAGCGCCGGGGGGGAGAGTTGTTGCGCATCGCGGCGCGGCCAAATTGCAAATTCAAACGGCGGGTCCCCTGGCTTGCATTGTGCCTGCGCTTCGCAAAGGCGACCGTCTGCGGGCTTTCATGCACCACCGCCGCCCCCGCACATACGCGGGCCTGGCTGCCCATTACGTAGCTCCTCCATCCCTATCGGCTAAGTGCAGTGCCGCTCGATCTCGCTCTCTAGAAGGTGCGAGGCGCAGATTCACGCCCGTCGGCTTGGCTTTTCCGATCCGCCATGCTCACTTGCACTGCCGGACTCCGCTTCGCACTGTCTCGGCATGACGGCCATCACTGCCTTTCCCGCCGGAGAAGCTAGGCCGTCGCTGCGGCTCCACTACCGCCCCTCCGCCCCCTTGTCGCATCCTATCATTCGCGCTAGGCAGGAAGAACGTGTTCACAGCGGCGAAACTGTGTTGGTCGGCACAGTGTACGGGCAAGCATTCATTTTGCGCAGGAGATGCGACATGTGCATTTGCAATAGACGCGTTCTGATTGGCTCGTTCCCCCGCCCGGCTCGTGTCGCCGCTGACACTGCCTACACCCAGAATCGCCCTCCCTCACCCAAGCATCCCGAGATGACCGGAATCATGCACTTTGCACACGCTGCGCACGTTTTGCTTTCGTCTGAACATTTGACATTGCATTGCGCGGGCGCTACACAGCATTGGGCGGCTTCCAGTTGAGCCGTCTGCCCGCCTCGTAGATATCCTCCAGCACGTCTTCGAGCCGATGGGACGAGTTGAACACCTCGTACATGCGGAACAGCTTCAACGCCGCCAGCGCATCCTCGATACTGTCGTGTCCGCCCTCCACCGCTGTACTTCCCGCCCCCGCTGCTGAACTAGCCACACTCTCCACCGTCGACTTTGCGGGCGAATCCTGCTGCGACGCCTGCGAGAGTCGCCCAGCGACCTGATTGTTCGCATTGTACCCTGACTGGATGTCGATCTTGAGCAGGAACCAGCTGAGGAAGCGCAGACTGAGTCGTCGAGGATGGTTGGGACTGTGGAACAGATCCACCGTGTCGATCACCTGGCTGGGGGGTACAAAGATGTTGATGATGCGGAAGTCCTTCTTGAGCCCGTGGCCGATAAAGATGCAGCCGCAGTCGACGAGCAGTCGCAGCTTCTTGTACGCCGACTTGTGCGGCACCACCGTATGCGACGAGGTGCTCGGATCCAAGTCGCCCGGTAGGATCCCCGAGAATTTGGTGAGGTAGTCCACCACGTCTTCGTGCGTGTGGATGTGGTCGTCGATGAACGCCTCGCCCTCCTTGGGTCCCTGTCCACGAACCACCGAGACTCGCGCCAGCGACAGCCGCGTCGGCCGAATCACCGACCGCGTTCCATCCGACCGAATCTCCAGCTCCTCCTGATTCAGCGCTACGAACTCGGCATCAATCGCCACCAACGTGCCCGGCTTCGGCAACTCGTCCTGCGCAAGCACACTGTGCCTGATCCGAGCTGGATCGCGATGCAGCGCAATGTTGTAGTCGCGACACAGAATCGTCGGATCAATCGACGTACGTCCCTGCCGCAGCTCGTCCACCGAGAGTGCGGGCATGTCTTCGCGCTCCCACATGAGCACCGAAGGCATCTTCCACGCATTCTGGAATCCCAGCGCCTCGGCCTCGGGCACATTGCGCACCAAAAAGTCGTTGAACAGGTACCACGGTCCCACCTGACCCTTCTGCCGCACCTTCTTCACACCCGCTGCACCCGCATTCGCCAGGCGCGGCGTCACGGCATCGCCACATTCGGCCTCGGGCACGCGCACCAGCGCACACAGATGCGGCTGCTCCTTGTCCGCCGAGATCTGCACCACCATCGAGCGCAGCCGGTACACCGCATAGCTGCCCAACCTCGGCTTGGCGCGCTCCAGATCCGCAGGCGTGTAGATCGGCACCACGCGCACATCGTCGCCCTGCACGCCGATCGCGACGCGCGGAGGCAGGTACGTGCGTCTCTCCTCGTCCTGCCCACCACCGCCGTCGCTTCTCGCTTCCGGCCCCGCATTGGGTGCACGCCGGCCGAAGGGCTGCTTTCCAAACGGCTGATGCGGCATTGCGCCGTGCCTTGCGTGCGGGGCCGGCTTGGGAGCACCCTGGCTGTCGTTCAACCAGTAGTGCAGATGCTCGGGAGCCTGGATGGCCGCATTGACCGACAGCACGCGTGGCAGCTCTGCCGCAGGGGGCATGACGCGGCGCGTGCGGAACATGGCGGTGAACTGGCATGCGCGGCAGGGCGCACGGCTCTGCATCTCGCGCACCAGCGACGCACGCAGCACCGACGCAAAGTCGGCGGGCGCAGGCGCCTCGTTCGACATCGGCCGGCGCGGATACACCAGGTCGACGCTCAGCGCCGCACTCGCACGGCTCGACTCGCGCCCGCAGTGGATGCACGCCGTCTTGGTCTGCGCATTGAGCGCAAACAGCTTGGCCACAGGCGAGCTCGCTGCCGACACGCTGTCGGTCTGGCTGCCCGACGTCGGCGACGCAGGCTCCGCCGTTGCCTGACGCCCTCCAGCAGTACCGCCACGGTTGCTGCTCATGGGTGGACCTAAGCCCGGTGGCGGCCCACGTGCTCCGGTCGCTGCTGCACCCCCCGCAGCCGCAGTGCTGGCCACCGACTGTGCCTCTGCCGAGGTGCAGTCGAGAACGAAGCGGTTGAGCGTCTGGACGAGCTGGCTGTAGACGATCTCGTTCTTGCCGGCGCTGCTGCCTCCCGAGACGTTAGTCACGCTGTCTTCGCGATCCATGAGCCCGAGGCTGGCCGCCTTGTGGCTGTTTCCGAACGCGCGCAAAAAGTTGGACGCCTGGCAATTGGCGCCGCGTGCGTCCTCGAGCATGCGGAAGAGGAAGCCCGCCTCGCAGAGCAGGCAGTTGTCGCGTGCGCAGTCGTGCAGGATGTGCGCCTTGGCCATCTCGCGGAACGGCGGCAGATAGTGGAGCGCCTGGAGGTACGAGTTGGCGTACGAGTTTTGGATGTGCGTCTCGAGACCGCTGTAGGGCGTCTTGTTGTAAAAGTCGAAGTCGAAATCCTCGACGCCGAAGCGCGAGTACTGGATCGTCTTGAGACGGTAGTACGACGGCATCTGGCCCTTGGCGAGCATCGCCTCGGCCGTTTCAAAGTCCTCCTGGCCTTGCTCTTCATCGGAAGCGTCCGAGTCGTCCGAATCGTCGTCCGAGTCGTGCTCCTTGTCCGAGGCTGCAGCGGCATCTTTGGAGGGCTCGCCGGATTCGGCGGTAGGACTGGTTTGCCTGGTAGCCATCTTGGAGTCGGTGGTGGTGGCGCGCGATGATGCTGGAGCCGTGTCCGAGGCCTGCTTGCGCTCCACGCGCGAATCGGCGGATGCGGAGAGGCTGTCTGAGCCTGCCTCTGCGCGCTTCTTGTCTGCCTTCTTCTTCTTCTTGTCTGCAGCGCTGACGCCGGCAGCGGCAGCGGCGGCGGCCTTCTTGCTCTGTTCCTTCTCCTTTTCGCTGCGAAAGAGCGGGATGCCGATCTTCTTGCGGTCCTCGGGACGATGGAGCGCGCTGGCACGGATCCCGCCGGGGCCCTTGCCCGTGACGACGTTGCGCTGCCCGCGCAGATGGGGCGGGAGGCTGGCGTAGCCGAGATAGTCGACGGTCTTGAGGTTGTTGAGCACGGCGGGGTCGATCTTGGAGGGCGGGTTGAAGAGGGGCGAGGCTTCGGAGACGTAGTCGTCGTGGTCAAAGTAGGAGAGAAGCTTGTCGTTGTAGTGGGGCATGCCGATGGACGAGAGCGGAGTCTCTGTGGACCAGTTGACAAAGGGCGTGGGTTCTGCCATGTCGGGGAAGTCGAGTGCGGAGGAGTTGAAGGTGTTGAAGCGGAGGTTGGAGGTGTCGGAGGAGCTGCTCCAGAGACGCACGCTGCCGTCTGCCTCGCCAAAGGCGATGTAGTCTGCGGAGGGGGACACGGCGAGCGAGGTGGTGAAGGAGGAGGCGTTGGTGTAGAAGAAGCGGCCTTCTCCGGGGGTGGCGATGTCGACGATCTGGAACTGACCCTGGGGCGCCGAGACGATGATGGTGGAGGACAGCTTGGGGTGGATGGCGAGCAGCGAGGGACCGCCGGGAGCGGCAAAGGGGATGGGCACGAGGGCGCGCATGGAGCGGAGGTCGTGTACGCGGATGAAGGGCTCTGGGACCGGATGGCCCTGACGGACGGTCCAGCCGACCGAATAGAGGATGTTGCCGTCTGCCTGGACATCGACGAGACCGCCCGGATGAGCGTGGAGGCGATGTTCGACCTTGAGCGTGCGCGGGTCGCGGAGCTGGATGTGGCCGGTGACGGTGCCTGCGCAGATGTAGCGGCCGCTCTTGCGAACATGCACGATGGGCGCTTCGGAAGGCACGGAGCGGAGGAGGGCGCCTGTGCTGTTGTTGACGGTGAGGATGAGGTCGTTGTCGTTGTCGATTTCGCCGGTGCTGGCGGCGGACTGGGAGAGGCCGGCGGCGACGAGGTCGGAAGATGCGGCGAGGGGCGAAGCGCACATGGAGACGAGATTCATGCTGTCGGTGCCAAAGTCGTGGGTGAGCGTGGACCACTTTGCCAAGCCACGACGCTGTGCAGCCTTGATGCCATTGTCGCCGACGGAAAAGATGTGACGCTCGTCTGCAAGGATGCCCTTGGTGGGCGAAGGATGCGTGGGCAGACCATGTGCGATGTAGGAGGTGTATCGGGAGAGCTGAGAGGAGTAGAGGGATGAGACGGTGCCAAAGGAGGTGCCCTGCCAAAGGAGCTCGGAGTAGGGATCAAAGCTGAGCGCGGTGACGGCGGGTGGGATGCCGACGGGCCCGGTAGGGTTGCCGTAGTGGGCATGTTCGCTCCACTCGGCCATGGCGGGCGGTAGTATGGGGTCAGAGAAAAGAAGCGAGTGGGTGCGATGCGGGCATGACGCTGTTGCACGCTGAGCAGCCGCAAGCACGCAGGATGAGGATGAGGATGGTGATGGTGTGCTGCTGTCGAAGGCCACCACGAGACGCGAGAGGTGAATGAGTGCTCGGACGGCGCGACGTAGGCGAAAATGACTTGCTGTGACATACGACGGTGTAACATTTGCTGGTCAAAAAATATCTCCACGTGTGCTCTTGCGCTGTAAATCCATTCGGTTGGGTCCCCGTCACTCTTCCCTCTCCACATAGCAACACACGTCGAGGCGCGTGTCTGTGCGTCAGATGGCCGACCACAGCTTGGAGGAGGAGCGTGAAGAAAAGCGAAAAAGGCACAGTCACCGCTGCAACCAAACGCGTCACAGACAGAGGAGAAGAAGGCAGAAAATCGACGCATTCCTCTGCATTTTTGGCAGAAAAGAAAAGGAAAAAAGCACACACGCAACGCAACGCAACGTCGATGGATCCGTGCATTTCCTGCTGCATTTCCATCCTCGTTTGCTCGCTCGCTCGCCATCCATCTCGACTTGCATCCAACTTCTTGTCCACTCTCTACTCTCACACATGCCTGGCACCATCCCGGCCATCACCGATCCTGCCCTTGTCGACGCCACACACACCCACACCGACGTCTCGCGCGCAACCGTCTCGCCGCTCCTCGCCTCGGACCCGCACGTCGCCGCCGCTTCCAACGATCACGACGACCCGCAGCCTCCGTCGCTCGTCACGCCGTCGCCGCTCTCGCATCCCACCTCGGGCGTCGCTTCCAAAGGCGCTGCACAGCTCACATCCACCTCGTCCCTCTCATCCGCCCTTGCGCCCTCCAACCTCCAGGCCAACATGACCAAGCAACTCTCCTCGCCCGCATCCACCGCCGGTGGCGTGCGCAAACGCAAGTCCAACGCCAAATCCTCCGCCGTCGCTGGTGGCGACAAGGATGACGTGTCGAGCGAGCTGCTCAAGTTTGTCGAGACCGACGGCCACTTTTCGCTCGTGCGCAACTTCCATCTCGCCGACGCGTTTACGCTGATGAACGCCTTTTGCGGCGCCCAGTCGCTCTTCGCCTCGGCGCGCTACCTGATCACCTCGGACCCCAAGCACGCATGGCTCGCGCTGTGGTTCCCGCTGTTCGGAGCCATCTTTGATCTGCTCGACGGCAAGGTGGCGCGATGGCGCAAGTCGTCGTCCATGCTCGGACAGGAACTCGACAGTCTCGCCGACTCGCTCAGCTTTGGTGCCGCACCGGCCTTTGCCGCGTATGCGCTCGGCCTGCGCGGTGGGCTGGACAGCTTCATCCTCACGCTGTTCGTGTGTGCCGGCGTTGCCAGACTCGCCAGATTCAACGTGACCGCCGCCACGATTCCGCACGATGCCTCGGGTAAGGCGCGCTACTTTGAGGGCCTGCCGATCCCGTCGTCGCTCGTGCTCGTGGGTGGCATGGCTGTGTGCCTGCTCACGGGCCGCATCGAGCCTGGAGGACTGCCCATCGCACTCGCAAAGGAGCGCGGCTACATCTCCAGCAAGGGTCTGACGTTCACTGGCTCGCTCCGCGAATACCTCCCCGACAGCTTCAGCGGCCGAGGCGTTCCGCTCGGCACTTTTACCATCGACTTTTCCAGCGCTGCCGCCAAGGCCTTCCAGCTCATCCCCGGATTCACCGCCAAGGATGCAGTCGAGACCGCACAGGCTGTGGCCAGGATTCAGGGTCACTGGATTGCCTTCCTCTGGCTCGCATGGGCAACCGCAATGGTCAGCAAGACCCTCCGCGTCCCCAAACCCTAATCCTTCCTCCCTTCCACTCGTCTCCCGACAACGATGGGGTGAGCTCCGAAGGGGCTTCGCCTCTGAAAAACCAAAACAGAAATCAATCTAGAAAATGCAATTGGGCTCGAGTGGCGTGGTTGGGTATCATAAGCTAAGGCTGGGTTGTGGGTGGTGGGGCCAGGGCAGCTAAGCGTGCAGCTATGGCAGCGGCGTTTTGACGTGCGTCTACATCGGATGTTTGGAGTGAAGGCGGCGGACGTGGTGGAGGGCCAGGAGCGGGTGGTTGGGACATGGCCATCCTGCGTTGGTACGCCTCTTGGCCTGTTCTTGCGCTCATTGCAACTCTGCGCGCATACGCCTCTTCTCCCGTCATCGCACCCTGGTTCCACGAAGATTCAGAGTGGGGCTGATCCTGTTGGTCGTCGTATTCTTGCCAGTTTGGCTGGTCGTATTCTTGCTGCCACTTTTGCTGGTCGAGTTGCGCACAGCGTCGATCGTACACCACCTGCTTGTACGCAAGGTAGTCGTTGGGAACACGCGGATCGTATTCGCCGTTCAGACTCGGTCCCACGGGCGACATCCCTCGCTTGCGCTTCTTCTACATTGTCCGTCAGCAACAGTCCATCCGCAGCCAATGTTGTGCATGCTTACCTTCTTTCGAGCGCGTTTGCCCGCATTTGTGGCAAAGAAGCCATTGACATCGTCATCGGCCTCGGCTTCGTCCCAATCGTCGCCGCGTTCAGGGTATCGAGCGAGTGCTTTGTCGCGTTCCAGCTCTTCGGGCGCAAGCACGTACGGCGGCGCTGAGTCCACACGGTACTTGTCCAGCTCGGCTGCAAGCCATCCATCGTCTGCGCTCTGCGGCAGTGCAAGCGCCGTCAGCTTGAGGTCCGAAGTCCCTATCGCGCGTTCGGCCTTCCCCTGCTCCACTTTCACTACCCCCGCAATTGAGGGCTCGGTGGGTTGGGCCGCTTGTAACGACGTCGTCCCCGCAGCATCGGACGTGTGCTGTGGAGGCGATGGCACGAGGATGGCTTTGCTGGACTGTTCAGGCTTGTCGCTCGGAGGTACAGGTGCGAACGACGCAACAAAGGCGGCGTTGGGGCGCGACTTGGGCTTGGCCCCACCCGTGCGTCGCGGCGCAAAGCGCAGTGAGGCCGACCAGCCTGCATTGCCTGCCGATTGCCGGCCACATCACAAAGGAGTCAAAGTGCAGCGTCAGTGAGCACCGTTGTTCCACGCAATGGCCGTGCGAATCTCTGCTCGCACGTCCTCCTCCATCAGCTTGCGTTACGCGCAACTGCCGAGTGCGCAAGAAGAAGTACCTGAAGGCTTGGACGACGAGCCGGCTGCCGAGTCGCCTGTAGCTGAGGCTTCTTGGCCGGACTTGGATGAGGCGATGTCTTGCTGTGGCACGTCGCTGGGCGCGTCGTCAAAGATGCCCGCGTACAGCGAGGCGCCTCGAAAAGCCTGGTTTGCGGCGGACATGGTCAGGCACAGCAAGAGCCCTTACGGTAGCCCATGGGGACGATCGAGGTGAGGATGTCTGGGCAAGGATGAACCAGGGTCCTTGGCTTTGCTTTTTTGGAGCCGGGACCCGGAAGTCGACGTCCGACTTCTCGCACGCGCCAATCCTAGCCTCAACCGCCCCCACCCAACCACCATCCCTTCACGCCCCCACGCTCGCTTCGAACCGACGCAGCGTTCGCATCGCTGCTTTTGCGACGGTGCACTGCTACCATGGCGTCCTCTTCCGGGTCCAAAGAGCCCACAACCGCATCGCTGCTGCTCTCGACGCTCGGCGCCTACTCGGATCTCGCCAAGCACCTCTTTGCATCCATCGAGAATGCGTCGCAGCAAAAGACGCGGACGATCACCGACACTGCGGCCGACAAGTCGTGGAAGCTGCGCGGTGTTTCGGACGTGCTTGCAGCGTTGCGCGAGGTGGACGAGCTGCTGGCACAGCGCATCCAGCTCGCGCACGTGCACGCCGCCAACCAGGCGACCATCGAGCAGCTGCAAGCCAAGGCGAGGCGGCGAGACCGCGACACACGCCACGCCATCCTCGAGCTGAGCAACATCAACGCCGAGCTCGCCGAGATCACACGGCTGTCCGAGGACGAGCTGGCATCGATCGCGCGCGCGGCCGATCGACCTGTGGGCCACGCCACCCTGCTCACATATGCCCAGAGACTAGCCAAGTACACCTCGGCACCACCAGGATACAAGCTGCCTCAAGTCGCATCGACATCGACGACAGTGAAATCAGAGCCAACAAAGGCCGAACAGGCTGGCGCCGAAGACGGAGATGCGCAGGCAGAGGAGATTGCGCTAGGACCCGACTACAATCAGTACGCCAAAAAGGCAGCGGCTTACTACGATCCGGCCATACCATCCATGCCGCAAGAGATGCCGTTCCCTTCGGACGCCATGATGCGACAGGGCATCCTCAACAGTGCCGACATGCTCGCCGGCGCTCCCATGGCCGAACAGCCCGCCGAGGACATCGCCATGGACGAACACGACGAGCTGCCCGTGGCTGACTTTGCCGCTTCCTACTCGCACCTCCGCGAACAGCAGCACAAACAGGACGAGGACGAAGACGCCTTCGACCTCGACCTCAATTAACGTGGCAAATCTGCCCGTCTTGGTTGGGCGTGCTGTCCATAAGCTGGTCAATGCGGGGCCGCGCCAGGCATTCGACCTCCATTTGCTAGCCTGTCCGCCCAATACCGCTGTCAACGTCTCTTCCTTTGTCGCACTTGTACTTGTATCCGCTATTGCATTTGTATCCTTCGCATCGTCTCATCAATTGTGTGGCGTGTATCATCGGGTGAAGGCGAACATGCACGACCGGCAAGCTTCGGGAAATTATGGCTTTTGTTAGGCTTTGTCTAATTGACAAACTCTGGGATGCCCACTCGTGCGAAAAGAAGGCTGTGCCCCAGCACGTGACTTTGGATTCGATTTTCGTAGTTTTGGACCGGGGTGCCCAATCCTCGATGAGGCACTTGAGCAGTGTTTGTCGAGCCCCGTACACGCAGAGACTGCTCAGCAGTGAAGAAATTTGACGGCGCAGCGAGGGAGATGCAAGTCGCAGGCTGAGCGACCTCAAAGACGTCGGCGCCAGCGGCCACTCCTTCCTTCCTCTCCTCACGGTTCATAGCAGTAAGTATACTGATCACTAGGTCGCATCGACCGTCCATCCTGCCAATTCATCTCCACATGGCACACAGTCGTCTGTCCACGCCAGCAGCAGGCGGATGACAGTCATATGCGGAACATTGGGACAGCCAGCTGACCTCGTACCTCTTTTGCAACGCCTTCTCCACCACAGAGGACACCACTTATACTGGTTAGCACAACCGTGATCAAGATGCAGATCTTTGTCAAGACCCTTACGGGTAAGACCATCACCCTTGAGGTGGAGTCTTCGGACACCATCGACAACGTCAAGGCCAAGATCCAGGACAAGGAGGGCATCCCCCCTGACCAGCAGCGCCTTATCTTCGCCGGTAAGCAGCTCGAGGACGGCCGCACGCTTTCGGACTACAACATCCAGAAGGAGTCGACCCTCCACCTCGTGCTCCGCCTGCGTGGTGGTGCCAAGAAGCGCAAGAAGAAGGTGTACACCACCCCCAAGCGCATCCCGCACAAGCGCAAGAAGGTCAAGATGTCCATCCTCAAGTACTACAAGGTGGAMGGCGACGGCAACATCAAGCGCCTGCGTCGCGAGTGCCCCTCGCCCGAGTGCGGCGCCGGCATCTTCATGTCGTGGCACAAGAACCGCCAGTACTGCGGCAAGTGCAAGCTCACCTTCATGTTCGAGGAGGGCACCAAGCCCCCCACCGCCTAAACGCGGCCTCCAACACTCACCCCTTGCCATGTTTTAGGCCAATAGCGACGCTCCAACGCCGTTTCTCGATCGTCCCACCCTCGCCATGACGCATCGAGTCCGCCTCATGCAGCCATGGCGTATCGGAAATGCTCAAGTGTCGTTCTGCATGGTTCATCCTCGCGTGTGTGTAAGAAGTTTCCTGGAGATGATACAAGTACAGAGAGATGGAGAGACGGATGCCGGATCGAATGCGAGATGAGACTTAGTATCCGCCGTCGTCGGCTCTTGAGAATTGGGCGGTTTGTCTGCGCTGGTTGTCCTCGAGTTTTGGGCAGTCTCGGATGGAGTGACCGAGGCCGCCGCAAACGGGGCAGCTGGACAATTTCCCGCCCGCTGCCGCTAATCTTGGATCGTCGATAGCAGCCAAGAAGGGAGGAATCCGTTGCTTGGCCTCCATGAGCAGATACTTGAGATCGAGTAGCGTCTGTTCCTGGGTATTGGCGTTGACAAAGGTGGTGGCGATACCGGTTTTGCCACTGCGACCCGTGCGGCCGATCTGGTGCACGTAGTCTTCGATCTCCTTGGGCATGGTGTAGTTGATCACATGCTGGATCTCGTTAAAGTCCAGACCCTTTGATGCCACCCCGGAAGCGACCATGACGTCCTTCTGACCCGACTTGAACGCTCGAATCGCATACTCTCGTTCGTCTTGCGTCTTGCTTCCGTGAATCGCTACCGCTTCAACCCCCTTAAGCAGCAGGTACTCTTGGATATCGTCCACTTCGTTCTTGTTGTCGCTGAAGATGATCACCGGCGGCGCGGTTTTTTGTAGACACTCCAACAGGTACACCATCTTGGCCTCCTGCTTGACGTACTCCACCTCCTGAATGATGTCCAGCGATGCCGCACCTGCACGACCGACGTTGATGATGACCGGTCGGATCAGAGACTGCTCTGCAAAGTCCTGGATCTTCTTGGGCATCGTAGCCGAAAACAGCAGCGTCTGTCGCTGCTGCTTGAAGAAGCCCATGATGTTGCGCACGTCGTCCTCGAATCCCATGTCGATCATCCGATCCGCCTCGTCCAGACACAGATACTTGCACCCATCCAGCGCGAACTTCTTCTTCTCCAGCATGTCCTGCAGCCTGCCCGGCGTGGCGACGACGATGTGGAAGCCCTTGGACATGGTGTGCTGCTGCTCGGCCATGCTGATGCCGCCGATGCAGAGGAGCACGCCGATCTGCGGGTATCCGCCCTGCACAAGCGCATCGGCAATGCCCTTGATCGACTCGAACGTCTGGCGCGCCAGCTCGCGCGACGGACACACGATCATACCCACCGGCCCCTCGCCGCGCGTGAAGGCCAGCCGCTTCTCCTCCTCGCACGCCAGCATGATGATCGGCAGCGAAAACGCAAGCGTCTTGCCCGAGCCGGTAAAGGCGATGCCGATCATGTCACGGCCTGCAAATGCCGTCGGCAGACCTTGCATCTGGATGGGCGACGGCTTGACGATCTTCTTTTGCGTCTTGAGGTACTCGATCACGCACTCGGGCACCTTCATGTCGCGAAAGTTGGTGATGACCGGCGGAATGTCGACGCCATCGGCGAGGATGTGGTTCTTTTCGCGCAGCTTTTCGTTCTCCAGCTCGGAGCGCGTGCGGATGTACGAGGGTGGTGTCCATGTTGTGGTGAGAGGCTCGGTGTATTGGATGCCCTTGGCGAGCTCGAGGTCGCTGGCGAGTTTCCTGCGTGCGGCATGCGCCTCGAGGATCTTGCGCTCTTCCTCGGCATCGATATCTGCCTGCGACCTTTCGCCTTCCTCTGCGAGCTTCTTCTCGCGCAGCAGTCGCGCCTCGTCGAGAAGCGACCTTTGTGGACGTTGCGGTGCGCGGCTATCTGTATCGTCCTCGTCCTCGCCCTGAGCCTCGTCGGCGTTGGCGTCATGCAAGCCTGATGCATGCGTGGAGGTGATACCGCGAGCGCGTGCCTGGATCTGTTCGAGCTGTTGCATGCGGCGCTGCTTGAGCGGCACAAAGGTCGACGAGGATGGATCGTCGGCCTCTTCGTCGTCGTCCGAGTAGGTGTAGCGAGGACGATCGTCTTGCTGCTGTTGCATGCGACGGCGCTTGAGCGCCTGAACGGCGGACATGGGCTGCCCCGCAGCGCTGGTGGATGCTGTGGGTGCCATGGCTCGATGTGGACGGCCTGCGCTGAGCAAAGCTGTAGAGGAGAGGTGGAAGTGTCGAGTCAAGTGCCGTTGCTGCCATTCAGGGTTCGCAGCCTCGCCTACGTCCGAATTCCGAGCGCGGCTGAGTCGAGCGGCAGATCTGCGTTGCATCGCGATTCGACACACAAAATCCACCAAATCGGGCGCGAGAGCAACACTCTCCGCTCGCTTCTTTCAAAGCATTCGAGGCAGAGGGAGTGTGGAGCGGAAGCGGAGGCGGAGCAGTCAACCGTGAATGCACAATCAGTCCTGTCCGCATCCTTTCCTCCCGCCTTTCCTCCTCCACCATCACTGCTTGTGCTCAGCGTAGCTTCTCGTCGCACGCTCCGCTGGATCAACTCACTCACGGATGACCGCTCGCCATGGACGAAGATGACTCGTGTCGCATCTGCCGTAGCGGGCCCGAGCCAGATGCGCCGCTCTACCATCCGTGCAAGTGCACCGGCTCCATCCGCTACTGCCACCAGGACTGCCTCGTAGAATGGCTCCAGCACTCGAGGAAAAAGTACTGCGAGCTCTGCAACCACTCCTTCATCTTTCACAAAAAGTACCGCAAGGACATGCCCTCCGATGGCCGCCTCCCTCGCTACCTCTACTTCCGTCGCCTCGTCTTTCGCTCGTACCACCTGGCTCAGCTCGCTGCCAGGGCACTTCTCGTCGGATTCACATGGCTCGCACTCCTGCCCTACATCAACATCAACGTATGGCGCTTCCTCTTCTGGTCCGCCGACGTCGCAACGTGGATGGGCGTACCAGGCGCCACGCCGCCCTTCAGCCTCGAATCGCCTCCACCCTCCAACCAGACGGCCAGCAACCTCACACATTCGCAAAACTCGTCGGCGGCCAGTCAGACCCCCCTCGCCCGCCTCTCTGCCTCCCTCGGTCGCGCTCGCAACCCCTCGGCCATCCACGCCTACAACTCGAGCCGCCAGCCCATCACCGTGGATCAGATCAATGCCGCCCTGCGGTCCCTGCTCAGCAAACTCGCAAACGACTGTTTCCAGGGCCAGATCATCAGCTGCATCATCGTCGTCTTCTTCGTCGGCGTCTTTCTCCTCCGCGAATGGATTCTCCAGAACATCCCGCAGCATTTCGATCCTCACCCCGTCCACGAGGCCGCCGCACAACCTCAGCCCGTGGATCCACCCGCAGCGCCGCTAGCTCCACACGATCTGCAGCAACAGCCCGCTGAGACCCGCGATCATGGTGAGGAGCCACGTCCGCCGATCCTTAGCGACTCGGATGATGAACAAGGCTCCGACTCCGCAGCGCCCCAGCACGAGCTGGATCTCGATCCCGACGCCCAGAGAGAGCAAGCACGCCAGGCGCGCATTCGCCGCCTCGACCACCAGTCTAACAACAGCGACTTGCACCAGCTCGCCGAGTCAACGCCCTCTGTCGAAGCATCCGCATCACGCCCACAACCAGACGAGGTTCATTACGGCTCGTTCGATGAGTCCGCCGCCATCCCGTCATCCATCCCACAGTGGAACGAGCATCCTAATGTCTCGGAAGGACTTGCGAGCGACCCATCAATATCGCTACACAAAGAACCCAGGGATGCTGCAACCGCTGAAAACACCGCATCATCTGTGAACGCTGCTGAGTCGGTCCCTGCACCGGACACGGATCAGCCAGATGACGTACAATCAAATGTCCCAGCCTCTTCAGCGCTCGATGCATCACAAGAGCCTGGTCAACAGCAAGCCACACACAATGACGATGCTGCCACCTCCGAGCGAGCGCCCCCACTCGCAGCCACATCGGAGCCAACTCCCGACACGGTGGACCCAGCCGCGGGTCAGCCTGCCGGTCCCACGATCAACCGCGACGAAGGCGACCATGAAGAGTTCTGGCAGAGAGACGCAGCGCGTTGGGAAGCATTCGACCGCGCCGCCTTTCGACTCACCGCATATGAACCCGTCGAAGAAGAGGACGATGAATGGGAGGACGAGTCGGGAAACGAGTCGGGGAACGAGTCGGAGGACGAGACGGAGGCAGCCGCCCCAGCAGCACAGGACGACGCCGCCTTGCGAGCCGCCGCAGTCGCAGCCTTCCCGCCGCCCATCGCGCATCCGGCGCTGGACGACGAGATCGAGGTCGGCGTGGCTGCCGACGCCGACGACCCCGAAGCCGAGATCGGTCTGGCAGAAGAGATGGACGGCATCCTCGAAGCCATTGGCATGCGCGGCCCGCTCTTCGGTATCGCGCAGAATCTGTTCCTCATGATCTTCCTCTGCGCGTTCGTCATGCTCGCCTTCGTCATCCTGCCCTACATCGTCGGAAGGGCGCTCGGCTCCGGTCCCGGTCTCGTCCGCCTTCTCGCCGCGCCCGTCAAGCTGCTGCGCTACGTCACCGACCCGCTCTTCGACTCGCTCATCGCCATCGGCGCAAACAGCATCTGGCCCAAGCTCGCAGGCGCCGTCGGAATGGCGCCGTCGCAGTCGAATGTCACTGAGGTTGTGCTCGATGCGGCTGGCAAGCCTGCGTCGCAGTCTGCAGCAAGCTGGATCAGCCGATTCGCTCCCAGCGCGCTCGGGTTGGCAGCCACGCCGCAAAATGTCAGTGTCACAGCCACGGCCAAGAAGAGTGCAGCTGCAGCCATGCTCGTGCGCCTTTTGCCGGAAAGCGTGACCGGCTCGGCGCAGTGGGCAGCCGTCGGTGCGTGTTTCGACGTGGCGCTAGCCGCCGGTGTGCGTGGCACGCTGGACAAGTTGTCCGAGCTGGTCTCTGCGTTCTTTGTTGGGCTGGATGCGCATCGTGCCGGTACGTCGGGCACCGACCGTGCCTTCTGCGTCGCTTTCGGTCACGCCTACTGGATGCTGGCGCTCTTTGTCCACCAGCACTTCTCGAAGCCCGACCTGCGCCGTGCGGCGGCCGAACAGTCGGCGCTCAAGATGTTCATGGACCAGCACGTGCTCATCATCAAGGCGATCGTCTTCATCTTTATCGAGCTCGCCGTGTTTCCGCTCGGATGCGGGCTGCTGCTCGACATCTGCACGATGCCACTGCTCGATGATGCCTCGATCGGAGCCTGGCCGCGTAAGCTTTGGGCTGCACCGCTGACGTTCGCGTTCACTCGCTGGATGGGCGGCACGATCTACATGTTCATCTTTGCCCAGTACGTGTCTGCGACGCGGCGCGTGTTGCGGCCCGGCGTGCTGTGCTGGATCCGCGATCCGAACGACCCGAGCTTCCATCCGATCCGCGAGATCCTCGACAAGCGCAGCCTCACGCAGCTGCGCAAGATCGGAGCATCCGCGCTCATGTACGCCGCCATCTTAGTCGCCAGCGTCGGCGTCAACACCTACTTCCTCCGGTACGCCGTGGGATGGACGCGGCTGTTGCCGCTGAGGTGGAGGCCGTTCGAGGCGTTGACCGAGGTGCCTGTCGACCTGCTCCTGGTGCATTTTGCGCTGCCGTGGGCAACACACAAGATCGACCCGGACGCCGTGTCGCAGCGCTGGATGACGGGGTGGTGGAGGAGGGCGGCAAGCATGCTGCGGCTCAGCAGCTACCTCATGGGCGGCGAGTTCAAATACGAGCAGCGCACAACGGGCCGGAATGCCGTGGTGGCTGCCGCGCATCGTTGGCTGCACCCCGGACTGCCTATACCGGGAGATGCCGATTGGAAGGCAGATGGAGGACTGTGCCGCGTGCCAGCGGACGACAAGACGATCACGACAGGCCCGCTGATCATCCCGCTCGACGCGGACGGGAATGCGCCCAACGAACGGCTGGCAGAGGCGATTGCCAAGCAGGATGCCGACGCCGAGAAGCACACGCCCAGACCGACGTACGCGCACATCTACCTGCCGTCGCACTACCGCGCGCGCATCACGGCGGTGCTGGTGCTGCTGTGGCTGAGCCACTGTGCGGCATTCATGCTCGGGCTCGGTGTGCCGCTCGTGCTCGGTCGCGCTCTGTTCGCGCTGCGGCGGCGCGAGGTGCACGATGTCTACGCGTACGTGCTCGGCCTCAGCCTGCTCTGGACAGCGTGGAGCCTGGTCGGCGGTGCGAGCAAGATGTGGACCCGACGCAAGCGACGCGCACGGATGCACCGCACCAGTCCAGGCATGTACCTGGCGGTGCACGTGCTGGTCAAGGCGAAGCGCGTGCTCAAAGCGGCTGCGCTGTTGGCGGGCGTTGCAGGTGTCGTGCCGCTGGTGATGGGCATGGTGGTTGACCAGTACCTCGTGGTTCCGCTGCGCGACCGCGGCCAGGCGGCAGTGCGGCTCGGTCAGGTGTGGGCGTGCGGCGTGATCGAGGCGCGTCTGGCGCTGTTTGCGGTGCGCCTGCTCGGCGTGCCCGAGCATGGGATGGTGTCATGGTTCATGGCGAAAGTAGACCATGTCTTGCGCGGAGGTCTGTATCCCCGTGCGCGCGTGCGCGTCGCATGGACGTACATCGTCGCACCCATCACCTTGGCGGGCGTCGTATTGCTGGCCACACCAATGTGGGGCGCACGTGCACTGATCGAGGCCGGATGGGTGCATGCGCCGACCGTCGCCGAAGAGTACGCGCTTCAACGCCGGCTGTTTGGCGTGATCCAGACCGCCGCCCTGCTGGCCGTGTTGGTGTCGGTGGTGAGGAGACGCATGGAGGACTGGACCGACGTGCTCAAGGACGAGGTGTTCCTCGAAAGCACCGTGCTCAAAAACTACACCGACACCCCACCCTCTGCACACTCGGCTACTGCTGGCGACCCGCAAGGTGGTCAGGACGATTACGCCGCAGAAGGTACTCTCCCCGACGTGCTCTTCCGCTAGCCCTTGCCACCTCTTCACGCTGGGTGTGCATTGAATCTGTACGCATGCATTCGACTCGGGCAAGCGTGTGTGTAGGATCAGAAGAGAGGCTTGAAGCGTTTGCGCGGCGCGGCGGGATCGGGTTCGGACTCGGTGTCGGACTCGGAGGGAGCGAGGAACTCGCCGGGGTCTCCACCGCGTGCGACGGGTGTAGGCTGAACGAACTGCGGGGAGGGTGGTAGCGGCTGCGTGTGTTCTTCGAGCTCCGGCTGTGAAGGCTGAGAAGCGCCCGGGAAGAAGAGTGGTGGCTGTGCCTGCACTGGATTAACGGGAGTCGATTCCACTGGCGGCCTCACTGGCGGAGGAGGAGCGATGGAAGCCTCCGAGGACTCTGTCTGTCTCTGTGTCTCCCTCGCGGCAGGAGGAGCCACCGAAGACGACACCGACCTTGCCACTGCCGCGGGTGCAGCTTCCTTGTCCGGCACGTTGGTTCGATCGGGCCTAGTGGTGGCAATGACGAACTCGGCCGCTACGGCGTTCTCCACCCTTAACCTCACGAACAGCGGCTCGTCTCCATCGCTAAAGTTGACTTCGAGCGCCACACCCAATGCCTCTGCCAGAGCCACGGTGGCTTTGAACTCGCGCAGCGAAAACGTAAGTGCACACGCCTCCAGCACCGCATACTCGCGGAACTCGTCCACGGCGATCTTGACTTCGGTATGGATCGCCCTGCGCAAGCCGCCCTTGGGGTCGGGCGAGTCGTCGTCCTTGCTGCGCGCCACACACGTGCCCGGCGTGCACGCAAACGTGATCTCGCCATTGCGGTTCGAGGAGAGAAAGTGGTCCGTCCATTCGGTCGCTGTAGCTGCGGCGATGCAGAAGAAGTTGGGCGGATTCGGATCGGCCGTAGGCAGCAGGCCGCGCTTCGGCTCATACGTCAGCCGATGCACCTTCAAGATGCCATGCTGACAGTGCAGCGCCACGGTGAAGCGACACTCGGAGCCCGAGTCGGTAAGCTCGAGCTCCAGCCGATCCACCGTCCGTCCTCGCGACCGCAGAATCGACAGTATCGACTGATTTTCCCCCTCCGAAGAGCATCGTATCAGTATGGGAGCCTCGGGGGTGTGCTGCCGTGCTGCGGACTCACCTTGAGATGGATCTGGCACTCGATTTTGCCACTCGCTTGCGTCGCTACGCTGAGGAAGAAGTCCGGGTCGAAGATGAACATGCAGAACGCCGAGTTGGTCGCATTGATCGCCGACAGCCTGATCTGCGCCTGCCCGTTGTTCAGCCGATTGCACTGCAGCCAGAACGTATCCGAGAATCGACTGAGGCAGTTGAGTGCGCTGTAGAAAGCTGCCATGCACAATGCTGGTCAGCATGGCTCTTGCGTGTTCAGGGAAAAGGTGCGGGCTTACTCTTGATGTCGCTCGCCGAGATGACGGCGTTCATGGTGAGTGCGGGTAGCGGGGCGACACGACCAGCTACGGCATGGTGGTGGTGGTGGTCAGGGTGGAGATGCAAGGCTGAGTCGGCTGCATCGCGAAAGTGTTGTTCTCGGCGCGCCGCTACGCGTGCTCCACTTCAAAGAAGTCGCGTAAAGATGCAGCGCGAAAAGCGAGCCTCAAATCATGGCTGAAAAAAGTGCCGGTTCTGCTCACCATGGGCAAACACGCGTACATGGCGACGAGGCGGGCCGGGAAGCATCCGCGGGAGCGCCTGTGTGCCTCGTCACTGAAATCGATGACGCGATGCTTGACCATGAGCGCGGTGTGAGCAGGCGTTTGCACCCAATCAGCCTGGCCTGTCGCGCGGACTCGGCGGTGTGATCGGTTCGCAGCAGGCGAGCACGCACGGCGCGAGTCCAGAGTGGCATACGCTGCACTTGAAACGAACGGCAAAAGTGCGCAAGGATCGCAGCGTTTCCATGTCGGAGCAAAACGGAGCACGCCTTGTCTACAAGATCTCCACCGTGTGTAGAGCGGCGCTCGAGCTGGATCAGCTCCCCTCTGGTAGACCGAGCTGTCCATGCGGCTCAGAACGGCAGTTGGCTCCTCTGCTACAATAGACTGACTGCGAAGCTTCCTCAATGCACTTGGCGTATTGTTAAGAAAATCGACTGACAGGGCCTGGACGCAAGGCTGGAAGAGCGACGATGCACAATGGCGAGACGAAAACAGGATCACAACACGTAAAGCGAACGGCAAAGTTTAGAAAAATCCATGCGGGACGAAGGCGGGATCCACATATGAGAATTGATTGACGAAGGTCAGGAACAATCAATGCGATGGAGGCTGGGAGAGAGGCCGAGAAAGGCCGAGAAAGGCTGGGAAAGGCTGGGAAAGGCTGTGAGAGGGGCTAGGAGAGCGACGGCGCTCATGCGATGCTCCAGCGAGACGAACACACAACGATACGACGAAGCTAGAAACAAAGCAGGTCAAACACTGGCAAAGGTCAGTAAGAGTCCATGCGGAACGAGGGCGCGATCAACACGCCCAGAGCGAACGACAGAGTTGAGTACCACTGCCAGACGAGCGCAAGATCTGCACACCAAAAGGCAACGGCAAAGGTGAACAAGGCTGGCAGAGGCTTGGAGAAAGAGAGCGACGGCACACATCCCCGAGACGAAGCCAGAACCAAAGCAGACGAAACCCAACGGCAACGGTCACCAGAATCCACCAACACACACCGACAGAGGGCGCAATGAGCACACACATTAACCTCACGACAAAAGCTCGAGAAGAATATGAATGCGATTGGAGAATCATTTTTCGAACGACAAACACAGACGGAGCTGGCACGAAAGACTGAGCTCCTTCGCTTAAGCGATGTTCCAGCCGAGACGTTCGCCCCATCCGCCATGGGCGATAGCGTTAGCGATCTGCTCTACATCCTTATCGCCCCTACCACTGAGCGAAACCACAATATCCTCCTCGGGCTTCATGGTCTTAGCGATATGGAAAGCGCTCCACAGCGCGTGCGAAGTCTCCAGTGCGGGGATGATTCCCTCGAGCTCAGTGCAGAGCTTAAATCCACGCAGAGCTTCCTCGTCCGTCGCAGCGATGTACTCTGCACGACCCGAGTCCTTGAGGAACGAATGCTCCGGACCCACACCGGGGTAGTCGAGACCAGCACTGATCGAGTGCGTCTCGGTAATCTGACCAAACTGGTCCTGCAGCAAGTAGGTGCGCACACCGTGCAGCACACCCGGCGTACCGCGACTAAGCGTAGCCGAATGACGCTCCGTGTCAATACCATCTCCACCAGCCTCGACACCAATCAGACGAACGTTCTTATCCTGAACGAAAGGATGGAAAATGCCGATGGCGTTGGATCCACCACCAACGCACGCGATGACAGCGTCGGGAAGCTTGCCCTTCTTCTCGTGCAGCTGCTGCTTCACCTCCCTGCCGATGATCGACTGGAAGTCGCGCACGATCGAGGGGAACGGATGCGGACCAATGGCCGAACCGACAATGTAGTGCGTGTTGTGCAGGTTGGTCACCCAGTCGCGGTTGGCCTCGTTGATGGCATCCTTGAGCGTCTTGCTTCCGCTCTCGACAGCCACCACCTTGGCGCCGAGCATCTTCATGCGGAAGGCGTTGAGCGACTGACGACGCACATCCTCGGCGCCCATGTAGACGACACACTCCATGCCAAACTTGGCACACGCGGTGGCGGTGGCCACACCGTGCTGACCCGCACCGGTCTCGGCGATGATTCTGGTCTTGCCGAGTCTGCGAGCGAGCAGGATCTGGCCGACGGCGTTGTTGATCTTGTGCGAGCCGGTGTGGTTGAGGTCCTCCCTCTTGAACCAGATCTGCGCACCGCCGGCGGCCTTGGTCATGCGGTCGGCGGGGTAGAGCTCGCTGGGGCGGCCAATGTACTCGTAGTAGCTCTCGAACTCCTTCCAGAACTCGGGGTCCTCGAGCGCAGTGAGGTAGGCCTTCTCGAGCTCCTGGTGGGCGTCGAAGAGCGCCTCGGGGATGTACTGACCGCCGAACTTGCCGAAACGCGGCGGACGCACCTTGCCCTCGGCATCGACGATGGTGTCGAGGCCAGGCACGGGTGGCCTGTCTGCGGGGACGACGGCGTCGACCTTGGGCACGGGGACCGAGTCGGGCTGGTCCATGACCTGCTTGATGTTGAGCGGCTGCTTGCGCTGGATGCCGCCCTCGTTCTTGCCGGTGATCTCGGCGCAGTAGGCACGCACCGCCTCGACACGCGCGGCGGTGTTTGCGGGCGCGTCCTTGAGCTTGGCGACGATCTTGCTTCCGATGACGACGCCGTCGGCATGCTCGCCGACCTCGACAAAGTGGTCTCGTGTGGACACGCCGAAGCCGACGGCGAGCGGGATGGGGGTGATGCTGCGAATGCGGGAGATGAGGTCGGGCAAGGAGGTGGAGACGGTGGTGGTGGCACCGGTGGTGCCCATCTTGGAGACGACGTAGATGAACGAGTCTGCGAGCGAGGCGAGGTGCTTGATGCGCTCGGTCGAGGTGGAAGGGGCGATGAGCGGCACGTACGAGAGGCCGTACTTGGTGCAGGCGCCTCGGAAGTCGACGGCCTCCTCGGGAGGCAGGTCGACGATGATGAAGCCGTTGGCACCGGCGGCCTTGGCATCCTGTACCGCCTTGTCCTCTCCGTAGGCGAGCGTGGGGTTGTAGTAGCCCATGAACAGAACGGGAGCCTTGAGGCCCTTGGCGCGTGCCTGACGGACATAGTCGAGGCACTGGGTGTAGCCGACGCCCTGCTCCAATGCGACCTGGTTGCTCTCCTGGATGGCGGGGCCGTCAGCCTGGGGATCGGAGAAGGGAACGCCGAGCTCGATGACGTCTGCGCCGCCCTGCTCGAGGGCGAGGAGGACATCGACGGTGTCGTGCTTGGTGGGGAAGCCGGCGGTGACGAAGCTGACGAAGACGGCCTCGTTCTTGGCGGCCTTGGCGGCGAAGGTGGCTTTGATCTGGTCGGTCATGGTGTGCGGAAGGCCGAGGCGAGGGGTGATGGAGAAGTTGCGAATGGGGACGCGAGCTGTCGACGAGGTAAGGACGGACAGCGGGCGTGTAGATATACGGGCAAGCGTGAACGCTGCAGACAAGAGGCGTGGGGCGGCACGCGACGAGATGATGAGGCAAGGACGAGTCACCGCAAATGGACGAGGTGACGAGGATGTTGCACGGATGTTGGTGATGAAAGTGGACGGTGAACGGTGGTTGAGAAGAAGAGTAGTGAAGCGAAGAGGAGTGTGGGACTGCGGTTGGGCTGTGGGAAAGCGGCGGCGGTTGGCCTCTTCTTCTGGCGGTGGCGAGCAGCTGCATCTTCACTTCACTTCTTCTCAGGCCACCACCTCTCGCTTAGCCGAGCCGACCCTCTCTGTCTCTCTCTCTCTGACTCTCTCTCGCGGCAGCACACCGCAGTGTTCCGCAGTGCCCACAGTGATTACAGTGTGTTGGATTTCGAGAATTGCCCGACAGGCAGGGTCGAGTCAAGCAGTCCCACCACAGCTGTCGTGCGCTGTACCATTTGATAATCCGGCTGCGGAATTTCGCACTCCCCCGCCGCTGCTGCTGCTGCTGCTGCTTCTGCTGCTGTGACTCGTCTCGTCAGAGAGTGGGCCATCCCAACCCGCCGCGTCTAAAATTGTGATTGCCGACAAAAAGGACTCTCTCTCTCGGCTCACCACCGGCAATCCTGCTTGGCAGGCAACGAACGGCACGCTGACTCGAACCCGCTTCATCTGACCCAACCGTGCCCAACCCCGGCCTCATTTCGGAACTTTGTCGCACTTGCCCACAGCCGCATGACACCACACTCTACGCAGTCTAGGTTGAAGCCATCGTGGCGCTTGCATTCATGCATCCCCGTGCATTGCAAAGATACAGCAGCGCTCAGCACGAAGCGATGGGCGTCGAGTGTCCGTTGCAGAGAGAGAAAGAAAAAGGGGCGAGGGCGAGCTAAGAAAAAGGGGCGAGGGCGAGCTAAGACTTGCGTGTCTGCTCGCGTGCCGCCTTGATGAGCGGTGCCAGCGTGCGCAGGCTCTCGGAGCGCTTGAGGAACGGATGCGCCAGCATGCCCACCGCGTCCGGCCGCCGGTCGGCATCCACATCGAGGCACGTCTTGAGAAAGTCCTTGAACGTGTTGGACAGATTCTCGGGGTTGTTGATCTTGGGCGTGCCGTTGGTGGCGATCAGGTAGAGCGCACGCAGCGGATTCTCGTTCAGGTACGGCGGCTCGCCCTCCACCATCTCGATGCACATGATGCCCAGACTCCAAATGTCCACCTTGGGCCCGTACTCCTTGCGCGTCACCACCTCGGGCGCCATCCAGTACGGCGTACCCACCATGGTGGTGCGCTTCGCCTGCGACTCGCCAATCTGCGCGCAGAATCCAAAGTCCGTCAGCTTGATGTCGCCCTGCAGACTCAGCAGCACGTTGTCCGACTTGATGTCGCGGTGGATCACGCCGTGCTCGTGCAGGTGTCGCAGGCCCTCGAGCACCTCGCGGCTCACCGCCGCAATCTGCCCCTCGGTCATGATGTTGCACGTCACCACGTCCGTCAGACTGCCGCCCTCCATGTACTCCATGACCACCCACAGGTCGCCCTTGAACAGGAACGAGTCGATAAAGTTGACAATGTTGCGATGGCGCGACTCCTTCATCACGAGGATCTCGTTGATGATCAGATCCTTCTTGGGCTGCTGCTCCAGATTCATCTGCTTGATCGCCACCGAATGGTTCGTGCCCACCTGGTACGCCGTGAACACGCCGCCACTCGCGCCCTGCCCGATCTTGGACAGGCTCCGGTACAGCTTGGTCGGGTCCGCATCCGTGCATATCGCCTGCAGCTTGGCGATCACGTCCGAGTCCTTGACCGTGTTCTTCTTGGTCTCGCGCCTCCTTGGCACCGCGCCCGGTCCCTGTGCCGGTCCCGCTGCCGGTGCCGCCTTGGCGCTTTTGGCAGCGGCTGACGTCGTCGAAGCGCCGTTGGTGGTGCCAGCTTTCGAGACAGAAGCACCAGAAGCGCCCGGCTGCCTGGATCCCATGGGCGGCGAGCCTGCTTTGGTGGCCTGGCCCGCTCCAGGCGCCGGTGCTGGTCGCGTCGGCTTGAGCGCCACGTCGCCGGTGGCGTGGGGCGCGCGCAGATCGGGGCTGCCGATGTCGCCGGGTCTCTTGCCGTGCAGCGCACCGGGCGGCACGGGAGCAGCGCGAGGCTTTTCGTACAGCACAGGCTGAGGTCCGGATTTGAAGCCGTCGTCGCTGCTGCTGGTGTCGGTGCGTGGCGTGCCGGGAGCCTGATTGTTGCCCTTGGCGTAGCCCATCTTCTTCCACACATCGGTGTCGCCATCGCTCTTGGTGGCATCCTGGTAGAAGGCGACAATGTCCATCACCGCCTGCGGGTTGGCCTCCTGGTCCTGGCGCGAGATGCCCGACTCTTGCAAGAGTTGCTGCCACTCCTTGGGCAGACCGGTGAACTCGCCCGTGTCCGAGTTGAAGCCGACGTGGGTGAGGTGGACGGGGTCGTAGGGCGTCGAGATCTCGATCTTCTTTTGCGCCGAAAAGACGTCGCTCATCGAGTTGACAAAGCCGCCAAAGACGCTCTTGAACGTGTTGCGGCCTCCGGGCGTGGCGCTGCCGTCGCGACTTCGCTCGCGGTCGCGCGTGCCGTGCACAAACTGGCTCTGCGTGGTGAGCGATGGCGTGGACTCGCCCGGTGCACCGTGTTCGAGCGTTGGTGACGACTGGTTGAGCGTTGGCGAGCCGATCATCTGGTGCTGCTGCGGGCCGATGCTCGAGTGCGAACGCTGCGCCATGACGGGCGCCACGTGCTGCGAGGCGGTCACCGACGACACCGTGTGGAAGGTGTCGGGGCCGGACGTGTTGGAGCGTACGGGGCGAGGTGGGAAGGCCGCGTTGGACGTCGAAGCACCGGGCGCGTTCGACGAGTAGGGCGAGGCCGAGACGGGGCCCGAGATGGGAGAAGCGGCCGGCGGATGATTGCCTACGCCGAATGGCAGGCTGGACTGAGCGGGTAGACCCGAGCGAGGGCCCTGCATAGATTGGACGGATGTGTTGATGGTGGGGTTCGGTCGGTAAGGACCTACTGCAGCGGGCGCCGCCGAAGCGCCTGTGGACCACGCTGCGGACGATGTGCCGTTTGCGAATGTGGATGCCGAGGTGGAGGTGGGCGAGGCGGAGGTGGACGAAGGGCCGGCCTGACGCGATGCAAAGACGGAGCCGGAGGCTGCAGTCGAGTTTGGATGGTTGGGTGGAGCGGGTGCACTGCGTTTGGGGACGAGGTTGAGGTCGCCAAAGTCGAAGCTGCTGCCGAGGCCAGAGAAGGTGGCGTCTGGATTGCCGATACCCTCTACGCCCTTGAGGTAGTTGGGGGTGGTGCTCGAGGAAGGATCGGCATGAGCGACGGATGGAGGCATGGGTGGACGCGATGTGGCTTCGGCAAGAGCATCTGCACTGCGTGGCATGACTTGTGCGCCATGGAAGTCATGCGGGTGCTTGATCACCGAGCGTTTGGGTGATTGATGCATGATGAAAGCGAGTTCTACCTGCGGCAAGGGAAGCTGGCGGAAGCAGCGGCTGTTCTATTGGGAGCGTTCGAGTGTCGGCCAGATGATGCTGCAAAGGTTGGCAGGTGGTTGAATCCAAGAGGGAGCTCGGAGGAGCGGTAGCAAAAGCAGTGACGTTGATTTATAGTAGTCGGCACGGCATGTGTTTCGAGACTGCGCAGCAGGCAGACGTGTGGACGCGAGGTGCAATCTAGGTGCTGGCAAAGTGTGCGACGATGCGCGCCGCGTGCTACTGGATGGGCACGGTGAAGGACAGAGCGCGGTGCTAGCGCCGATGACGACGGTGGTAGGCGCAAGGTGACGAGAGCGAGGGCGGTGATGGGTGAGGAACGCGCGCAGAAGGCACGATGAAGGATGGGACGAAGGAGCGGTTGAGCAGGTGGTGTGATGGTAGCGTTGCGCACACCGAGCCAAGTAGGAGCCGCTGGATGATTAGATCGAAGGGGTCCGACCCTAAACTGATGCGCTTGCGATTGAATGGGTGCGCTGCCACACTGCTCGCTCTTGGCACTCGAGCACGCGCTGGCTGGCCGACTGGCTGGCTGGCTGGCGCTTGTTTGCGAACAACGCTTTGAGAGGGCGCTGTGCTGTCGACGCTTGCGCGCGCTGGAGCCACTCTCGGGGCCACTGAGACGCCCTACTCGAAATGCACGAGCGCTGTGAAATTGTCAGAGGCGCGTCGCCCTCTTTTTTTGTCTCTTTTTTTCCCTGTCTCGGTGTTACCTGCGCATGTCCAACAGAGGGCCGGGGGCCGGCACAGTGGCCAAGTGGCTCGGCTCGAAATCAGGATCAACATCAACTGCAGCCGCTCAGTGCAGCCAAAAAGCAATTTTGTATTTCCAGCCGCTCTTCTGCGCTTCATCTCGGATGCACTTTTTGTATTCGCTCGAATGCAGGTCTGAATTGGATGCGAAGGGCCCTTTGTCCTGCCTGCACCTGCAACCCAACCAGCTTTGTGGCTCAGATTCGGGGGTGCACACCGGTCTGATCGTGCTGCACTATAGCTTATTGGCTCGACAGCGAGCGCTGGTTCTACCGGATGTACAGAGGGGCGACACACGCTGCGCAGGAAAGCATTGCGAACCGAACAGCGTGGAGAAGAACAGCCAAGCTGCGGCCGAAGCCGAGGGACTGCTTCACCGCGGCGCAGGGCGACGTTCGCTCTAACACGCTCGACCTGCGCTCGTGGCTTCACGCTCCAAATGCCTTTACTTGCGCTCGGACCCTGGCTGGAGGATGCAGTGTGCGGCGCCCATCCCGTCTGCACGCATTGCCGTGGCCGTTCCTGCGGTTGGATGATGGCCTGCTCGCAGCCCTGCTTCATCTCGGGTCCCCACCTCTTTCCACCGGCGCCGCCTCCGCTTGGACTCCCTCAATACCCTAGCCCGCCCGCCCGATCGACAGCTGCCCCCAAGGCTCGACATTGCTCATTTCATCGCCTCATTGTTGCATCGTTCATACACGCTGTGGCCGGCGTTGCATCGCTTGGTTGAGGCCCGCTTTCAAGGTAGCACGCACCGCCTGGCAACCTTTCCATGGCGCCGTCGACGCCCGACTTTTTCCGCAAGCGCACCACCAGCACCAACAGCATCGCCAGCATCTCGAGCGCCAAGCTGCGCAGCTCGCTCGCCTCCCTCCCCTCGAGATCTTCGCGCGATCGGCTCCAATCCGAAGAACGCGCCACCCCGCCCCTTCCGAGTGGTGCTGCTGCTGCTGCTGCTGCTGGCAAACTTTCGGCCGCTCCGACCAGTGTCGCTGCCGTCGATCTCTTCGGAGGTGCGCCGCTTTCCACCACGACCAGTCCCGTCGGCGCCCAGTCCGATCCCGACTTCGGATCTTCCTACGAAGGACCCGGCGCTTTCCACCACCTCGCATCGGATCGCTCCGCACATCTCGCTCCGTCTGGATCCTCTGCTACACCTCCTCCTACCGCCTCCACACTCTCGAGAGTCGCGCAGATGAACTCGGCCTATCACGCGTCGAATGCGCAGGAGGGTGCATGGCTCGGTGGAGCCGTCGACCACTCGTCGCTCAGCCCGCACGGCCTCTCGCCCAATCCACTCGGAACCCACTTTGGCACCTCGCCGGGCAATCAATCCGACATGTCCAACGAGGCGCAGTTCCACTCCAACGATGCCCTCTCGGACGTTTCTGGCTCCGGCTACGAGCATCCATCCGCCAACCACCTCTACTCGGACGCGCTCAACATGTCCGATCAGGACCACATGGACAGCCGCACCGCCGATCCGCCCCAGCTCCACTATACCGCCTCCTCGGCGCTCGCAACACCAACCTTGGCCGACCAGGCCACCTACGATGACTCGCGCGGGTACATGTCCAGCGCCGCCACCGCCGCCGCTTCCTCGACCGACATCGCTTCCAGCGCCCGCTTCAGCACCCAGAGCGCATCCACGGTGCCCGGCATCACTCCCTCCTCCACCTTGGTCGACTCCAGCATCCCTTCGAGCAATACGCCAAGCATGGCCAACAACGGTCCCACCATGGAAGACATTGTGCCCACCAGCTTCGACGAGGGTGTGCTGCGTTCGTTGTGCGACATCGACTGCGGCATGCCGCTGCTCTTCGATCGCATCAAGCAGAGCATGGTCTCCGCCCGCGAGGCGTCCGTCTTCCTCAAGAAGCGCGCCGTCATCGAAGACGAGTACGCGCGCAGCATGGCCAAGCTCGCACGCTCCACCTTCGAAACCTACTCGCTCAGCGACGCCAAGGCAGGCTCGTTTGTCAAGTCGTGGCACTCGGTGGTCAAGACGCACGAGACCATCGCCGACAACCGTCTGCGCTTCTCGGTCAAGCTCAACGAGATGAGCGACGAGCTCGCCAACCTCGCCAAGGAGGTCGACAAGAGTCGCAAGCACGCACGCGAGACGGGCTTGCGTCTCGAGAAGAACTTGCAGGATGCCGAGGCAGGCGTGGAAAAGGCGCGCGGCCGATTCGACACGGCGGCCGAGGACCTCGAGCGTCTGCTTCTGCTCAAGTCGGGCGAGTCTACAAAGTCGGGCGAGATCCAGGGCGGCTCCGGCGGCGGTGGCAGCAGCGGAAAGCGCACGCTCGGCAAGGCGATCGGCAAGAGCGGCTTGCTGTTCAAGAACAAGAATCCGCAACAGATCCTCAAGCAGGAGGAGGAGATCCGCGCCAGGACCAGCACCGCCAGCGACGCCTTCCGCAGAGAGGTGCTCAGCACCCAGGGCATCCGTCAGGAGTACTTTAATCTCCAGCTGCCGCGCATCCTGCGTACGCTCAAGGAGAATGCAGAGGAGATCGACAATGGCACACAGTACCACCTCTCGCGATACGCCTTCCTCTACGAAAGCACCGTGCTCAACGACGGCATGGCCATCTCGCCTGTCGGCACGGACGTGACACCCGCCAGCGGCCTCAAGGGTGCAGTCGAGACGATCGACAACCGTGCCGACTTCAAGCAGTACATGGCCAACTACCAGGTGGCGCACGGACGCGACTACAAGGGTCCGCGCAGGGAGGGGCCGTACGAAGAGGGTTTCCTCAACAACTCGGCCGCATCCAAGGGCGCCGCTGCGGGTGCTGCGAGAGCACCCGCAGTGTCGGAGCGTGCGATCTTTGGCGTGGACCTCGCCGAGCAGATGGCTCGGGACAGTGTCGAGATCCCGCCGATTCTGGAAAAGTGCGCGCAGGCGATCGAGGAAGTGGGTATCGAGAACATGGGCATCTACCGGCTCTCGGGCACCACGTCCAAGGTGCAGAAGCTCAAGGCCAAGTTTGATGCCGACTGGAGCGGTGTGGATCTGATGAACGACGAGGCGATCCAGGACATCAATATCGTGGCTGGGTGTCTCAAGTTGTGGTTCCGCGAGCTGCCGGAACCGCTGCTGACACACGAGCTTTATGCGGGGTTCATCGAGGCGGCCAAGATCGACAATGATCGCTTGAGGCATATTAGGTTGCATGAGCGCGTCAACGAGTTGCCCGACGCCAACTATGCTACGCTCAAGTACCTCATGGGTCATTTGGATAAGGTCAAGTCGCTCGAACATCTCAACCAGATGTCCGCCAGCAATTTGGCTATTGTGTTTGGTCCCACGCTCTTGTCGCCCCCTCCTGCAGGGTACGACGATGGCACGGCCCACAACGGCGCAGGTGGCATCCAGATTCACGACATGAGCTTCCAGTGCCGAGCAGTAGAGACCATCCTCGACAAGTACCGCGAGATCTTTGTCGACGAAGGCGAAGAGTAGATCCCCCTCCTCTCCAGCCCCCACTATCGTAATTCACCCCCCTTTCCCCTTCACGCTCTTTGGACACGCTCCACTCGACTCGGCCCTGTTGTTGTACAACTCTTTCGCTTCCACTTTGCTATACTAGCCTGCCTATGCTTATCCTCCCCATTCGCGCGTTTGACGCACAAACCACACGTCCAATCACGATCCACGCGGGCAAGACAAGAACGAACGGATGTAGGGAGGTTGATTATACAAGTGAGGCGGGATGATTACGGTATTACAGCGCTATGCCAGTTGCAGAGAGATGCGCACACAGCACAAAGCCCCAAAGTAGGTGGGGCCAACGAACATTCACGGGGTCTACGTGCGCACGCTAGCTAGATGCGGGCAGGCATGCCGAAGGCAGCGGCGAGTTCCAGATGGACGACTCGGATCTCGCCGCCTCGTCCATGCGCGCACGGCGGCTGTTGGTGCGCGCACGCGGCTTCTTGTCCGCGACACCGGCCGGAGCAGTGCTTGCGTGTTCTGTCGAAGGCAGGCCGACGAGCGAGCTCAACGGCGTCTGTTCCACCACCGCCGACGGCATGGCAAACGGCTCAAACGACATGCCGTCGGCAAAGAACTTGCGGTCGTCCAGGCTGGTGTCCAAAGCGTCGGTGCCAAACGACGAGTCGCTGTCAGACGAGGTAAAGGTGGGCGACGAAAAGCCCGAGGTCGACGTCATTCCACCCATGACACTGTTGCGGCGGCCTAGGTATTCCAACGTGCCGCTGCCGTCCATGAGCCCCTTTGCAAAGCTCGATGCTGCAAAGCCGACGGTCAGCGTGGAAGCGTCGAGCGGCTGGGGCAGCGCCGACATGCTCCAGTTCATCATCGAGGTCTGCTTGAACGGCGAGATGGGCTGGGCCAGATCCGGCAGGAGCGACAGCGGCGGGTGCTCGGTCGACATGGCAAGCGGCTCGCCCGTCTTGTGAAGCAGCTGACCGATCCACAGATTGTCCTGCGAAGCAGGCACTCCAATCGGGTGAGACGACTGGATCTGGTACGGCATGGCAAGAGTCTGTGCAGCTTGCGTGACTGGCTCTGCGGCAGGTGCGGCCAAGGGCGCCGGGCTGTCTACGGCGTAGTTGGAGGGAGTAGCGCTACGCGAACGCAGCATCTGCACTTCGTGCATGAGCTCGCGCACCCGCCTCTCCTGCTCCTGGTGCCTCGCAATGCTCGCCTTGACGATCTCGCCCTTGGTGGGGCGCTTGCCGGCCGCCATGGCTTCCACGAGCTCGGGAATGTTGGCGGCCAGTTCGGAGAACTTCTCGTTCATGGCTTCCCTGCGTTCCTTCTCGATGATGCTGTGCGTAGCTTTGGAGGAGGGCGAGAGCTCGGAGCGCTTGCGCCTCTTGCTGGTGCGCGCGGGCGCGCCGTCGTTTGATGCAGGCGCGGGCGAGTCGTGGTCCTCGACGTCGTTCTCGACCGAAGCGCGTCGGTCGGCAGCCGGGCCGGGGGAGCGGCCGCGCGAATGTTCTGTCTTGATCGCTGCCATGATTGTAATGGCGATTGAGCTTGGTTTGCGAGGGCGAAAGGCACGAAAAGAGAAACAAAGTTGTGGCGGATCGTCGTGAAGGATCGTGGCTGCAAGGGTAGACTTGAGCGATTGGTATCTTTATGAGGCGAGAATGATTCGCGGGGGGGTATGACGGAGTCGGAAAGTGTGGAATGAAGTGGACCCGGTGGCGTGTGGGAGCGATTGGAAGCCCCTACGTAGCGATGTGATGCGAAATGAAGGTGACAGATGTCGATGAGCGTGCAAGTGCACAAATGAAGTCGTGAGGGTGGACGATGGCCTTTCCAAAGAGAGAGAGAGGCTGGCCGAGTTGATGCAGGTATATGTGCAGGATAGGAGACGGACAAGTGGCGCAGATGAGGTGGTGCGGCAATGGAATCTGGAAGGAGCCGAGAGACAAAAGCCAGAGAAGAAAGTGGGAAGGGGCAAGCAGGAGAATGAGAATGAGGAGGTGAAGAAAGGAAGAAACGACAACGACGAAGATGGACGCTAGAAGAAAGGCACGTCTGGACGTGGAACCAACAGATAGGGTGTCCGGAAGAGTGAGGTGGCGGGAGGGTTGAAAGATATGAGCCGACGACGATGTTCCTTTGAAGGCGTAGCTCAAGGTGGCATGGGAAGGGCGCAGGGGAGAAAGGCTGCCGATTGTACTTGAGAGAGTCGGGTGGCGAGGCTCGCTGCAGGCTCCGACGGCGGAAGGGCCGACTGAATGCATACACGACTCAGGCACCGCAGAGCAACAAAAGGGGAGAGCGAGCGAGCGAATACGCAGCATACGCCATGGTCTGTATGAGAGGCTCGAGTGTTGCAGTGTTGGACTGTTGGACTGTCGGCCTGGGGCAGCCGACGAGAGCAACACTCGGTTGCAGGCCGCAACTCGCAGCTCGCAGCTCGCAGCTCGCAGCAGCAACGGTGCGATTTTCTGGCCAGGCGGAGCTCGCGAAGAAAAGTGCAGTGAGCGCATGCCGACGGACAGCGGTTGGGCCGCCTCCCTTTGATGCGAAGGTGGGTGGCGAGCTCAGAGGGTCAGCGGTAAGAGGAGGCCCGCCTCGGTTGGCAGGCGCTGCAGGCGCTGCAGACCTTGCATCTGACGCATAGTGGACGTATCTCTGGAGCGCTGGAGCGCTTGGGGCGTGGCAGAAGCAAGGGCGGAGCTGGTGCCTCGTGTCGCGAACGCCAACAAAGGGGGGAGGGAAAGCGCTTGGGCCCGAATCATGAGGCTTGAGCACCTGCCCGGTGATGCGGTGGCAGCGCAAGAGAGCGGCATGCTTCGGCGCGGAGGGCCCGTCAAGGAGCGGAGTGGTACGCTCGTTGGCCCGATACTCTGAGCTCCGCGACCGGGCTGTCGGATGCACTGGGGCTGCAGATCCTATTGTAGGCTTGGGCAGAAGAAACTCATGCGCGCAGTCGCTTATCTTTCTGTCCATCTTTGCGGCGACACTCACGACTGACTTGACTGCTGTTGCTGCCTCTTGCCACACTCTAGGCATGCAACGACGCCTTCGCTTTCTAGTTTCTAGTCCGGACAGAAAGCCGACGTCGGCTTGGGCCTCCTGTGGTTTGCCAATTCGGACCAACCGAATTCTCACGCGGCAAGCCTCCTTTGCTTTTTCTCTCTCTACCCCGTGGCTCGGATGCCTTCCGACGCCATCCAAACTTCCGCTGGCATCGACGCTTCGGCCCCCGCTCAGGCCTCGTCCTCCGATCGCCGGCTGCTTGGCATTGGTACTGCCGAAGGAGAGCAAGGCGAGCTGAATGCTGCTGCCGCTGTTGCAAGAAAGCTATTCTCGGCCAGATGCGAGGGCGAGCCAATCGCCACTGTATGCACGCTCAGCTGCACGCCGCACAGATCTGCATCTGGTGCATGCAGGGTTGGGCTTTCCAGGCGTTCTTCTCGACTTCTCTTGCCGCTCCTAGCTGCTCGCCAGCTCTTTTTTTTTTTTTCTGCCCGCCTCGCTTGACTCTGGCTTCCCCCCACCCGCTAAATCCAGCATTCCCCCCTGTCGCCCTGTCGTTCTTCTAATTTAGCGTCGCCTTGGGCACCGCGTGCATGCATGTCAAGACGCAAAATTCAGCGGCAGGCGTACGCCAACCCCACGCTCCACTACGGATTCCGCTCCGGCCCTTTGAGCCAAGATGCTGTATTCCGCAGACCGAGGAAGAGCCCTTTGTGGTCAGAGCGACTCGAAGATCCGCGGCTCGTTGTCTCGCCGTTTGATCGTTAGAAAGCGCCGATTGAACCCCCTTTGAAAGGCGGGGCGCTCTCTGATTCGCCCGCGTGGACGCAAGGTGCAAAGGCCCCCCCTGGGCGCCAACATGTAGCTTCGGGCGCTTAATCCTAGCCGAGACGCTGCAGACAATCGTAGGAGGCCGCTTCACAGCCCTAGCCGAGCGCTCGCATCGAGATCTCTGAAAAGAGGCCGCTCCGATCCTGTCCCAAGTGACGGGCGAAAGACGTTTCGGCTCGGCCAGGCGAGATTCCGGAAAGGAGGCCAGAAATCAAGATAGCGAGCCGCCCACTAAGAATCTCACGCACTGGCTTCGGTCTACGCAAGCCGTGGCGCAACGGGGAGTTCTGGTTTCTAGTTGGCGCGTCCAGTCACCCGCCCTAAAGTTACTGTAAAGTCACCCACACAAAGGGGCTAGATGCTCGGGCTCACAATACCAATGCCGGTGGCGGTGGGCGGGCCAAGAGCACAATCGACATGTCGCCTTTGCGAATCACAATTTCGTTTCATGTGCTCATGATCAAAGGGACGCCGCTTTGGCATTTGCATCAATCAAGACGCTGCGGCGGCTGCCAAATTGGAAATTCGGCCAAAATGTCGAATCGCCTCGCTTTCAGTGTCGACTTGGAAGGCGAGGACTCGGCGCCGCATGCCTCGACTCGGCCTTGGCCTTGGCTTTGCTTGGGACTGCAGCATGCTGTCCCGTGGCATGGCATGGCCGAGTGCAGCCACCATGGTTTGCTGGCCAGCCGAGGTGGCACGGCGATAGGGAACGGGAACGGAATCCACAGAAAAGATGTGGCGTGCACCACGGTCTCGGGGCTTGGGTGTGGGGTCGCGACCATGATGCTCGCGGGCAATGGAATGCGCCTTGCAAGGTGGCGGAGCGCTGGGCGCTGTCGGCGTTTCAACTGGTCCAGCTCAGATGCTGGAACAAGCCGTGTGTGTATCTGGGGGCGCTGGGCGGCTAAGATCCACCAATCACGAGCCAAGCCCTCCCCGCCACGTCGGCATGGGCCTCGCACGGAATCCAGCGCGCCGGTGCGGCGGCAAAACGCCACCCGAGCCAACCAGGGTCCAAAACTTCAGCCACCCTACTTGGTCCCGACCCCTGACTGCCCTCTTCTCTTGGCTCTGTCCTGTGGCCACGTTGGACTGTAGCTGCCCAGATGCCGCGACGACCTTCGCACGCCATCCTGCACCTCGTCCGCTGCGGGCGCCTAACCCGCCAACCAAAGCCGTGGCACAAGCGGTTGTCGCCTCGCTCGACGCCGCAAAGCATCGGTTGCTGCATTCACGGCGGCGTACAGTCGACCAAATTGCACAATTTTGTGTTGTTAAGTTCAGAAAGACAGACAGCGATTGTTAGGGCGAGGTTTAAGCGCGAGATTTCGCCTGTCAGTCACGTCATGCGACGCCCTCCTGCATGCACCAAAAAAAAGGATGCTGATCCGTGCATCGACATCCCACCACCTTCTGATATCCCCTCGATACCTCAACGAGAGCATTCCAAACACTCGATCATGTCAGGTCCATCGTCACAGGGCTATACAGCTGACAACGGCTTGAGGCGCATCAATACGGGGCTTTCGGAAGCCAGCGCCGGAGGTCCTCGCAGTAGCGGTGCTGGGAGCGGTCGCTTGTCGCTGCACATCCCCAACGCCTATCCTCGAGCCCTCTCGCCACGATCAGCAAACAGCTCCAAGCAAGGCACGCCGTCCTCATCTCGGGCTGCTTCGCCTTCTAGACAACCAGTATCTGCATTCGATGCGGTCAAGGGGCCAGCCCAAGGGGAGGCGGACGAGCGTTCAAGTCGCTCGGCTAGACCGCCACGCGTGAGGGTGTTTCGACGCGACAGCTCGCTCATCACTGTTCACCAGGTCGATGATGGCGCTAGCGACGGTGCTGAGCCATCAACGATCGCTGCGCCGCGTACAAGAGCGTTCCTCCGACCGGTCATAGCAGTTCGCGACTTTTTCGCTACCAAGCAGACCTCGTCCAGTTCAGCGAGGGACTTCCTCGCGCGCGAGCGCAATTTCTTCAGCTGGCTCCGTCTCTCCTGCCTGCTGGCCATTCTATCCGCCTCGTTGATCCTGCAGCTTCAACTACCCGACTCTGTCCGCTCTTCGTCACATCCTCGACGCAGACACAGCCACACCCCAGTGGATTGGGACAACTTGCCGCTGGCATCAAAAGCCTTCGCGGGAATCTTCTTCGTGCTCTCCTTGCTCGCTTTAGCAACGGGACTCGCAGACTACCTCTCTGCAGAGCGCCAGCTCGAAAAGGAACAGGTCGATTTCGACGAAACCGAAGGCGTCTTTCTCAACGACGCACACACTTCGCAGTTTGTACACGTCGTCATGCTCACCGTAGGCGCTGGCATCGTCGCTTCCGCTCTATGGCTCATAGCCTCGTAATCCCACACGCGCTGCTTAAGCATTCTCGACCCGTCACGTCCGAGCGAGGTATCGACCATGGCAACAGTCTGAAATGAGGAGAGCGAGTAGGAAGCATGCAGCGAAACGCGCGAAACCCGGACAGATCGCAAGAGGGACACTGATCCACAAAGCGAAAGGAAAGGATCGTCGCCTCGGCTCTATGGCTCATGGCCTCCTAATCACACAAGTGTTGCTGAAACGTTCACAGCCGGTCACCATGCAGTCATTCTTGAGTTTTCGACTGAGTTTTGCGATGCAGTGGCAGGAAGACATACGAACCCGGACAGATCGCAAGAGCCACACGGATACATAGGTTGAAAGGGACGGGACGTTCGACTCGCTGGCTCATGGCCTCCTAATCAAGCACACGTTGCTGAAACAATCTCAACCGGTCACCAGCCAGCCACCCTCGAGCGAGCTTTAGGTCGAGACAGGAGTTCGAACAACAAGAGCCAGCAGAGATACGTGCAGTGGGACGCGGCGCAGTCATCGTCGCATCCGCTCTCTGGCTTATATCCTCACAGAATTTACACAAGGTGCTGAACCATTCTCAAGCAGTCACCACCAAGCGACTATTCGACCGTGACAACGATTTCGAATGACGAGAGCGAGTAGGATACATGCAGAGAAACGAAGGCATACAAAACGCGAAAGCGACAATGATATACAGTATGAAAGGATCGGAGCAACGTGACGTTTGGATTGGGGCAGCGATGCTTGCGCTGCTTGGGGGTATGGATAGTGGTATCGCCAGTCACACTGCGAGCAAAGCTTACTGCCTGCCTTCGGACAGGACAGGGCTGTGTTTGGCACAGAGTGACATGGTATCGGTAATCGCCCTTATCTCGTACGGCTGCTGACACCGTGCGCTGTTGCGCCAGCAGCCGGTGGTGACGAGACGACCTTGATGGTGGGCGGAGTTGGGCGATTGCGCGGCGGACTGAGGACCTGATGCGAGACTTTGCGTTGATGCTGCTGCAGCTGTTGGTCGGCCAGATGCTTCTGGTACTGCAGCGTCTTCCTCTGGCTCCGCGCCATCTCGTTCTCCGAATCTTCCACCACCGTCTTGAGTTTTTCGCCAGCCAGACGGATGGCGGCGCTTGAAAAGTTTAAGGGCAGAAAGAGGTAGAATGCCACGCCGCGTTCCCACCAAGGATCCGACACACGATGCGGCGTGCTTCGCGAGCGCGATCGCTGTGCACCCGCATCATTCCTGGCTCGCGATGCGCGCGAGTCGGCACCTGATGGCGGCGTCGCCGAATAGTTGGGCGGAGTGCCGGCGCCTGGAGGAGAGACCAAGCCAGACGCTGGGGCCGAACCTCCCACTTCGCGCGACGAGACGACTGAGCCGTAAGCCTGGCTCACGTACGGCTGCGAATGTGCGCCAGCCGATGGGTCGGCCGGACTCATTTCGGCTTCTGTGGAGCCTGTGCCGATGCCGAGCGCGGCAGTGGAAGGAAGACTGCGCGGCATGTCGTGCAGGTAGTGCTTGGGTCCTGCGCGGCGAACTGTAAGCCCCGAACCCAGCAGATACTTGACAGCTTCGAACAGCGAGATGCGCAGACTTGCTGCTCGCTCGCGTTCTCGGCGCTCCTCTTCGATCAACTCGGCATTGATCGCGGTCTCGCGAAGAAGATCCTCCAGCCTGCTCTCGACGATGCTGAACTTTTCCTCGGCGGACAGTCGCAGATGTTCTTCCTTGCGCTCCGAGCGGCGAACGGCACGGCTAAGCTGAGCGTCGTAGTCGCGTAGGATGCGCACCTCGCTCTTGGTGGCGTAGAGTTTGCGCAAGCTCGTAAGGTCAGCTTCGAGGCGGCGAAGGCGTTGGTTCATGCGCTCGACTTTGGACGAGGGGTAATGCACCTGCTCCTGGAGGTGGAGCATGCGACGACGGAAGAGTCCCATGGCATGCGACCATGGCTTGACGCCCGCAGCTAGCGTAAAAAGTCGAATGTTGAAGGCGTTGAGGTACTTGTTTCCGTCGGTCATGGTCTCGCGCATCCAGTAGAGCATGTAGGCTCCCATGATGGGGCTCAGGACGCAAAAGAGGAGGCTGAGCAGCTCCGAGCGCCGAAGCTCGGCGGCGGCTTGCTGACGAGTCTCGTTTTGCTGCTCGGATTCGGCAGAGGTTGGAGTCGGGCGAGGGGTTGTGCCATCGGAGGCAACGTCTTCCTCTTCTTGCTCCTCGTCGTGTGCGAGAACCTGACGGGTCCTCGAAGCGTAGTAGATCTCCCACGGCACCCGAAGGAACTGGTAGAGCCAAAAGCTGGCGAGGATGAGCAGGATCGCATCCGACCACGCGTCCGAGTGACCGCCGAGCAGAGCGCCTAGCGGAGGCGCGAGTGCTACAGCCAAGGGGGCATAGTGCCAGCCTCCGAACGTGTCTCGGGCTGCGCTTTGTGCGGCCTCGAATTCGGCTTCCTCGCCCTCGGTCATGGAAGGCGGAGCGTGTGGTACAAATTCTGGGTGCGTGGCATTCTGCCTGGTGTACTGCTTGGCGGAGAAGTCGGGAGCGTCTTCCTCTTCTTCCTCGCTGAGGTGTTGCATGGGAGGAGCCGAGGAGGAAGAAGCCGAGCGGCGATAGCGCGGCATGGGCGGATTTAAGCTCGAGGTCGAGTGTGAGCGGGTGTGGCGAGCGGGTCTTTCGGTGTAGGTCGAGATGTTGGGAATGGAGGAGCTTCTTGGTGCTGCGAAGCCACTTGCGGCGGCTGGTGCGCTGGACGGGCTGCCACCTTTGAGGCCTGTCCTGGAGGCCGGGTGGTCAAACATGTCGCGACCACGGCCCTCTGCGGCGATCTTTTGGAGCTCGCTCATGTCGGTGGTGTGGCTGGCAATGCCAAAGACGTCGATGGCATCGATGCGGGTGGTCTCGGCTTCTTCCTGGTTCGAGAGGACGGCGATGGTGAGCGAGTCGACCTTCTGAAATTTGACGAAGCGGAGCGAATAGGCCTTGCCTCCGCCTCCGTTCTCGGCGCCTCGAACGTGTTCGTCGGGAAGCTCGAATTCCTGATCGGCGTTTTCGGTGGTGGCGTCGTCGAAGCCGAGTCCAGGTCGATTGACAAAGATCTTGACTTGCCTGGGAGCGTGTGCGAAATGCGAGGGGAGCGTGCGGAGGAGGATGCCAGAAAGCTTGACTTGCTGTTTGAATGTGAGGGAGATGAGGAGTTGGTCGTCGGCATCGCTTTCGAGCCACTTGCCGCCGCTTGGTCCGGCGAGAATGTGGTGGAGGCGACGGTCAGGCTTTTCGTTGAGCGCCGAAGACTGCTTGGGTTCGACCACCTTGAGCAGCGAAGTCTGCGACACGGTATGGATGGCATCGTAGATGAGACAGGAAGCAAAGCAAAAGCAAGGATGGCGGGTTAGCAACGTCGGACTTATAGAAGGCTTAAAGGACATGCTCTGACGGCCAAAGGCGGAGGATGTGATGTGTATTGAAGAAGGGTCGGTGATGGGCATGGCGGGGCAAGCTAGCCGAAGAAGAGATACACGAGGTAGGCGCCGACAACAAGCAGGGGAAGGAGGTTTTCGAAGCTTACATGGCCATCGGTGATGCCTGCGACGGCTCGTGCGCCGAAAGAATTGGAGTTGGAGTTGGAGGAGCCAGTGCCCGAGAGCGTTTGACCTGAGCCCGAGAAGGCCGAGGATGCGCCGGAAGAATGCTGTTTGACCAGGGCGGTGAGACGGTTGGGGTCAGCACCCTGCAGAGTGTCGACGACGTTCTTGTTCTTGAGGAACAGGAAAGTGGGCATGGCGCGGACACGGTAGCGCTGCGCCACGGCTTGCACGCGGTCTACATCGACCTTGAGGAAGGTGACGTTCGGATGCTGTATGTAGAGTAAGGTGAAAAACACACGAAGGGTCAGTCTACCGGGTGCGTCGTTTTTGACCGACTTGTCGCTGCAGCAGAAGCACGAACCCTAGTTGCCAACTGTTGGAAGACGGGCGCGATGACTTTGCAAGGACCACACCCTGAAGATAGAGATTGCAAAGGGTTGTCAGAAGATCATGTCGACTCGGCGAGAGATTGTGCGTTGGGATGAAGCACTTACAGAGCGCGTGGAAGTCGACGACGACAAGCTTGGAGCCGGCCGCCTGGAGCTCGGCATCGAACTCGGTGGCTGAGACGACTTCCTTGACCATCGTTGGATCGTGGATCGAGGGGGAGTCTGCAGTCTGGAGCTGATGGATCGATGTAATAACAGAAGATGGCGCCAGTGCAACTCAGATGGGCAAGGGCAAAAGCGAGGATACAGCTGCAAGAGGCTTCCGATGCAGTGTGCTCTGCGGTGGGCTTTGGCTAGTGTGGCCAGGCCAGGTCAGGTCAGGCACACGCCGACAGGGCGGCGCAACTGTGCACGGTGGCGGCGCGGTGTGACGCCAGGGCCAAGTGCCACTTTTTCGCGTTCGGGCTTTCGCTTGCGGACCCTGCGGACCAAAGCCGGGCAAGAGAGCACGGGTCCAAACGCAAGTGCACGGGTGCCACCAGCGTGCAGCCCACAACGCGCGCGCGTGGCGTGTCGAGCGAACGAGCAGGCGCACTTTGAGAGGTGTTGTACCACGGCTCACGATTCGAGCAACAGTCAGCACTCCGAGCGTGTGTCGAGCAGAAAATCAATTCCAGTCGCATGACCGGACCTCGAGCTTCTCCGCCTCCGAGCAAAACGCTTTCTGCTCGCATCGTCTCAACCACCGTTTTCACACCGGATCTTGCTCCGAGCGTACCAGCAACACCGCTCTCGACGGGGCTTGACAGGTGTGAATGGCGCCACCGTTCGCTGCTCGGCGACAGAGCAACATGCAAGGGTGGCTGCCGAGGCGTGAGAACAGGCTTGCTCCTGCGTCCCCACCGCACCTTGTGAAAACGAAGGCTTTCCTCACAAAACGTCGCTTTGTCAGTCTAACAGTCCTAAAGAATTTCAGGTGGAGGTTTTCGGGTGTTGCACTTTCTGTCACTTTGCGGCTCAGCCCAACGCGCGTTCTTCTCAGCCAAAAGTTACAGAGGGTGACGAAGCCTCTCCGCGGAGCGTGTCTTGAAGCGCCATCACCTTCACTCACGGTCAAGTCACATCGATCAAAAGCGCCACTCGCATCCTCCGCATCGGCAGCGTGACCGACCATGACGAACCAACGAGCCGACACAGACGAGCCGAGCTACCCGGTCAAGCTCTTTGTCTACGACCTCTCGCGCGGCATGGCTCGCTCAACGTCGCTCCCGCTCACCGGCCGCCAGATCGATGGCATCTGGCACACCAGCATCGTAGCCTGGGACCGCGAGTACTTCTTCGGCCAGGGCATTTCGGTCGTTTATCCTGGCACGTCGCATCACGGCGCTCCGCTCGAGACGTTTGACCTTGGCACCACCTCGATCGACCGCGAGACTTTCGACGGAGCGCTGCTTCCCGACCTTCGCCAACGCTTCCGTGCACAAGACTACAACCTGCTCTCCTGGAACTGCAACAACTTCACGCAAGAGGTGGCTCAGATCCTTACGGGTGCAGACATTCCAGCCCACATCCGTTCTCTTCCACAAGACTTCCTCAGCACCCCTTTCGGCCAGATGCTCCAGCCGCAGATCGACGCCATGTTCCGTCACCCATCTGCCGACATTTCTGCGCCAGCCACTGCAACACCCTCCAGCAGCGCAGCCAACAACCTGCTTGATCAGGTCGCCTCTCGTGCGTATGCAGGCAATACGACCGTCGAATCGCGGGCATCTAAATCGGCAAGCCCCAACGCTCCCATCCGCCACATCACAACGCAAGCCGAGCTGGCAGAAATCCGCTCGCTCTTTCCGTGCGTAGCTGTGCTCTTCACCTCGCAGTCCTGCCCGCCGTGTCGCATCGTCGAGCCTGTATTTGAGGATCTGGCACACCACTACCACGTCCAAGACACTCAGCCCGGCAACCACAAGCGGATCGCGTTTGTCCAGGTCGAGTCCAACGCCGCCACTTTGAACTTGTTCTCGCAGGCAGGCGTATCGGCTGCCCCGACAATCCAACTACTTGCGCTCGGCAAGCAGGTCAATCAGATCAAGGGCGCCGATCCGCCAGGGCTCAAGTCTGCTGTGGGCTCGTTGCTCCTCGAGGTGTACCCGCCACATCTGCACGCACGCCTTTCTCCTCCCATCAAGTCCTTGGGTTCTCTACCGCAGCAGCCTCATACGTACGTGGCCAAGCCACGACTAGACTCTTTGCTCCAGAAAGTGGATGCCACTATTGCACAGCATCCATGCAAGACATTTGCCGACAAGGCCGATCTACAGGCGGCGCGCAAGGTCATTGCTGCGGCCTGGATCCCATGGCTCGACACCGTCAGCGGCACCAAGGCGAGTCCAGCGCCTCCAAGTAGCCTTGTTCAAGACACCTCGCTCGTTGTTAGGCGCCTTTCGGTCCTGCCCATCGATACGCTCTTTCCCATCCTGGACCTCTTCCGGCTTTCTGTGCTGAACGAGTCATTCGTTCGCACCGCTTTTGCAGCGCCGCTTGCCGCCGATCGGAACGAGGTCAACGGGATCACCCGACTCTTGTCGCTCGTATCCGAGGTGGCCTACAAAGGCGAGTGGAACGCAAGTCAGCGTCCGTTACTGCTCACCTCGGCACGATTGCTTTCGAATCTGTCGGCGTCGACCACGTTTGTCGAGGTGATCGAGTCGCACGAAACCATCCGCAGCCTCACACTCGAGCTCACGACCAGTCTGTTGCTATGTCCCGACGCGGGTGTTCGCAGTGCGGCAGCAACCTGTGCTTTCAACCTGGCGCTTCATCAGCATGCCGAGAGGAGCGACTGGGTCAACCGCGATCCTGCCGCAGCGCCCATGCTCGGCAGCCGGCTTGGCGAGACGTGGGAGTCGGAGCTGGCTTCGGCGCTCCTGCAGGCCATCGCCAACGAGTCCGAGTCGGAAGAGACGCTCCACCGTCTCCTGGCGGCTCTCACGCTGCACATCCATCTGTCGCAATTCTGGTCCGAGAGCGTGGGTCCCATGCTGCAGGTGTTGGATGCACAAGATTTACTCGAGGCCAAACGTGATAGCGGCTTTGTGAGCAGCTCGGCCAAGAAGCAAGACTTGGCCGGTTTGCTCGACGATCTCACTCGCCTCGTGTCGTGCAATACTGATTAGCAATGGATTGCGGTTCGGTCCCGTTCGGGACGACTCGCCTAGATGTTTTGGCCAATCGATTCGAACGAGGGGGCCCGCACTTTTGTCCTTCCTGCCATGTGAACACGATACGGGCAAGCGAACAAAGTGCATGGCTTTGAGAGTGGAGGAATCGTACCGAAGTGGTTGTCGTTTCGAAACGCGGGGTGGGGAGCCGAAAGCGCTGAAAGCCGAACCACACACGTCGAGACAGGGTCCTTATCAGTCGGGATTCTGATTGGGCGTGATTTCGCACCATCGGGCGAAAACTCGGCCGTGTTTCGACCATGCTTATCTAGCTTTCTTCTGCGGAGTTGGTCTCGAGTCACGCTGGCTTCTTACAGAATCGCTCCGACAAGGCTTCGAGAAGTACATTGTAGCTCCCACACACACCGCACCAACCTAATTTCGCCGTGCGCTTGGACCCACTCGACTGACGGGTCCAAATGAAGTCGGGCGGTGTTGGACAGATAAGACGCGTCCCGCCTACCGCTTCCTAGCCATCTAGCCGCTCGCACAATCCACACTCCGGTTTGAGACCGATGCCACTTTGTGTGCACTTGTGCATTCGTCATGCGATCGTTCCCATGTGGATGTAGCGAACAGAAGGAATTGAAGAAAAGCAAGATGTCGAAGGGCTCATATCGGTCCGTGCGGCGATCTCGGCAGTGAGATCTCTGGTGCGCAGAGAAGCGCCGCTGATAAGCCGCGTCTGATAAGGATGCCTTCTCGTTCTCGCTTGCAACAGCATGGGAAAAGCAGAGTCTCCTTCATTTCGGCTTGCATTCTGCCAGGCCTTGAGCCTTCGGGCTGATCCGGCTTTGTAGGGTGGGAGATGCGAGTGCTGAACAATGCGCCTCAATCTGGAAGAATCCACCAACCGATCTGGCTGGCATGCATATAAAGAAGAGGCTTTGTCCACTACGACTCCGAGGTTCGTCCCTCTGTGTGCATACGCCCACCCAACTTCTTCTCCCACCTTCATTTGTCTGGCCGAGAAGCGAAAATTTTCGTCGCTTGGGCACGATAGTGGATCTCACTCTTTATAAAGCACCACCCTCGACAAAGCCCCCCATGGTCGCTTCCACCAAAGTCCTCCCTGAGGGAGCCGGCTGGGCCGTCATCGGCGGCCTTGGTTTCTTCTTTGCCGGATTCATGATAGTCCTCTCTTTTATCCAGCAACGATACACCAACCGCTCTATCAAGGACACCGACGAGTTCGCCTCAGCCTCTCGCTCCGTCAAGCCGGGCCTCATCGCCGCCGGCATCTGCTCCGCTTGGACATGGTCTTCGACATTGCTCCAGTCTAGCGCTGTATCGTATAAGTTCGGTATCACGGGAGGCTACTGGTATGCCGCCGGCGCCACGATCCAGATCCTACTATGCTCCATCATGGCATGCCAGATCAAGCTCAACGCACCGTTCTGCAGTACCTTCCTCGAGGTGCTCAGGGTGCGCTGGGGCAAGGTGCTGCATTGCGTCCTCCTCTTCTTCTCTCTTGCCACCAACCTACTTGTCTCGTCGCAACTCGTAGTGGGCGGCTCCGCAGTTGCCAGCACCCTCACGGGTATCCCGATCATGGCCGCCATCTGGCTCATCCCCCTCGGAGTCTCGGTGTACGTCCTCGTCGGAGGCATGCGTGCCACGCTTCTGGCAGACTACACGCACACCGTCGGCCTGCTCGTCATCATCTTCTACTTCTTCTTCAAAGTCTGGGTCACCTCCCCCGAGATCGGCAGCGTCGAAGAGATGGTCAAGCTCCTCAAGACATCCAACGGCATCCAAGGCAACGCCGGCGGTAGTCCTCTAACCTTCAGGTCGTTAGAAGGTTTTATCTTCGGACTTATTAATATAATCGGGAACCTAGGAACGGTGTTCTGCGATCAGAGCTACCATCAGCGCTCGATTGCCTCGAATCCGGCGACGGCGGCCAAGGCATTCCTTCTGGGAGGTTCGGCGTGGTTTGCGATCCCTTTCCTGTTCTCGATGACCATGGGTTTGAGCGCAAGAGGCCTGCTTTTCTCGGGCAATCCTCTCATGCCCGCGCTCTCTGCAGCGGACGTCAACGCGGGCCTTGCTGCTCCTGCCGCAGGAGTGGCTCTCGCCGGAAAGGGAGGCGCTGTAGCGATGCTCATCATCCTCTTCCTGGCGGTCACTTCGGCGTCGTCTGCGCAGCAGGTAGCAGTGGCCTCGGTCCTGACGTTTGACGTGTACAAGCCTTACATCCGCCCCAATGCGTCGCAGCGAGAGATCTTCATCATGAGCCACGTCGGTGTGCTCATCTGGGCGATCGTCATGGCGGTGTTCGGAACCATCTTCTACTATGCCGGAATCTCGCTCGGATGGCTCTACCTGGCGCAGGGCATCATCATTGCGCCTGCCGTCATGCCTATCTTCTGCGGACTGGTCTGGAAGCGAACCAACAAGATGGCATGCCTGGCCGGCATGATCGTCGGTGTCGTCTGCGGCATTGTCGCTTGGATGGTGACCGCAGCCACGCTTTACGGCGAAGTCACCGTCGACACGACTGGAAAGGACTATCCGACGCTGGCGGGCAACATGGTCTCCCTCGGAGTGTCTTCGATCATCACCGTCGCTGGAAGCCTGCTGTGGCCCGAGATCGAGGACCACTTTGTGCTGACGCGAAGCATCAACGCGCCCGTCGACGTCGTAGAGCGCATGACCGCCAACTCTGGACGTTCCTCGCCTGGCTCGCCCTCGACTCCTTCGGCGGAAAAGTCGCAGTACGACAGCGAAAAGATGGCACCGCCGACTGCGACGGTGCCCTATACCCTCGAGACGGTCGACTACGTCAAGGCGGCAGGACTGGATGCCGACGAGCTGAGGCGAACGCTGCGACAGACGAGCTGGATCAGCGTTGCCGCCTCGCTGATTCTCTGCGTGATCATTCCGGCGTGCCTGGCGTCGCGAAGGATCTGGAACGCGACGGGTCTGGCGGCGTACATTTGGATTGGATTCATCTGGCTCGTCTGGACGACGTTTGCCGTGGGTATTCTGCCCATCTGGGAGTCGCGCCGCGAGCTTGGCGCCATCCTTCGAGGCGTGGGCAAAGACCTGACCGGCAAGAACGGCAAGGTTTCGCATGATGCCGATTCTGCCAAGTCTTAGACTTACACCACCGAAGGCCGCGCTTTTCTGTGGAATAGTGAGCGATTTTTACCGCGAACTGCACTCGGACGAAGTGCCTTGACAACAGACCTCCGCGTTGCAGCCGTGACATGAGAGTGATATTGAGCTGAGCCGAGTCTCGGTAGGCGTTGTCTAGCATCTCGCTTTCACGCTCAATGTGATGTTGGACATGTGACCCGGCTAGCCGTCTTTCGCAAAGCGTACGGATCTGACTGATATGAACGTGCTCTCGCTACACCAAGACGGTGCCGTGCCGACGTTCTGTAGTCACGCGTGTGATGACCGGGCGGCAGTTGGCGTCGACCCGTTGGGGGCTGCGGCAAGCCCGTGTTACAACTCCGAGCAAGTGCAGTGCGCTCACAGCCGCCCTGATTCGGCTGTCCATCCGACGCCAACCAGGCCGAGCCCAACGAAGTGCAATCAGGACCTTCCGCTGTGGTACCAGCCAACGCACGCAAAAGAAGGGTCTGGCGAGGCTTTCGAATCTGTCGAATACGGCTGTCTCGGCGGCTTGGAGTGGGGTCCGTGCTAGCAAGATTAAAAATCCGGACGGGGCACATCTGCACTCTTTTTTTTAAGGTTTAGAAGCGCGTTTTTCATGTGGCACGGGACCGACTCCGCATGTCGGGACCTGAAGAAGGTGAGCGTGGTTAGAAAGTGCTCTCAGAGAGCGCGCTGCAAGGCCTCTCTGGCTTAGCGGATGGCTGGGCGTGGGAGCAAAACCTTTGGTCGCGACAGCAGAGGAAAAGTCCCCCTTCTCCAGCATCAAGATTCAGTGTAGGAATCGGAGCTCCTGCCGAATGCTGACAAGAGTGTCGGCCAGGCCGAGCGGCTGATTCACTACGGCCCCAAGCATGGCTCAACGAGCCCTGTGAAAGAGTGCAAACAGCGTAATCCAACCAAGCGCAAGGAATTTGTCAAGGACGGCCCGGGATGTGGCGTGAGGGCCTTCCTGGCCGTTGCTGAGCAGGACTTGTCATCAACATCCAATCACGCCGCCCTTTCTGGCTCGAACGTCGATCGTGTTTCGACATTCGATCGTCTTGGACGTTGGCGAGTCGTCAGCATCTCATGGCGCCAGGACTGCAAGGCCACGAGACGACAAAGGGAGCAACAGCAAAAAGCGGCCACACTTCTTCTTGGCCATGGGAGGCACAGCGTCGAGGCAGCGGCTGACGTGAGCCCGTGCCCAGCCGCGTTGGGAAATTTCGGCCAACACTCAGCATGCGACCTCAGACCCTGGGGAAAACGCGAGGGGCGTGCGGAAAAACGTCGAGCGCTCTCACCGCCTCGAGCCTTCATGCGGCGAGTGTTGGTTCGGGAGCGCCGACAGGGTCCAGCGGCAGCCACGAGAAAAATGGAGAGAGAGAGAGACAAGACAGGTGCAGGGCGAGATGCAGGCACAGGCAAGCGAGCCCGTGCTTCTGTTCCAGCTCCGAGCAGGTTCGGCCAGCTTTCCACATGTCCTGCCTCCCACCGCTCTCGATGCTTTCCCCTGGCTACAGGTGCTGGCTGCAGCCTCGAAGCTGCTGTATATAATGTCGACGAAGGACCCCGACATGGGGGCCGAGATGCCCCAATCCCCACATCTGCCCGTGCCCTTTCCTTGACCACCTCTGCTTGCCAACGACGAAGCTCTGCAACCACCCGCATTGACATCTTAGCGCTTCCGACCCCAACCGTCGAATCCTTGCGACCGCCCTATCTGAACCTCTTATCAACCAGAGCGACCGCCAGTTTCCACACTTGCGCGGCATCCGCGAATACCTCTACCTCGCTCTCGGCGTATCGTCTCGCGGTCTTCGAAGGCCCTCAATCTCTTCTCTGCGTTGACCACGAACAGCGTTGCAACGTCGTCAACCTCAGAGACATACACTGCGTCGCCTATTTGACACGCTCAAGACACATCCAGCACACAATCCGGCTAGCTCAACGTTAGCTGCTTTTCCGCAAAGATGTCCACAGTCACTACCGAGACCATGGCGCAGGTATGCTCTCGATTCCTTTTCCGTCACTTCTCTCACATACGAACTGTTTCTGACTCTTCCCATTGTCACCGGTGCTCCCGCATCACTACAGATCAAAACCTTTGTCCAAGACAAGGTGCACCAGACGACGGATGCCGCTGGCCTTTCCGCCACCGAGACGCGCAAGAAGGCGCAGGTGACGCTCAAGCAAGCGCAGGCAACGTCCTCCGCGGTTGCCAACTCTTCGATGGACCAGCTCCAATCGTTGCTCGACCAGCTCAACCGCAGCAGAGTCGTGAATGACGTCAAGCTGCTCGGCCAGGCTCCCAACCTCCTCGTCTCGGGCCTGACGGGCGGCGGCCTCGACGACCGCAAGATGCTTCTCGAGCAGCTCATCACGCTGCTCGCCAGCATCCCCGTCACCTCCAACATCAGCCGCACCCTCTCAAATGCGCTCATCACCATCATCTGGGGCGACTTGCCTCATCCGCCCGTTTCCTTTATGGGTCCCGAGCACCGCTTCCGTCGAGCCGACGGATCGGACAACAACATTCAGATTCCAAAGCTCGGCGCTGCCAACCAGCCCTACTCGCGCAACGTCCAGCGCACGCAGCCTCAGCCCGTCAACCTGCCTGATCCTGGCACCGTCTACGATCTGCTGCTCGCTCGCGACAGCTTCGAGCCCCATCCTAGCGGCATCAGCTCGCTGCTCTTCAACTTTGCCAACATCATCATTCACGACATCTTTTCAACCACGCGCAAGCCGGGCGCTCACTCGTCGTACAATGAACACTCATCCTATCTGGATCTTCAGGTGCTCTACGGCGCCAACCAGGAGGAGCAGCGTCGAGTCCGAACCGGCACTATGGGCCTCCTCAAGCCCGACGCCATTGGCGACTGGCGCCTCGTCATGATGCCCCCTTCGACGACGGCCCTCGCCATCATGTTCTGTCGAAGCCACAACTACATCGCCAAGCGTCTGTACGAGGTCAACGAAGGCCACCGATTCGACGATCTCGAGGGAGAGCCGCTCGACGAAGAGCTCTTCGGCATTGCCCGCCTCGTCAACTGCGGCCTCTTCCTCCACATCATCCTCCGCGACTACATCCCCGTCATCCTCAACACCAACGACTCGGAATGGTACGTCGATCCGCTCGAGGTCATCAGCAACGTTCCCGGCGTCGGCAAGGTGGAGCGAGGCATCGGCAACTCGGTCGCCGCCGAGTTCTCGGTGCTCTACCGCTGGCACGCGGCCGTGTCCCAGATGGACGAAAAGTGGATGAACGACTTCCTCTCGTCCAGATTCCCTGGCAGGAAGCCCGAAGAGGTCTCGCCCAAGGAGTTTGTCGAGGCCGCTGCGGAGATCAAGTCCGAGTTCGCCGACACCGACCCGGGCGAGTGGAACCTGCACGACTGGGAGAGGGATGCCCAGGGCAAGTTCAGCGATGCCGTGCTGGCTCAGGTCGTCAAGGACGCCGTCTCGGACGTGGCTGCCGCATTCCGCGCCCGCGGCCATCCCAGCTGGTTCCGTCCCATCGAGATCCTTGGCCAGATCACGGCGCGCAAGGACTGGGCGCTCTGCACCATGAACGAGTTCCGCCACTTCCTCGGCCTCAAGACCTACTCTTCCTTCCGAGAGTGGAACCCGGATCCCAAGGTGTACGAGGCCGCCGAGATGCTCTACGGCGATATTGACAATCTCGAGCTCTACCCAGGTCTCATGGCCGAGGAGGCCAAGCCGAGCATCCCGGGCAGCGGCCTCTGCCCCGGCTACACGATCTCGCGCGGAATTCTCAGTGACGCCGCTGCGCTCACGCGAGGTGACCGCTTCTACACCAACGACTTCTCCACCTCGAACCTGACGAGCCGTGGCTACGAGCACAGCACCGCCCCGCAGCCTGGCTCGCACGGCCTGATGGGCAAGCTCATCATGTCGACGCTGCCCGGCCAGTTCACGTACAACTCGGTCTATGCGCTCTATCCCTTCCGCATCCCGTCCAAGACGATCCAGATGCTCAAGGAGAAGCGTGTGCTCGAGCACTACGACACCTCGTACCCGGCCCCGGCTCGTCGCTGGCATGCGATCGAGTCGTACTCGGCAAGCCGCAATCTTCTCGCCGATTCCGCCTTCTTTGTCACGCTCCCGTCCGTGTCGTACGACGAGAGTCTGATGTCGTCGGCACTCCAGACGATCTCGGGCTGGCAGGGTGTCGTGGGCGAGTTCTACAGCGTCAACACGGACACGCTCATGAAGGCTCGAAGCATTCCCTTTGCTCCCTCGGGCGGCCAGCGCATCGTCGACCTTCTCGACATTGTCAACACGGTCTCGGCGCAATTCACCTCGACGCTGTTTGGACTGCCGACGCCGGGCACTCACGGCCTGCATCTCGGCATGTCGCCGCAGGAGCTCTTCCTCATGCTCGCCAAGCCGCTCGCCTTTGCCATGTACGGCTCGTTCGACTTCCAGGGCCATCAGACGTGGCAGCTCGAGGAGCAGTCCGAGACGTGCAAGCGTCGTCTCAAGAACCTCATCTGGGCGCGCCTGCACACGATCGACGGCATCCTGTCTCCCGTCTTCTCGCTCGTCCAGAACATCTCGAACGTGCTCGGTGGCCCCGGCAACATTGCCGCCGGCGAGATGGCCAAGCAGTTCTACCATGCGCTTCTGGCCTCGGGCAAGACCAACGACCAGCTCGTCCGCGACTGCCTCAACATGATGATCTCGCTCACGGCCACCCACTCGCTGGTGATGATGCAGATTTTCAAGTGGTTCCTGCTCGAGGAGAACGCCGAGGAGCTCTCGGCGATGTACACGCTCGCCCAAAAGACGGATCCGGACTCGATGGATGCCATGCGCCGCCGCCTCATGGAGGCCTACCGCGTCAGCAGCATTACGCCGGCCCAGCCCAAGTTTGCGCTGCAGTCGGTCGTGCTGCCGGATGCCGACGGCGCCAAGGTCCAGGTGCAGGTCGGCGACGGTGTCTTCATCTCGCCCTCGGCGCTCTACCGAGACCCGCTGCTCTCGGACGACCCCGAGCGCTACTCTGCGTCTAGCGATGTGCCGGTGCGTCTCGGCCTCGGTGACGCGCCTTCGCAGGCGATCCTCGAGGTTGCGCTTCCCGCCATGGCCAGGCAGTTCTTCAAGCACGCTGGCCTCCGCATGGCACCCACAGGTCCTCCTCCGGTCGTCAACGATGCCGGACCCAACCCCAACGAGAAGCTGCCCTACTTTGTCGGCAACCGTGGCACGGAGCATCCGCTACCCATGGAGACGTCGATGCACCTCATCTACGAGGCGCAGTAGTCGATTGCGCCGCCCCGAGTCCTTGTGTTTGTTCCTTTGGCGAATCCCTTTCCGGTTTCCCTGCGCTCGACGACGTCCCTCGCCACTTCTCGCACCATGCCGCGCCGTGTACGATCCGCACATTCATTCGCAAATGTTCATGTCCGATCTCATTTTTCAAGCCGGACCGAGGCAGTCATGCAGCGCTGATCGCATTGAGCGGATCTTTGTTGTGGGGATGCGGAATCGCTGTGCTGTACACGAGTGGTGACAGGGGATCAGCTTGCATCTCGAGCTGGAAGGCGGATGTCGGATGTTCCCGCGCCATCGTTGGCCATGAGCGAGAGCGCGCTGGTCAGCTTTTCTGCGTCTGTGGTGGCATGGATGCGGCGGCGCGTTGTTTCAAGCGCCTGCTGTAGTTCCAGCTGAAGGTCTCGGGATGCCGGCTCGCTCGAGTTTTGCTTGCGAAAGAGGGCGTTGCTGAGGTAGAAGCAGAGCTTGCGCTGGGTCAGCTTGAGCGACTTTTGCACGGAAGGCTCGAGCTTGTCGCGCCCGTCTGAGGCTAAATCGTCGAGGAAGAAGTACAGATCCGCGACTGCACTGAGCAACGACGGCGACTGAGCGATCGAGAAGGCGGTCTCGGGCTGCAAGGCCGTGAAGCGGGACACGAGCCAGTGTCGTGGCTCGACGGCGTCGCCGGAGTCGAGGCTGGGAGCGAGTCGCTCGACGGCCAAGATATCGGCGAGGTCTTCGAGCAGCTGTAGAGCGAGCGCGTCTGCACCGCCAGGCCCAACTTCGGTGTCCAACGAGAGGTGGGAGAGGACCCAGAGCGAGGCATCTTCGAGTGTTGACAGAACAGTCGTGCCCTTTCCACGGGGAAAGCTGGACGCGGCGCGTGCAGGGTGCGAGAAGAGAAAGGGCACAAGAGTGCGCAGCTTGTCAAACGCCGTGTGGACGGTGTAGACATCATCGAGGATGGATGGGGAGGTGCTTAGACTAGGACGATGCGGGGAGGTCGAGGTGGGTATAGATGGCGCTCGAGGAGCAGGTTCTGGGACATCGGGCTCGAGTGGCGGTGGGCCGTCGTCGTCGGTGTTGCCAAAGGTGTCATCGAAGTCTGGCGGAATGATCGAACGTAGGCGGTCCGTGTCGGAGGTCGCTGGGTTCGTTGGATTCTTGGAAGGTCGGGTGAGCTCGGAGAGACTCGTGGTGTCCAGGTGACGGAGGACGTAAGCGTAGGCCATGAGAGCTGCGCACAGATTGTACCGAAGATCCAGCGCTGGACGCGCGTCCGTTGCGGAAGTTCCGGAAGGCTTCGCAGCTGCGAGCTTGGTGAGCGTGTCGACGAAAGAAGACACTTGCTCCTCCGACCGGCCGGTGAAGTCGATGAACGCATCTGACTTCTTGAACCACGGAGCGAACTGATATACAGAGGTTTCCCGAGCGCTAGCTTGCGGCTGTTGAGCTTTCAAGCGCTGCACCGTCAATGCACCGTCCGACTCCTGGCTTGAACTCGCACTCGCGTGTCGAGCAGCTTTCTGATCCAAGCGCCGCATGAGCTTTGTAGCTGACTGCTGGCTCTTCATCGCATTGAGGAACTTGACCTTTTGCTTTTCCGTGAGCATTGCCAGAAGCTCGTCGGTGGATGCAGCTTCCACCTGCTCGGGTGTGAACGCTGCCTGCCGCAGTGCATCTTCTGCTTCTGCTTCCGTGTCCCCGCTTTCGCTATCGGATTCGCGCAGTTGACCCTCTCGAGCAGAGGTTTCATCCGCCTGAAGACGATGGAGCATGTCAAAGACTTTGCGGCGATCGCCATCGTTCGTCTCACTGGCTATTGACTCCGAAGCGCCTCGCACAGCAACCGACGAGAAGGCGGCCGAGCACTGCTCGTGATCCGAGCTGCGGAAGCAATCGAGCGAGCAAAAGGGGATGTTGCATTTAGGACAAGTATATGAGGCTGCAGTGGTGTAGCAGATGTTGCAAAGTCGTGTCGAGATCCCCCTGGCCGATGTGGGCGTGGGCAGCAGGTCCTGCTCGCGAGCTTTATCGCGACGGGTCGCGCGCGAGACGTTGAAGAGATCCGACAGCGACATCGTGTGTCCATCCGCAGCTTGCAAGCCACACTATGCCGCTTGACCGAGATAGATGGTCACCATGTGGATGTTGTGACCGCAATCTGGCTCCTGCCAAAGACGCGAAGGTGGTGAGCGGCAATCGAGCTTGAAGGTGGAGCTGCGGGTACTTTTGCGGAATTGCAGAATTCAGGGTCCAGTGGAGGCGGCAAGTCTCTCTCGTGCGAAAGGTGCCCTCGGAGCACATAGAGTGCAGTCGGCTCCGCGCATTTTTTGAGGTGCCTTGCAGACTCGCCTTGTCTGCCTTGTCGAGGCGCGAAGATCCCACTTGTAGGAAATTTTTGACTTTTTGGACCCAGTTTGCGGCCAAGCTGCCTCGAGCCGCTGGAGAAGCTCTGCATCGTCCTGAACATCATCAACATCGTCCAGCCCAATTGCACCTCGGACGCAGCGCAAACAAGGCGGACACCACCTCGATCTTTCCCTACGTACATCCGACTTCGAGTCGCCCAACCTAGTTAGCAGCATGTCGTTCCGTGGAGGCGGACGTGGAGGAGGTGACCGCGGTGGCCGCGGCGGCTTCTCGTCTCGTGGTGGCCGAGGCGGCTTCGGTGGCGGAGGACGCGGCGGTTACGCCAACGCCGGTCCCCCCGAGACAGTACAGCCCATGGGCTCCTTCTTGCATGCCGTCGAGGGCGAGATGCTCTGCCAGTCCACCGACGCAAAGCACGTTCCCTACTTTAACGCACCCATCTAGTAAGTCCATTCCGCTCTCATCCGTAAACGGGCTGTGGAGCAAGCTCTGACCCTTTTGTCTTTCACCTCTCAACAGCCTCGAGAACAAGTCGCAGATCGGCAAGGTCGATGAGATTCTTGGACCCATCAACGAGGTCTACTTTACCGTCAAGATGGACCCTGGCATGGTGGCCACTTCTTTCAAGCCAGAAGACAAGGTGTTCATTTCGGGCGAGAAGCTGTTGCCCATCGAGCGATTCCTGCCCAAGCCGAAATCGTTGACAAAGGCGCCCAAGAAGAAGGGCGGTGCACGAGGTGGAGCGGCTTTCGGCGCACGGGGCCGCGGCGCACCAAGAGGCCGTGGCGGTTTCGGCGGTGGACGCGGTGGTGGATTCTCGGGTGGCCGCGGCGGCGGCTTCGGCGGCGCTCGTGGCGGTGGCCGTGGTGGTGGATTCAGCGGTGGACGTGGCGGTGGATTCTCGGGCGGCCGTGGTGGCGCTGGTGGCCGAGGCGGTGGATTCGGCGGCCGTGGCCGTGGTCGCGGCGGCTACTAAGCAACCTGCCACCGTCTGCTCGCCGTTGCCTCTCCACGCTTCCATCTCTTCCTTCCGGCATTGTCTCCTTTCATCTTTTGTGTATTTGTGTTAGTATTGAACCCTCATTCGTTTCGTCGTGCGAGTGGTCTCGCGTGGATCGTCTGTGCAGCGTTCACGGCAGCTCGCCAGTCAGATTGGATTGCTCACGAAGTGCAAACACACAGTCGGACCGCAGCTTTCTCGGGGACACACGGGTCGCAAGTTGATGACTGGATTGCATGAAGCAAATGCGACGTCTACGGGCTAGGCTTGCAGTGCTCTGCGTCCTGCAGAGGGTTAGCCGCCCAATGCGGCACAGGAGCATACTTAAGCAGCGTCAAAGTGAGCAGGAAGATGGTGAGCGCATTGACGCTTGCGCCAGCATCCAGGGCGGCCGAGAGGACGTAGTTGAACTTTTCGAACCAAACCGGATGCTTCTCGCGCAGATGCTTCTGCGAGAGCCACGAGAAGAAGAAGCCGGTCATGATCACGTTGGTTGGCACCGCGGGCGGCAGTGCTGCCGAATGCAGGATGATGGGCCACGCCACCTTGGGCAGCCATTTGTAGCGGTACTTCTTGTGTAGCACGTACGGGATGAAAGGAAGGATGGCGCCAATCAGGAAGCCGAGGTAGAGCTTGCGGTATGCGCCCGAGAAGAACTCGGCGGGACCCACGAGACCCCAGATGACCGACGCTGAGAAGAAGATGTGCACCTTCCTGCCGTCCCACTGGCCCGAGGGGTCTTCGACTGTACCGTCGAGGAAAGCGCGGTAGCCAGACGCAGGATCGAGCACCACATTGACCACGATGAGATTGACAACGCATCCAATCATGGTGCCCCAGAGCTGCGCAACAAACATGTGCCTGGGCGGGATCTTGATGTAGTGTCCGAGCTTGAGATCGTTGACCAGATCGAGTGCCTGGTTGAGCGACATGTAGGCCATGGTCTTGAACAGGATGTTGCCGATGGGATTGCCGGGCATGATGTAGCCAATCACGAATTCGGAAATGATGTTGAGACCGACGCCCGTGTCCGAAACGGCTCGAAGGATACCGAGCGGCGCGATGAACAGCAGACCCATAAAGATAGCCAGCAGAAGCGCCCACACGGGCAGCTGCAACGACGGCGTGAGCACGACGAGCATCACGGATGCAAACGTCGACAGAGCCAGAGTGGTGGCATACCACTTGCGCGGCACCGGCTCGTATGCGCGCATGAGCCGATTGTGCACGTCGTCGTGCACGGCGTTGGTGGCCGCCTTCTTGATGTCTTTCCAGTGCCACAGAAGCACATGCGTCACGGTGCTCGTCAGGGTGGCAAATCCGAGGCCGTATGACAGCGCAAAGTACGGCGTGAGGAGCATGGGCTTCTGTTCGGACCAGGCCGATGCATTCAAGGTATTGTCCTTGTTGAGCAGGTTGTCGACCGAGAACTTCTTGTGCTCCTTGTTGTACAGGCCCGCACTGAGGATCTCGGGGAAGGACTGTGCGTCCCAAAAGTTGAAACCCCAGTAGAGGACGGGCATGACGATGTACATCATGCCTGCAAATCCAGCATAAAAGTTGAGAGCCGCCCACCACGGCTGGTAGAAAGGCCCGCTCATTCCTGCAGCGTTCCAGTCGAAGGTGAGATTGAGGAAGCCGAGGCCGTGGTAGCCAGAGCTCAGCGAGCGGAAGGCGGGCACCTTGTTGTCGACCAAGCACAGCATAGCGACGCTTGAGAGGGTGGGTGCGAGCAAGGCCGGGAGGAACTGGTACATGAAGATTCCGACGAATGCGAACGCAAACAGTCGCAAGCGGGCACGGGTGTTGGGCGCCTCTTTGTCGTGCAGCGTGTGGAAGAGCGAGGTAGTCACGAGGGTGCTGGGCCAAATCATCGAGGTTGGTTTGACGAGGAGGTTGTTAACGATGCCCGCGAAGCCGAAGCCGAGCACCTGAGTCGTGATGAGCAAGGTGAGAGAGGAGAGCCAGTTCATGTGCTGGTGGTAGAAGAGCTCCTGGATGTTGATGATGTCGCTGGCGTATGCAGAAGTGGCGCCGGAGGATGCGATGATGGCGACGAGCAGGTGTTCTTTGATGCTGAAGGGCCCAGGGTTGAGCTGTGCGGACCACTTGCCGATGCGAACGGTGCGCTCCGGCAGCCGATTGGCGAGCCATCTTCCCATTGGGAGCGAGATCAGGATGACAAAGTAGCTGCTGAACGAGGGCGAGTTGGATTTGTAGAAGAAGAGCTGTGCGATGGCGGCGCCGATGACGCAGAAGAACGAGCCAATGAGAAGCGCCCTCCAGGTAAGAGCGGGGAGGGTAGGATCGTCGTATTCTGGCACTGCCTTGCTGACGAGGTGCATGGGATCGTCGGGATCATACTTGTCCGATATGGATCCGGTGGAGACGTGCCTGCGACCGTTTCTGGCGCGCTGCCTTGACTTTTGACGGTCCATCTCGTATGCCTCTTCGTCTGCGGCGGTGGCAGGGCCGAGCATGAGGGCATCCTCGCCCTGCTCGTGGTCGTCATCTTCCTCATCGAGACCTTGAGCGTACCGCTTGTGAGGATGCGTGTCGAGCTCGTATTCGTCCATCTGGATGGTGGTCGCTTCTTCGTCCGAGTCCTGACCGAGGCCCTGTTGGTGGTGTGCGCGTGATCTTGATGTGGGTCTGGACCTTCTGGCAGCGCCGCTGGGCGAAGACGTCTGCGAAGTGTTAGCTTGCATGTCAGAGCATGCGCACCGGTGCGATGAAGAGCGGCTACCCTGGATCTTCTGGCCAAAGGGGTCACAATACGTTGTCAGATGAAAGTGGGCCTGAGCGCGGTGGCTGTTGTCTGCCAGAGCCCCAGGGTCCAGCTCATCTTCTCACCGCAGAGGCGAAGACAGCCTGGCCGTGTTCTTCCAGCGACAAGGTTTAAGCGTGTCTCGCAGACAGAAGGCTGCGGGAGGCTACGCGAAATGATGAAGGTGTGAGATCGAGACGCTGTACATTCTTGCAATTTTTTAGGTCGGGCCTCCACACTGTCGACTAGGAAGACGCCGTTGCGGTCTGATGACGCAAGTGGAAAAGCGAGTCTTCCGCTCCAAGGCCAATCACGGCAGCGACAAAGGTCCGCTGTGGACAAAGGCCACACGAGATGACCACGACCTACAGGTGCCCAAGCCAGAGCCTGGTCCAAGGAGGTGGACCCGAAGCGGGCAGAGTCAAAGCACGCTGACAGAATGCCTGCGTTGCTATTTTGAGGCGGTCGCTTGGTCCAGTTCCCGTCCCCTTCACTGGTGTAGCTAATGACGTGAAGCTGCGCACTGGGCCTGCGGGGCTGAGTGGACGCTGCACTGACTTGCATAGAAGGGAGCTTTCGGCACTGTACAGCGAGCGCAGCCTCCACAAGCCGACCCTGGTGCCAAACTTGGAAATGGCTGCTGGCGAGTGTCCGGACAGTCCCAAGGGCCAAGGCCTGCGCTCTCGCTTCTGGTCTCAGGACAGCACGCTGTGTTGAGCGTAGATCGAGCCACGGTGGATCGGCCTTTGCCGAGCCCTGACGAGCAGAAGAGAGCCGCCTGAGAAGGTACGACCTGGGCTATATAATCCAGCCTTCACAGCGTGTATACCTTCTTCTCCTCTCATACCAACCTATCTACCCAACAACACAGCCCATCATGTCTACTCAGTCGCAGTACGAGACCCACACGTAAGTTTGGAAGCAGCCACGATCCGTTCTCTTTGCTTCCGCGACCAAAGGCTGACCTTCTTGGCACAATGCAATCAACTCGCCTTCCATACCTTCTTCAGCGCCGATGGCGACCAGAGGAACGCCCCTGGCCCTAACCCCGATGTCGGCATGCACCACAACGACAACCGAAAGGACCACGAGAAGGGCCAGCCCGAGTCGCACCAGTCGCTCGACGCCAAGGACGAGAAGTCCATCAAGAACAAGCTTGCCCAGGCTGGCAAGGAGGAGAAGGAGCGCGCCCAGGCCGAGAAGGAGAAGGAGGACGAGAAGCCCACGGACGCGGCTCGCAAGCATGGCAACGAACCTAGCCGTGGTGCCAAGATCGACGAGCAGATCGAGGAGGAGGAGCGCAAGATGCTCGAGGCCAAGGGCATCAAGACCTAAGCTGCAGAGCAAAGCCATAATGTATTAGTAGCTACGGCGTTGCTTCGCTAATCACAAGCCGTACCAAATGACGCCCCGCTTATTCTTGTGGCCTCTCAGATCGATCGATCGATCGTGAGCTTACCGGTGGATTGCTGATACGAGGTTGCTAATGTTACAAAGTAGTGGTTTGAATGCGGAAGGATGGGACATCGTCACTCTGTATCAAAAACGATGGGATTGTCGGCGGTCCCTGCTCCTGTGTGATTGGGAGGTGTTGGTCCGGCAGCAGGATGCACGAAAGTATGAGGTGGGGCGCCGGTCGGTAGCAGAGGATGGTGTTGCTGTAGCACGCCGTTGATGTGGACCGAGCTTCCCTCGGGTGCGGAAGTGTGGACGGTGACGTTTCCGTTGCCATCGACGGTGCGCGTGACGGTCTCGGTGCGCCCATTGACAGTGCGCGTTGTTGTGCTCTGGCTCGTGCCGGAAAAGCCGCCGTAGGTGGTGCTGGTTGAGGTGCTAGTGGTGTAGCCGTGGGCGAAGGGTCCGGTCGCCTGCATGCGGGCAGGCTGACCCGGATGGGCGCCCGGATGGCCGCGTGGAGGTCCAAAGGGGGATCCGAATCCGAAGCCCATGGTATCCGCCATCCTTCGATGGTTTTGCATAAAGGGATCGTCCTCTCCAAAGATGCTTCCGCCCATCCCATGACCTTGATTCATCGTTGCGAAAGGATCGCGAGAGGGTCCAGGCATGCCGCCCATGTTAGCGCCACCCGCCGATCCGAATTCCTTCCCAAACATCATGTTGAACAGCTCAAAGGGATCGAAGCCGTCGGCACCAAACGGCCGACCCGCACGGCGACCCGCCTGGGCTCGTCTGGCGGAATCGGCGCTGGACTCCCACATGAACGAGAAAGGCACGCCGTTCGGACTCGTGCCAAAGTGCTGGCGGCTCCGGTCTTCGTAGTAAGGCTCGGCTGGGGTGTATCCTTGCGTGGATCCAGGGCGGAAAGCATCGTATTCGCGACGCTTACGTTCGTCAGAGAGGAGCTCGTAGGCCTGACCTACAACCTTGAATCGAGCGGTGGCGTCTTCCTTCTCTGCAGGAGGAGCTCGGTCGGGGTGGTTTTTGAGCGCAAGCTTCTTGTACGATGCCTTAATCTCGGCCGCAGTGCAGCCGGGGCTGAGGCCGAGCACGTCGTAAGGGTCGATGTCCGGGAAGCGATTCATGCTGAACGTGTCACAGCGGTCGTGGATCCTGCCTTCCAGGGCAGCTTTGTCGCAGCCATTCTAGTGCCGTGGTGGCAGGAGGCAAGGTGCGCAGGTGCTTCGCGGCGCTTATCGACGAGAGGTTGCGGAGCAAAGTGGTCCCTGCGTCGACCCGCAGCAGCTGAGTGTGTATTTCTCGAGCCGACGCTCGAAATTTCGGTCGAGTCCGGGTGTCGGTGAATTGTGGAATCAGCCACGAATCCCGATTGCGATTCGACTGCTCAACTTTGACAGCAGAGGGCGATCGTGTGATTCAGAAAGGCTGCACCGATTCGAGTTAGTCGAGCCACCGTGCACGAGCGTGTCATGCGCTACTCCACCCATCAGCGTGAATTTAGCCTTTGCTTCACTCGGCCTCGCTGTCAGCGGACTGTCCACCCTTGATTCCACCATCTTCAGCTAGCGAAGCGAGCAACACACCGCTTTACGACCGGCTCATTCAGCTTAGCAGTGAGTCCAATCCGGATCAAATCACGACGAGCATCTGCAAAGTACTTCATTCCGCACTCTGGCGGCAGCAGCAGCCTCTGGCTCTCCTCATTGCGTTCTGGGACGCAGCGGCGCAACTCTCGAGTTTTGTAGCAACAACCGCATTCGAGACGTCAGATTCTGACCACTTCATGCCTCTTCTCCTTTGCCTCACGGAAAAGCGCGCTTCTCCAACGAGAGTCGTCAACGTCCCTCTTGCCTCGCAACCTTCGATCGCGGCACCTCCTGCCTATCGCAACATGGCCAAAGGTATGTGCGCCTCCATCTCTCCATGGCTTCGTCGCTGCATGTCGAACACTGAATCTTGACTGACCCAATCCACATGTGCATCCCGCCCAACAGTCCCACGCAACTTCAGGCTCTTGGAAGAGCTCGAGAAGGGTGAAAAGGGAATCGGCGATGGAAGCTGTTCCTACGGTCTCGATGACGGCAGCGATCTCAGTAAGTCCCACGCTCTCCTTCCGCATCTCCAGCGGGCGGACCATCCGTACAGCCTTGCTTGCATCGATGCGAACTGTGCAAGAGCTCTGACGCTGACCCGCTCCTTCTCGTCTTCAATGCGCCTGCCGAACAGTGATGTCCAACTGGAACGCGACAATCATCGGACCCGGTCACTCGGTCTACCAGAACCGCATTTACTCGCTCAGCATCCACTGCGGACCCAGCTATCCGGACCAGCCTCCCGAGGTCAAGTTCCTCACAAAGATCAACCTTCCTTGCGTCAAGTCGGACGGCCGCATCGACTACAACGCTCTGCCCATCTTCTCCAACTGGTCGCGCGACAGCACGATCGAGACCATCCTGCTGTCCTTGCGAAGGTAAGTTTGGCTCGCGAAGCTTTCAACCTAAATTCGGCGCAAGCTCCTGCGCAAAGCTTCATTTCGGCACGGACGCGCATGCTGACACTGTCTCCTTTGTGCTCTCCTGACACTGCAACACAGAGAGATGGCTTCGCCTTCCAACCGCAAGCTCCCGCAACCTGCCGAAGGCGCGTCGTACTGAGCCAGTGCGCGCACATGTACATAGAGCACGAGAAACGGCCTGAACTGGAAAGCGCTTGGGCCTTCGTTCAGATCACTTGACTTTGACCGACCGCTTCAGCGAAACCGTGAGCTTCCTTCCGCAAGCTCAAGAATGCGCTCATCTGACGAGCTTGAAGTCCTCTAGCATCGATTGCACCTCACAACCCACAACTCTCACCTTCCCTGTCTCGACTGGCCCTTTCCGATGGCAGTCATGAGCGCGCCAACGCCAAATCTGACCGCTACGCCAGCGCTGGACCAGCCCAAAGTCGTCGAATCGATCGATCGCGCGAATAATCCGGTGATCGTCAAACACAACGGTGCTTCGCCGACGATGGAGCAACGCATGCTGATTGTCATCGCCACGGCTACAGCTCACGGCAGCTGGGGTGAGACTTGCTTCCTCGTCGAGAGCAAGGCTGACGGCAATGCGTATGCCTGCGTTTACGCCAGTCTGGACCTCCTTCGCGCCAGCAATGCGGGTGAGCTCCTTGATCATATTCAGAAGCACGGCTGCCTGACTCTGGACGCTGCTCTCAAGGCGCTTCTCGGAAACAAGAGCATTCCACCCGCCGAAAGCAAGGAGGGCGACACCAAGGGCATTCTGCGTAACCCACACAGCTTTTCCAGAGGCGGAGTGCGGTATGTTCCCGTCAGCAACATTGCGGTGACGACTCTGCGGGCGGTCATCATGTTCCTGCAGACGGGACACATTGCCTTCGCGCCTCGCAGCACCAAGCTCACGGAGGACGATTCGAGTGCGAGCAACTATGAGGGCCCAGCACTTGTCTCGGCAGAGGGAGCGCAGGTGCAGTGGCCCTTGTCGATGCAGGCGAGCGCCAAGTCGGTCTACCATGCTGCATGCAGGTTCGGCCTGAGCGACCTGCGTGAGTTGGCTGAAAAGACCATCGAAAGCCAGGTGGATGCATCCAACATCCTGGCCGACCTGTTTAGCCGCTTCACACTCAACCATCCGGACCTTCGAACCAAGAGGCTCGAGTTCGCCATCTCGCACTGGGACGACATCAAAAAGCACCATCGAACCGGCTTTGCCGATGCCCTCTTCTGCCACGCCGATCGACCGGGCGCAAAGGACGTCATCGACCAGATCCTGCAGCGTACCTCCATCCCTGTTGCAGACAGCCACTAGCAACCTGCAATGATTTGGCTTCGGTCGATGTTCGCAATACAAGGCCCTTTGATTAGCTTGAAATGATACAAGGTGGGAGTGCTGTCGAGGGATGTCGAATGGAAGTTGCAAATGAATGATCGAGTCCGGTCGGCCAGGAGCAGACGAAGCGAGATCAAGATTGCTGGGTGGTAGCAGCCTGCAGACGCTCTTTGCGCTTCTCTTCCTGCTCGCGTCTGCGTTGCCGCCTTCGAATGCGCGCCTCATCCTCCTCGATGCGCTCTCGCTCCTCGAGCCTTTCGCTGTAGTACTGTCCACTTTGCAGCAGGATGACGCCGACGAGGGCGACGGCCAAGACGGTGTGGGAAGTGGCAATTTCGCGCAGAGGTGCAAAGACGGCATCCCTGGCGTCCACGGCGCCCGAGCCTGGCGAAGGCGCCCTGGGGGGCAAAGTGGCGAGGCTTGGCTCGATCTTGTGGTAGTATACGAGGCCAGCAGCACCAAAGAGGAAGAGCGAGGCGCCATCAAAGAGCCAGTTGCTCTCGCGACCGCCGAGCGCCTTGGATATGAGCAGCAACGCGGCGAGTGTGCCGATGCCGAGAAGCAACTTTCGGTGGATGGAGGGCATGTCGACCATGGTGTCCTGGTAGTAGGTGTAGGCAGTCACCACCGAATCGTACGTGACGGGAGCCTGCCACAAGATCAGGTGGTCCGCGGTCCAGTGCATTGCGAGCGTCCCTGCGGAGATGAATGCCAAGATCAAGGTGGAGCTTTGCGGTCAGCACTGCTTTCTTCCCTCAGCAGACATGACCACTTACCTAGCAAGAAGGACGTCGTCCCGATAATGAGTCCAGTGCGCAACCCCATGATAGGCGAGCGTCCGATCCGGTCCTTTGTCTGCCGTTGAAGCTGCGAAGATGAGGGTTACGCCTGGGCTACAGTCAGGATGCGATAACCGGTCCAAATCTTGTCGGTCGTGATCGAGTCTTGCTATGAAGTCGCAGGCAAGGGCAACCAGAAGGCGAGGCAGGTGGAGGATCAAAGGGACGCTTCGAGCCACCCCTCTGCAACAAGTGTCCAAGCAATCCAGTAGTAGCAGGCGAGTGACAACCCCAACAATGCTTGGGAGCAGCTGCATGAGCTGTTTGCGCCTCCGCTCGAAGATCTCTGACGGATGCGCGAATTGGAGCCGAAGACGAGCTGCGTCGGCGTGTGAGCTGAGCCGCAACAGGCCAACGTGCGCGAAATCCATCCATGCTTGGCCGGCGCAACCTTGGCACAGCGCTCCATAACCTGTCTCGGCCTCGTGAAACACGGCGCGGAGCTGCAACACAAAAAAGGCCAATGCGTCGACGAGGATTTTGTAGGTTGTAAGCACGATAGGCGTAACACTTTTCAAATCTCCCGACCGCCGATGTGGAGAAAAAGCGGGCTGCGAGTCTGCGGCGGCTTCAGAAGCCGAAGGTCTGGAAATAGAAAAATGCAGCGCAGGCAAAATAGGTCGATCCTGTGCTCGCCTGCTGCAAGCGAAAATTGGACGTGCGCCCAAAAGGTCGATGTTGCAAAGGCGAAATTCGAGTGTCAGCAGCGTGATTTTCAGGCTAACCTCGTGCCGTGGACATGCGTCATGACGCCTGAGCCTTTTGCTTGCAGATCAGCAGCACCGACCGACCGACCGCACTCCACTCGCTCAAAGCGGGCACTGCAGCACGGCTCGCCATCCGCAGGTGCTGTCAGAGCGTCGGCGACTCAGTTCCGTTGCCCTCGTCGTCCTGCTCGCCCAAGCCATCCGCACATCCGCTCGCTCGCCAACACCTCGCCTGTCTTGAACCTCCCCCATCCGTCATTCCACACCTCCATCCACTGACGACGAAAAGACATCCGCCGACACATCATGGCTCCCATCCTCAACGTGAGTGATAGCCGCCTTACTACCATCCGCCATGGTCGCACCGACATTGTTCAACCCGACTGACTTGATCCTAATCTCCTTGGCTCCTGCGTCTGTGGTCTTGCTCAACAGTTCCACGCTGGCTCGCTGCCCAGCTTCGCGTTGCGACTCAAGTCCGACGACTCGCTCGAGAGGTACGCTTTGGTCCCCGCTTTCTCGCAAACGGAAGCTCTCCAAACAAGGCTGACAGTAACGATTTTTCCGCTTCGCCCAATTCGCAATTGCGCCGCGACCACAGCCTCAAGTCTCGCGCTGCCAAGAAGATCCGCTTGCAGCTCGACGATGGCATCCCACTCGTGATCAAGTACGGCTGGTCGGGTCAATCCTATGCCCTCGAGGACTGTACGTTTTTATCAGTCTTGCGCATCAACCGTGCTGCTTCCAATGCTGACTTTCTTTCTGCTCGTCCTGTAAACAGCTGACGACTGGGAGATCTTCCTCGAGCGATTCGGCAACGCCAAGGAGGCTGACCGTGAGTCGTCCCCCGACGAGACAGCCCCGCTCTTTGCGACCGATAATACTGACGCAAATGGTGCACCTTGATCTCCTTCCTCGACACAGTCTTCCTCGAGTCGCCAGAGATCCCCACCAACAATGCCGACGAGCATTCGGCCGATGGCGCCCACGACGGACCCAACGTGCCTGTCGTCGACGAGTCCACGCTTGTGCACCGAACGCCCGGACGCGGCAAGAGTGGCGGCGTGAGCATCCACCGCGTCGCAGCGCCCTACATCCCCTCGGCCGACGACTACAGCGAGGCAGGCGGAGTGACTGCTGGTGGCCGCGACTCGATCATGTACCCTCCGCCCCGCGAGCCCCAGCCCGCGCCCGGCTACAGCAAGCCGAGCGTTCCGGAGCCGCCGGCGGCCAAGGCGACGCACGACGACGCCGTGTCGACGCACACGTCCAAGACGCGCAAGACGAACCAGACCGTGTCGTCGGTGCCTTCGCACAAGATCGCCTTCCAGGAGTTCCACTCGCAGCTCGGCGTGCGTCTGCTCAAGGGCAGCATCGGCCCGATCCAGGACGTGCCGATGATGCTCAAGTCGGGCTACCGCCACGTGTACGTCAGCCGCAGCTTTGCGCTCAACCACGGCTTCATCCCCAAGGACACCACGCCCGGCACGTACGGCTTCAACGGCATCACCAACCTCGGCAAGTGGCCCGTCCAGGTGGGCTCCAAGGCGGTGCCGTGCACCGTGATGCTCGCCGAGGACAGCTACTTCCCCGTGATCCTCGGCCGCAGCTTCATGGAGAAGCGCGGCGTGCGCACCGACCCCATCGACATGACCTCGGTCACCTTCATGGACAACGGTGAGCGCGCCGACGTCGAGGTGGTCGTCGTCCGCGACGAGCACGGAGAGCCCGTGCCCATTCCTTAGGGCGTGCGTTCGATTCGAGCGTCCACCATGCCAGCAAGCTGGTAGCCCGCACTGACCTGCGTCGGCTGTTACGCCTCTGGCATGGTTCTTCGTCCGCTGAAATCGACACGCGGCGAACGAGTTGCCTCTTCTGATACCACAGATCGTTTGTAATTGAAATTCAGCCAAGCTCACTGGACCGCGCCGAGTGTTTGAAACAAGTAAAGGCCCGTGACATTGATGCAGCGATAAGGACAAGAGACAGATATAGTACAGACACGGAGACGAGTGCGGGCGAAAGGAACGGTGAAGCAGATCGGAAGTTGCGATACGGATTCGGAAGCGGGCCGATGGAAGCGCATCATGCATGCGAAAAGAGGTTCTTGAGCGTGTTGAGACGAAGCTTGCGCGAGAGACGGCGGGCGACGTTGGTGCTGCTGCGGCGGCGCCTGCGCACGCTGCTCTGGGCGCCGAGGCTGGCCCGGTCGGCGCTGATGCGGTTGGAGTCGGTATTGTAGATGATCGTGCCGACCAGCGTGGCGTCTTCGGCCCAAGCGCGTGCGTACTCGGCCTCGCGCTTGGCACGGTAGCATCGATCGCGTCGGTCGAGCTCCGATCTGGGCACGCGCTCGGACGGATGCAGGAAGACGATGCCCGCAGGCTGCCGGAGCGCGCGTTGCGATGCGTAGATGAGCGACATGGTGCTCGGTGGCGGTGTGCTGAGATCCAGACGGTCTGACGGCCACGGAGGGCGAAAGCAATCGCAACGAGGCTACGTCGAGAGCGTATGAAGTCTCGCTGATATGAAGGTAAGAGGGGATGGAGGGGATGGAGGAGATGTCAGCCAGGCATGGATGGCCGGCACGCCATCCGGGCGTGGGCGGTGGGGCATGCCGAATCGGACTCCAACCGATCCCCATTGCGGACGGCACTGCGCCGGTACACGACGGCAATCCGCGCATCTGCTGAGCTGCACTCTCCGCCGCCCGGCAGACCCTTGCCAACGAGCCTCCACCTGCATCAACACGCTGCTCAGGCCCGGCGCGGCGCGTCTCAGCTTCAAGCCTGACTGCCCAACCCCATCCCAGCGGCAGCAGCCAAAGCCACCAACCCACCATCGCTGCCTTAACTGACACAGTCTCATACTCGATGAAAGCGAAAGCAGGCATCATTCGGTCATCAATCATCCCGCTGGCTGAGCAAAGGCGGAGACGTTCAGACTCAAAGTCAGGGTCAAGTTGCGCAAGGCTGCGAGGGTGCGGTCTAACAGTCATCAATCCAGCGCGTGGCGGCTGCTGTGCACGTTGACATGCGCAGGGCAGTCTCGACTTCAGATGCAGCTTCTTTAGACGGACAATTTTTCCCTCGGCCAGATCCGAGATGATTTTGGCCGGCTATCAGAAGATCCAACTCGAGCCTCCCTATCACGCTCGCTTCTCTCGAGACCGACACCATCACCGCTTCACCTTGCCTAAACTTGCCGCGAGATAGTTGCAACCATGTCTGACGTCGCTCATCTCAAGTCTCTCTTCCGTAAGTGTGATGCGCTCTGGACCCAACGCCCATACCCTTGGTACGATGCCGATGCTGTCCTTCTCGGTGACCGACGCTGACTCGCGCAACTATCTTCGCACTCTGCGCACACGATCAGGCTTCTACGACGACTACCCCAAGAAGGGCATTCGCTTCTGCGACATCCTCCCCGTGCTGCGTGACCCGCTCGCCTTCGAGCTGCTCATCACCAACATCGTCTCGCACATCTTCACGCACACCATCCCGACGCTCGACGACGCCATCCCGGCACCCGCCCAGTCCACTCCCCTCGAGCCCGGCGCCAAGTCGTACGGCAACCGCAAGATCGATGCCGTCGTTGGCCTCGACGCTCGTGGCTTCCTCCTCGGCCCCATCATCGCCCAACGACTCGGCTGCGGTTTCGTCCCCGTCCGCAAGGTCGGCAAGCTCCCCGGCGAGTGCGTCCAGGCGTCCTACATGAAGGAGTACGGTGAGGACGTCTTCGAGATGCAGAAGGATGCCCTTGCTCCCAACTCGCGCGTCATCGTCATCGACGACCTCATCGCCACCGGTGGCTCCGCCAAGGCCGCCGGCGAGCTCGTTACAAAGTGCGGAAGCAAGGTCGTCGAGTACGTCTTTGTCGTCGCCATCCCCTTCCTCAAGGGCGCACAACAGCTCGACGCCCCCTCGTACCAGTAAGTGACCTCCTGTCCCCTTTCGTTCCGCTCCCGCTCACCAAGCTGACACCATCTTGCTTCTTTTTGCTTCTTCTCAAATAGCCTCGTCGAGGTCGACTAATGCCCACCATCTGCTGAATCTGGGCGCACTTGGCCAGCGGTCCGTGCCGCTCAAACCTAAACGCAAGAGAAAAATGGATTGCTGGCCCTGAATACAAGCCTCTACAATGCAGTGCGTGACAGTTTTTGCAGCGAGTCTGGATGCGAACGGAACAAGGTGGTCAGTCCAACGTTTCGGGCTTTGCGCAAGACAAAGACACGGGATGAGATACTCACTGAGCAGAACGTCGCCCTCCTTGATGATCTTGGAATACTGGGCGTTCTTGTGGTCTGGCCTGCGCGTCTCGACGATGCCGTGCACCTTGTCAATCACCGCGGGCAATCGACCGGACGAGATGAACCTCGAGAGCTCGTTGTCGATGAACTCGCCCGACACGCCGAATGCGGTGGCCATGTTGTCGATCGACAGCGACTGGTAGCTCTCCAGCAGCTGCGAGTAGGCGATGATGCGCATCTCGCGCACATAGTACCGCGCGTGCTGGTGCAGCGCCCGCGACGTGAGGATGTGCGTCTGCTCCACATCCGCAAGCGCACGGAAAAAGTTGCCGTACTCGCACGCGTACAGGCTCGTGACAAACGCACGCAGGTGCGGGATCTCGTCCACCACCTGCAGCACCTCGGGCGAGTCGATGATCTTCTTCTTCAGGTCGGTGCGCTTGAGCGTCAGCGCATTCGCCAGTACCGTGAGCGTGATAAAGTCGTTGTACTCGAGCAGCTCGGTGGCGGTGAACGTGCTGAGCGCGTCGAGGAACAGCTGTCCGCCCGCCTTGAAGTCGCGGATCGAGAGCAGGTGCAGGCCTTCGTACACCTTGAGCCGATTCCTGCGCTCCCAGTCACCGCCCTCTTCGACCAGCTTCTTGGCCTCGGCGATCGACGCGGTCACCACATCCGTGTCGCCAAAGAACAGTCCGATGCGCACCTTGGTGAGCGTGAGGTCCAGCTTGGAGCCCAATCCGGCGCCCTTGGACACCGCAAGGTTGTGTGCTTCCAGCGCCTTCTCCTTGTCGCCAATCTGTGCATAGTAGGCGGCACGCTGACGAAGCACGCCGTTGATCTCCATCTCTCCCTCGTTTTCCTCCACCTCCTTCTGCTTTTCGTCCAGCTTCTGCAGCTCCTCCTTGTTCTTTGCTTCGAGTCGCTTCAGCAGCGCCTCATCCTCCTTGACCAGGCCCTTGAGCGAGGCATCCGCCAGGATCAGGCGGTAGTATGGCGCCATCTCATCCTTCTCGATTCCCTCGAGCAACGCCTGCTTCGAAGCCTGCGCTGTGGATGCTGGAAGGTGCTCGGAATGTTGTGCGAGCAGGAAGAGGTGCTGCTGCAGCTTCAGGTTGGGGATGGCCTGGACGTTCTCCTCGTCCATCTTGACGTCGATGGTGGCTGAGTGTGCGGTGTCTGCCTGAATTGAACGATGAGAGCTCGATGCGCAGTTGTGTCGATGGACGATGCGGGCGGCGATGGTGTGAGAGTAGACACGTCTGCAAAAGTGTTGGTGTGGCTCGAGATTCCAGTTGGAGGTGCGCGGCCCGCGCGAGGGCGAACGCGGTGGAGGTTCGACTGGCTGCGATCACGACCTGCTTATGTAAGCACCCTTTTCGCGGTGCACTGGGCCCTCCTTTCTTTGCCAACAGCGCGGCTCAGTCAGTAAGTCTCTTCCTACTTGCACCTGTTCTTTGCTCATGCAAGGCCATTGTACAACGAACGACGATCTGCCTCGCTTTGGCATGTGAAGGCATCCCTCTACCATGCACCCTGAGAGCTGCGTCTTCTAGCCGGAATTTTGTGACCGCAATTAAACACCTCATTATTACAGCGAATATTTTTGGCTAGCTCCAGTTCATGGCTTCGGCTGATTTTGATGCCACCATGACTCTCATGCGAGGGTCTGCTAGGACAGACATCGCGAAGTAGACGTCGCTAGGCAACGACGCAGCGTACAATTACAGCCCAAGTTGGGGCAAACGGGTGCTTTTACAAGGGAATGAACGGAGCCAAAGCGCAACACCACCAAGCAGGACACTACCTGCCTGGGCTGCGGCTGCGATCGCGATTTCCCCTCCTGCTTGCGCTACCTCGGGGAGCGGGTGCACCCGGTGGTGGTCGAACGAACGCAAAGTCGGCCTTGAGCTCCTCATCCATGAGTGTGAGTCCGTCGGTGCATGCTTGGATCGCCGCTTGCGCCTCGTCGTATTCGGCGAACTCCAAAAGCGCATATCCCTAATCGGTCGAAGAAGGCACACATCGCTTCACGTTAGTCTCGAGCAGAGCAGATCATGTCTGACACACAAGGGCATGTAGCAGACTTACCTTGACATAGCCGGTTCGTCTGTCGAGGTTGAGGTGACAGCTCTTGACATCCCCATAGTCTGCAAACTTGTCAATCACCTCCTCTTCGGTGGCTTCCTCGTGCACGTTGGTCACAACTAGCACCCATCCTTCCACAGCTGCAGGGATGTACAAGCCGGAATCAGCTACTGATGTTTCTACGAATGGTTGCGAACGATGGCATGCTTACACTTTGCTGCGCTGGCTCCGCTGTCCTCAGCCTCAGCCTCTGTCAGGGTTTCGAACTTGCCCGTCTTGACACCATCTGATGCGGGCCCATTGCCTCGGGGATCAAAGCCTCGACCTCTGCGCTTGACGTTCGGATCTGTAGTGCGTTCGATGAGGGGCCGAATCAGCGACTTGCGACAAAGTTAGAAGTGCGGAAGCCAAGGCAAGGACGTACCATCATCCATCTCGACATCGTCCACGACGCGCGAGGACGGGCCTTCTTCCTTTTTGACCTCGATCGTGGACATAGCTGATGTGTCGGCTTGTTTCTGTGAGTCCCAATGATACAGCAATGGATGCCCAGAGGTGTCGGACAGATGGAAGTGGATGAATGGGGTTGTGCTTCTGAAGTCGGGAAAGGCTCGTGCTCCAAACAAGTGGAGAAGGGTCTCCGAATTCCAATTCTCCGTCTCCCGAGCCACCGCGACCCTGACTTCTTCGCCAACGCGCTCTGGCCCTTCCACCCGACCCTCCGCACCCTCACCTTGCTTCCGCATCCTCCTCTACCCTCGCAGCCTCGAGCCATGAGTCGCACAGAGCTCGCTGCAGAGCGGCTCCGGCAGTGCCTCTCAGAGCTCTCGACACCCATGCTCGCTGCCTTGTCCGAACTTCGCTCCGCACAGCCTCAGCAGATCCTCGTTCCGTTCAAACATGTAGGTGACCGCCTAGGGCCTCTTGTGGACAAGGAAAACGTCAAGCAAGCTTTCGGTCTCGTGCAGAATCTCTCTACCGCCGACAAGGATGGACCAGAGGTACGAGTGCGCAACCTCTGCTTGGAGATCAGCAACAACGAGCTCCGCAAGCTTGTCCTCGAATCAACATCAGACCTCACCGGCAACGGCACGGACGAGCCAAATCCTCAAACATCGCTCACAGCCGCTTTCGACCGCCTCGATACTGTCCTGGTGCTCTCGCTGCACGATCTGATCGATCCGACCTTGCCGCTCTCTCTGGTCGAGGAGCTGCTCGAAGGGCTTCCGATCTCGATGTGCTCGCAACTCTTTGCCTACACCGAATCTCGAGTCAAGCCGCTCACCATAGATCTGCATCCGACAAGAGGCAAGGGGCTCGTCCTCTTGCGCACCTGCAACGAGCTTCTCAGGCGACTGTCCAAGCCTTCGCAGCATCACACTGTCTTTGCAGGTCGTGTCCTTAGCTTGCTCGCAGTCGTCTTCCCTCTCGGCGAAAGGAGTGGCGTCAACCTTCGCGGCGACTTCAATGTAGAAAACAAGACGCACATCGAGGAGAATGACGGCCAAGCCAACGAAGAAGCCAGCACCGACGCTGATAAAGACGAAAGAGACGAGATCTTCAAGGTGGATTACGACTTTTACGAACTATTCTGGAAGATGCAACGTTTCTTCTCCAATCCACCATTGCTGATGGGAGCGTCCGAGTCTTCGAGGCCATCCACCAGAAGCGCAACACCCGCGCTGCACACTGACGCTGTGGACTCCGACAACATCCAAGCGGATGACGATCCTGCCCCTGATGGTGCCAAGGGTCCCATGGCAGAGCTCAGGATCAGCACTCGCAAGATCCTCAAGCTCTTCGCTGCCGTCAACAAGCGAGAGAAGGAGCTAGCAGGCGCCGCTATGGCTGAAGAGGCCAAGTCAAGCGAAAATAAGGGCAACAACGCATCGCAAGCCAATTCCACCCGGAGCACTCCTTCCGTCAACAAGAGGCGCGCAGATGGTCGCAGCTATGCTTCCGCCACCGGCTTCTACGTCGGTCAATTCATCGGGAAGGCCGATGCGCCACCACCCGCCAAGCGACTTCGTCCTGACGTTGTGGATGGTGTCAGGATGGATGGCCGCGATGCCTCTGACACGCCCATGGACGACGAGGATGACGCGGAAAGTGAGGCAGCACACGCGGCAAGCGACCACTTCTTTCCGACCTACCTTACAGGCCGCAAGCTCTTCGAGTACGAAATCCGGGATACCTCATTCCGTAAGCACATCCTCGTCCAATATCTGGTCCTCTTTCAGTACCTGCTTTCCTTCACACCTACTGCCAAGGAGAGCTGGAAGGACTGGAAGAACAAGACGCTGCAGGCCCTCTTCACGCTGGAGGACGTTGACGAGCGCTGGATCCGATCGACGTGGCGCGAGATATTGATCCTGATTCGCGACATTCAGCCTCACGGAAGACTCTTCCTCGAGTCGGTCCTCGAAGTGCTCAAGCGCGAAGCCAATTGGATCCGATGGAAGACCGAGTCCTGTCCTTCGATCGAAAAACCGCCGCTCTCGCCAGAACAGATCTCAGCCTTTGCCTCTGCGAGGGCGTTGCTGTTGCGCAAACATGAACCGTATCCTCACAAGCTCGGGACTGCGGCACTCTCGGAGCTCTGGCTCGACGGTCTCCGTCCGCCGGTCGCTGGCACGAGGAGGGTGGAGAATGAGTTGGGCGAATACATCTCTGTTCCAACGGACGGCCTAGAGGAGCTCGAGTTCTTGCCTCCGATCCCCAGCGTGGAACACTACAACAAGTCGATCCAGCGCGAAAAGATGAAGCTCGACCTGCGCAAGAAGCAGCTTGGCGTCGACCCCGCGATCAGCGAGGCGCAGCTCAGCAAGGAGGACCGGGAGAAGCTGGAAAAGGACGAACGCATCTCGGCCACCATTGAGACGATGCAGAGTCTCGCCTGGAGGGCCTTGCGAGTCGCAAGCCGTGATCACCTGCATCTGTTCGGCAAGCCGGAACGACCCGAACACATCGAAGGTCTGCTTGAGGCGATCGAGACGGAGCGGAATCCGAAGCCCAAGTCTGCGGCTCCCATCGAGACGCAAGCAACGGAAGAGGGTGCCGTGCAAGCTCAAGGGCCACAAGAGGCGGAGAACGGTGCCGAGCAAAGTGCGGAGCTAGCGCAGGCTGCCACTGCGGATGGACAAGCGAACGCCGGCGAGACACGGACGGACGAGGAAATCAACACCGAAAGCGCTGCCGTGGAATCTTCAGCTGAGTCGAAAGAGCAGGCAGCATCCCATCAGGATAGATCAGCTCAGGATGAATCGATCGTCCCTGTGACGATTCCCGCAATCCCGGCCTCCCCTGCAGCACCTACGCCTTCGGCTGAGGCCAAGAAGACCACAGAGACGCCAGGTGACGAGGCAGCCAGGGCGCCTGCTACCACGGCTGAACAAGACGTCGAGATGGCAGAGGCAACATCTTGAATGTTATTCCATTTCCAAACTTCGAAGATCTGGGCGTGAAGGCACTGTGACTGAATCGTACGATGATGTCGAACATCCGTAAGTCTGGGTCTGAGCTGAGCGTAGAGCGGGCACACCATGCTACAAATCCGCCAGCGACGATGTTCTAGGCCTTGTTCGTAACATCTCCTGAACTCGCATGAGCTTAAACATGAGAACCAGTGCCTAGAACAAGCACTTAAGGTTACCCTCGCTGACGGGGGCAGCACTCGGCGATTCGTCGGGCCGGACGTGGCTGAGCAAGTGTGGAACGGTCAACGATGTGTAGCGACTCACTTCCGCCCTCCCGCACTCCCGCACCTATGCACGTGGGTTATATAGTCTTTGGATTGAACGTGTTCATAACCTCCCTTCTTCCCCTCTCGTCCGAACTCACGAGTCTGTATCGACACACACAGCTGCATCCGATATTCGCACAACACATCGCAGATAATTCTCCTCTCCTCGCCGCAATGTCCGTGCTCTCGAACCTCAGGATCTCGGTCGCCATTAATCTGCGAGACCGGGATGCACCAAGCCTCGTCCTCATCAAGGCTTTCTACGATGTGCCCAAGGAAGAGTACCAGCGCTTCGCTAACGAGGCGGCTCACCTCGAGTTTTTCGACCGTGTTGACCGAGGTCGTTGCCCCTATGGCAACACGCAGGTCAAGTTCCAGGCTCCCCAAAGCAGTGCTGCCAGCGCGGTCTCGCAGGCCGTCAGCCTCGGCACCAGATTCGGGGCTCGCATCAGAGCGAAGGCCCTCGGAAGGACTTCTGCTCGCGTGGATCGCGTGGATCGAGGAAAAGCTGCGCACGGCTACAAGCGCAGCTTTTCGCAGCCATACCGAATCCCGTGGAGGATGGCGTTCGAGAATCGTCCTCGCATCTCCAGCAACAATGCCGCGTCGACTCCAGCTCCTGCTCAAGCTGGCAGAACGGTCGAATGGAGTGAAGCGAGCCTTCCTGCTCCCGCTCCTGCTCAAGCTGGCAGAACGGTCGAATGGAGTGAAGAGAGCCTTCCTGCTCCCGCTCCTGCTCCAGTGAAAGAAACCGACAAAGACAGCATGATGAAGATCCTGGCTCCCGAAATCCACGAGGCCGTCGCCGCTGCCCTAGCCAACGCCCTTGCCGCTGCTTCCGCTGCCGCTGCCGGAACGTGCTCTGGTACCGATTGAGCTATTCTGCATGCCATCTCTCCGTACGATGCAGCCAAGTATCGCGACGAAGCGTCTCCGACACATACAGCAGTCGGTTCAATCTTCCGCTTATACCAAAAATGTACTACCGTTGCCCTTCTCGATGAAACTCTATTGCTGCTTGGTTGCGATCTTCTTTGCTTCTCGCTTTGCCTGTTTCTTTTGCTGTCTTCTGGACCCTTTCTGTTCCGCCACCTCTTCGACTGGCTTAGCGGCTCCTCTATCCTCGTCGGGCGCTGAGACGGCAGTCTGGAACGTCGAGCTTGCCCACAGGATAGCGCACACCGATGCGAATGCGCTGAAAGCAACCATGTAGCGCGGATCGCTGTCCTCGCTGTAGTAGCCGGAGCGCTTCTTGATGTCGTTCTCGTATGTGATGAGCAGCATGGTGAAGGCGAGTAGCGACAGAGTCATTCCGATCACCGGATTACCGGCCACACCGAGGCGGGTGCGAAATTCATAGTTGATCAGGGCACCGAGATCCTTGAATGCGACCAGGAAGAAGGCGGCAAACATCGTGGTGGCAGCAAGAGCGTAGAAGGAGGGCATGACCGAGTCCGTCGGCCATTTCGGCTGCGCGAGTTGGAAGATCTGACCGGGCAGAAGCGTTTGTTGTGCCGCCGGGATGGCAGGTGCGGCGGGCGAGATGAGGAACTCGCGATAGTTGGCCGGAAACATGGGTATCCTCGTAGGAGGGGTGATTTCGAGCATGTTGATGTGCAATGTACGAGGATGAGTCGCCTTCACAGGTGCGGTTTAGGATGTCAGTGACGGCAAAGGCATGGCGGGAAGGTTGTAGGAGACCTCCATTCCGCGATGTTGGATGGACGGAAATGTGCATTGAACGTCTCGTGCGAAAAGACAGGTCAGTTGGGAGATGCTCGCCTGCGTCATGGTGCGCCAAATTGGCCATGCGAGGTAGCTTCTTCCGACCCTCGAGCCGAGCCGACCTTGAACCCGAACATCCGCCCAAGGCACACTTTTTTGCTCCCCACCAACTAGACTCGCATCACATCCATCGCTTCAACACTCGCTCCCACCCCGGCAAAGACTCACAAACCCAAACCGTAATACAACGATGGCTACCTCTTCCTCATCTTCCGGCCGCAGCAGCACCTTTTGCCTGGTCAAGTCGTCCATCAACATCGACGAGACCTTTCTCGTACCACACATCGTGCGACCGGGCGAGACGATCTCATCGTCGGGACTAGTCTCGCGACCCGGTGGCAAGGGTGCCAACGTATCCGCTGCGATTGGGCTTGCAGGCGCCAAGGTCTCTCTATCTGGTGCTGTGGGCAAAGACGCTACGTGGCCGATCGACGAGCTTAAAGCGCGCAAGGTCATCACCGATGACGTGGAGATCCTGGACGGCATCCCAACAGGCCGTGCTTTTATCCAGATTGCCGAGGACGGCGAGAACAGCATCGTTCTGCTCAAGGGAGCCAACTTTGCCACGGACAGTAGCTCGGCCGACCCTTCCACGGCATTCACATCCAACCCGCAGAGGCAGATCACCCACCTCGTCCTGCAAAACGAGATTCCGCTTCAGACCACCGTGGCTTTCCTCGAGTATGCCAAGTCTGACAAGGCAGGCAACCACATTACAACGATCTTCAACCCATCGCCTATGCTGAGCAATGCGGAAGTCGAGTCGTTCCCCTGGAGCAGCATCGATGTGCTGGTGGTGAACGAGGGCGAAAGCATCGAGCTGCTCTCGGTTCTCGATCAATCGGCTGCCTCGAAGCTCGAATCGCTAGCTGCAGGCGAGGACAAGTCGCGCCAGGTGCTCGAGGCGCTCTCGGGTCTGCAGCAGCTGAGCTCGACGGCATGGCTCGTGCTCACCCGCGGAGGACAAGGCGTCATGGCCAACGTGCAACTCGCCGACTCTCAGTCTCAGCGCAGCTTCTTCAACGTCCCGCCGTTCAAGCCAAAGCAGGTGCGCGATACGACTGGCGCAGGAGACACGTTCGCGGGCAACCTCGTCGCAGCCTTGATGGGCCACAATGTTGAAGCGGACGAAGCTCTGACCTCGTCAGCCAGACCAAAGCGCGAGCAATTTGTCCAACAGGCTCTGGAATGGGCTTCACGCGCTGCCAGCCTTGCATGCGAAAAGGAGGGCGCCATGCAGAGCATCCCTGCCGCCGAAGAGGTCAAGGCGCGAGCTCCATGAGCACACACACTTACTTTCTCTCTCTAGATCGGTTTTCACTTCTCAATGCCATCAGCCGGTCCAAAGAATGTGCACAGAATCGACGAGAAGGAAAAATGCAATTGCTACCCTGGGCCTGGGCCTGGGCTGGGGGCGGAACGAGGGATGCAGCGACGCGAGGATGGAAGAAGGACGAGCTTACTTGTTCTCGCGGACGACCTTGTCGATCCAGCTGGCGACATACTCGACGTTGTTGGTGGTGAGGCCGGCCATGGAGATGCGCGAGTTGGCGGTGAGGTAGATGTGGCCCTCTTCGAGCATGCGCTTGCACTGGTTGGTGTTGAGGCCGAGGAAGGTGAACATGCCGATCTGCTTGAGGATGTGGTCCCAGTTGCCCGGTGTCTGGAACTTCTTTGTGAGGAGCTCGAAGAGGCTCTCACGCATGGTGATGATGCGACCCGCCATCTCCTGGACGTCCTTCTGCCACTGGGCAAACAGCGCTGGGTCGGTGAGGATCATCTTGACGACGCGCGCGCCGAACGCAGGCGGATTCGAGATCTCGGAGCGCTGGATAGCGGCGAGCTGCGAGAAGACGGCAGCGCTCTGCTCGGGCGTTGCCGAGACCACGTGGAGCGCACCCACACGCTCGCCGTACAGACCGGCGTTCTTGGCGAAGCTCTGGCAGATGAGCAGCGGGATGCTCTTGCGCGACACAAAGTGGCGCACCGCCCACGCGTCGCGGTCGAGGTCGCCCGAGGCGAAGCCCTGGTATGCACAGTCGAAGAAGGCAAAGTGGCCCTTCTCGACAAAGATGTCGGCGATCTGCTTCCACTGCTCCTGCGTCGGGTCGACACCGGTGGGGTTGTGTGCGCACGCGTGCAGCAAGAAGACGCTCTGGTTCTTGGCGTTTTTCAACGCGCTGGTGAAGCCGTCAAAGTCGAGCGCAATCGTCTTGGCATCGTAGTACGGGTAGTCGACGGGTGCGATGCCGACCGTGTTGAAGATGGCCTTGTGGTTGGCCCAGGTGGGATTCGAGATGTGGATCTGTCGCTCCACGCCGAACTTCTGGTACTGGTAGAAGCGCTGGAGGAAGACGGCACCCAGGTGGTTGGCACCGGTTCCCGAGATGGTCTGGACGGAAGCGACGCGCTTCTCGGCAATCGCCGGCGAGTCGGCACCGAGGATCAGCTTGGCGGCGGCATTTGTGAACTCGGGCAGACCGGTGATGTTCAGGTATTCGTGGTCGACGGTGTCGTCGGCAATGAGATCCGACTGAGCCTTCTTGACCGAGGGGAGGACGTACGGCTTGCCGTTGTTGTCGCGGTAAGCACCCACACCGAGGTTGACCTTCTTGTCGTACTTGTCAGCCTTATACGATGCGGTCAGCTTGAAGATACTGCGAGCAGCCGAGAGAGAATCGAGAGAAGAAGAGGAACGGTTAGAGTGCTGAGTCGACGGAGCTCGCGCTGGATGCCGGACACTTACGCATCTTCTGGGGCCTGGGGAACGGCACTCCAAACAGCCAGGGCTGGGGATGATGAGTCGGCAGAGAGAGATGCCATGGTGAGTATGATGGTCCAGGAGTCCTTTCTGGAGAGCCGAACGGAGATGAAAGAATGTGGTGGGAGGGAAGGTGGGAATCCAAGGGCGAGGGTGGGATGGGAGGCTGGCAATTGAGAAGAATCGCTGCAAAGCAGCTACGGTGTCTCGAAGTTGGCAGCTGATCTGAGCGGAATCGCTGTTCGACGCTCGAGGCTGGGCAGGGAGTCACAGTGCGTTGGAGCCAGATACTGACGTCCCCCCGCACCAAAGCTTTTTGGGCAGCGTGACCCTGCGGAAGATTGCCGACGCGCGCCCGTAACCCTGTCCCACCTCGGCGAAATCCAGCGCTCCTATCGGCAGCTGCGGTCCGCGTCTCTCGCGCGAGAAAATACCGAATCCACTCCGGACTGCATCCACACGACAATGCCAGATGCTACTCTACTCAGCTTGCAATCAGCCTGCGGCTGCAGCTCGACTCTCCACCTTTCGACCACAACTACAAACGTGCGGCTGCAGGAATCGAGAACCTATGCAACAAGCACTTGTACCGAACGTCGGAGCGGGGCAAGACTTACCTGCTTGACTGATGCCGTTGGAACCTGAGAGATGGCCCTGAATGTTGCCCAGGCGATTTGCGGCCATGGTTGCTTTCCGAATCCGGTTGGTCTGGAGAGGTGTTTTTATGGTATGTTCCCGTCCGAGCGGTTGTCGCAATGGCGCAGTACGTCGTGTGAGGGAGTGGATGCCAGACTGGTCGTGGAGAAGAGGTGAATGGTAATCGAGACGAACGGTATGGAGGTGAGGCCCGACGGCTGTCCATCCGGCTAAAAGCAGGAGCCTCTGCGGCCCAGACACGACGATGGAGCCGGGCCACAACCTCCACGATCATCACGACGCAGGTCGCCGGCGCTAACCTGCCTCGATGCGGGGTTGCCTTATGCTTTTGTCTTGTGAGAGCCGTTGGGCGCGCCTCGCAATTTCGGAAAGGCTCGGACGATCAGGGTTCACAAACAATCGGGCACATCAGAGGCTTTGAGCCCGATTCAAGTGTCAAACAGCGCCCCCGAGTTGCCGAGCATGGCTGCAGACGTGGCATGGTAGACTGGAACCGGGGGTCATGGCAAAAAGCTGGCATTGCGACATGGCGTCTTGGTCCTTTGTCCACAGTGGAAGATGTTTCTGCTTCAACCCGGACGACGGGAAAGGAGGCAGGCGGCTGAGTGCCCTAGTAGCCTCGTTCAAACTGCACCCGCGTCCTCCTCTTGATCTCTTCGACTGCCAGATGCGACGAGCTTGGAGCCGAAGTCGGTACCATCGACTGCGCCAGCGCCCTTAGGGCATCCGACCCTGCCCCGGCAGGTCGGGTTGAGTGGAGTGTGCTGCCGTCGTACTCTGATGGGGGTGCTCGGACAGCACCAATGTCAGCAAAGGACGCAAGCTCACACTGGCACTTACGCTTCCTTGTTGTGCCATCGCTTCCCAGAGTGCCTGCAGTAGGCTCACGAGCAACTCATTGATCTGAGTAGGGGTGGTCGGGTGCTGGGTATTGTAGTCTTCAACAGTCCTGCGGAAGGCATCCTGCACACGTCGCGTATCCATGGTGCGATGGTCGGGGAGGTTGAGCAGGTCGGGAGTGCTTCGCGTCGAGGTTCCAGCCGTCGGAGGGCTGCTAAAAAGGGTGTGCGACGGCGCGAAAGTGTTGTTGGGCAGGAACGGGCCTCGTTCAGCGGTGGGCCTCGCAGGGTAGTCCTTCTTTCGATCCCATGGGCCACCAAGCTGTCCCGATGGGCCGTAGACCTGAAGGCGGGCTTCCTCCCTCGTCAAACCGCATTCCTGGGTCAGTCTGACCATCTCCGCAACGCTGGTCCTGTCCAAAATCCACTTCTTCGGGCATCGTTTGGCCCTGCTCTTGTCAGAGCAGCCCTTGCACTTCTCGACCTGCGAGTCGGCGTCGGGTGGAACACAGGGGCGGTGATACGTGCTGCAGTCGGGGCAGGGGAGATCCGGAAAGTGCTCCTCGGTCAGCCACTGCCGCATCTGTATCACAGCTGCAGAGATGGTGCCCTTGCGCGGCGACGTGAACCGAGGGTGCGGACGACCGCGTTCATCGCCTTCGACTGCTGCAACAGAAAGGATTAGTGACGGTCCGGAGTTACGCCTTCGATCGAGTTTCGAATGAGGCTACCAGTATGCTAGCAAAGGAGCACTCACCAGAGTCGTCGTCGTCGTCGCGGCTTCGTCGACCCAAGGACTGTCGCGAAGGTCCTTCTGCAACCAGACGAAAGCGTCAGCGAAAGGCACAGCTGCTATTAAGCCGCGATCCTTTCCGTCGATGGCCTCGACAGATCGACCGCACACCGTACTTACCACTTTCGTCTCGCTGGCGCGCTTGCACCCGTTGCGCGGGTCGTGGAGTCGCGCTCTGAACGCCGGGGACAAAAGTTGCGCGTGAAACGACATGGCGTCGAGTTGCGCTCTGAACAGGGCGCAGGAGGCCATCGGGCCCTGGTGCGATTCCCTGGCCATCCGAAAAGTCGTCGTCGTCGTCGTTCATTGCGCTGCCAGGCAGAGGGTTCAAGGAGGTCAGGGATATGTTGAGAGCGTAGAATAGGCCGTCGAGGTGGTGAGCGTGTGGTGGTGGTTGTTGCGATGGAAGTAGCAGTGCGTATCGATGCAGTGCGGATCGACTCAGTGCGGATCGACTCAGTGCGGATCGACTCAGTGCGGATCGACTCAGTGCGGATCGACTCAGTGCGGGACGGCGGAAACATCGGCAACACAGTGACTGTCCGCTGCTCCGCATCCGCACAACGGCCAAGTCGACGCCGATTCGGGCTCCATTGCCGACACACCGGACTGCTCCGACTGCAACGAGTTGCTCCATTGTGCGATGGAGTGCGGCGAGGAGAGTAGGGGAAGACGCAAGAGCGAGCAGGGTAATGCAAGACGTGTGTCAGACACCTCATCAACGCGTCCCGAAAAACACGGCCAGCCGCGATAGACTCTGATCGAAATGAAGCCGGCAAACCTTGCAGCTCGTGTAAACACCAGCTGCTCTGCATTGCATGGTTCCGCTCAAGCACGGAGCTCTGGGAGATGCAAAGCTTACATCTCTGCTCTGCCAAAGTGCGTCGAAGCGGAACAAGATCCCGGCGAGGCTGAGTGACGACACATAAGACAAGAGAGTGAAACGAAGAGGAGAGGCAAGGAGGGAAAAGATGGGGGAGAGAGAGGGAGGGGCGCGGGGTCGGTAAGGCAAAGACGGATGCTCAGCTCTGTCTGTCCCTCGGTCTCGTTGTACAGTAGTGCGGAAACCAGCACGAGACGTTCAAAGCACACCGTCCATCCATCCAACATCACACTGCCTTTTGGCGAATCAGATTTGTCCCAAGACATTCCATCATTCGCGCTTGCGTTTTGTTGTGACTGCGACTGCATTTCATTGCGAGAACGACTGCGTGCTGAGTCTGACGATTTGCTGCGTTGCGATTTGCTCCATGGCTTTTGCGGGTCGACTTGTTCTGATCCCGACGGCTGCTGGACGATTCGACTTGCTGCGCCTCTGCGATCCTCCTCCTCTTCGTCGCCCGATACTCCCTCTGCTAATTCGCCTCCTCGACATCTGCACGTGGTGTGCCGGCTCCTCTCCCTTCCTCCTTCTCGCGCTCCCGTGCGATCTCCCGCTCCATCTTCTTGCGAGCAGAATACCTCTTTTTGAGCTTCCCGTTCTTCCCGTTGTTTCTGCTTGTGGGCATTTCTCTGTTCCTCCGCATTGAGGATCTTGAACTGGCGCAGGATGCTGTCCATCCTCATTGTCACCGTCAACAGAGCCAGGGAAGTGGCGTCCGAAAGGGCCTCAAAGGCACTGGCAGACCACAGCTCGTCGGAATCGAGGCCTCTGTCTTCATCACCGTTGTCGATGGCGTCTTCGTCATCTTCGACAAAGATGTCACCATCCCCTCGCTGCTCCCAATCCCAATCGTTCTCCCTATCCCGATCGTCCTCAACACGCATTTGAACCAGCTACGACTGCCTTGTGAACGAGAAGCTAATCTATTACGATGTGATTATGCGCTCGTCTCGTCTGCGACCTTCTGCGAGCCAACCGAGGTTAGACGTTTGTCGAAGGCAATGAAAGCCGAGCTGCCCTCAAAGAGCTCATCGATCGACTCTAGTGATCGGCAGCTCGTCTCTGGGTAGAAGGCCCAGATGAACGGCATGCAAAAGAAGTTGAGCGCGCCGAACAGGAAGCTGTGTACCGATGAGAGTGCCGTTGAAGACGAGTGTCAGCTTCGGCTGTTTCAAATACGAGGGTCATAGGCGCCGTGCACTTACAAGGTGTTGTACTTGATGGCGTTGAACAAGAATGGCGTGATCTCGGTGACTACTCCGTTGCCGATGCTCCATCCAAAGACGGACCAGCTACCGCCTTTGGCCCTGATGAAGAGCGGAAACACCTCGGTCGGGTACAGCCAGGGAATCGCCAGCCAGCCAGCGGCGAAGGCGGCCGTGTAGATAAAGATCATCGAAGCCAGAACAGCGCCCCATCGTTTGGCGAGGGCCAGATCCGGACTGACCGACTCCGGGCCATACTCGAGCGCGTACTTCGCTGCGACACCAGCGATAAACAGACTGATGCCCATGATGATGTTGCCCCAGTACAGCGCTTTGCGTCGACCGGTGCGGTCCAGCGTAAATACCGAAATGAAGACCGCGAACATGTAGGATACCTGCGGCGCGAAGTGTGACAGCGTGGAACAGAAGGTTCAGTAAAAAAGGGAGCCCGCTCATTCAAACGAGCTTGTGGCACTTACATCGTTGAATCCGGAGAGAAGTCGAGCAAGAGTATCGCCAAAACCTCCGGAGCGGAAGACCGTGGGAGCATAGACGGTGACGACTCCGATTCCGGCCAACTCCTGAAGAATCTGGAGCCAGACCACAAGGATGATCCTGCGACGAAGGTGGAGCTTGCCGCTAGACGAGACGAGCTGGCTGATGAAGCCGTCTTCGCCCTTCTCCATGCGGATTCGCTCGAGTTTTGCGACCTGGAGAATTTCCTGGAGCTCGGCGGTCACGGCGGGGTCATTTTCGTTGTACGGGTGAGAGCGAAGCCTGGTAAGGATGCGCTTGGCTTCATCCACCCTTCCCATTTTGGCGAGCCAACGAGGAGACTCGGGGAAGAAGGGCAGGGCGACGAGGAGCATCGCCACGAAGACGAGCTGGAAAGCGAGCGGGAATCGCCAGTTGAAGCCGTTCGTCTCGATATTTCGGACGCCAAACGATAGCCAGTACACCAACATCAACCCAAAGATGTTGCATACGAACTCGAAACCGATTGCTTGCCCACGCTTGTCATGTTTCGAGAGCTCCGCTACCCAAACGGGCACCACCGCATTGTACGTTCCTGTCCCGAATCCGCAGATCACTCGGGCGAACATCATCCAGGTGATGTTCTGGGCGGAAGCCTGAAGGGAAGCGCCGAGAACGACCCAGACCGAGCCGAAGAGGATGGCCTTCATGCGTCCGACGCTGTCGGCGATGTATCCACCGCCGAGGCCGCCGATCAAAGTGCCGAGGTAGTAGATGGCCACGATGCCGCCGATGGCTGCACTATCGCGTTCGGTCTGCGAGCCATTGACGCCGGAATCGGTGCGCATAAGCCTTAGGTAGTCCTTGGACTCGTTGACGCCGGACATGACTCCCTGGTCGAAGCCGAAAAACATCACGGCGATACCCGCCACCATCTGAACGGCCCACGTCATCTGAAACGCGGTGAGTTTGAGCACTCGCTTTTCGCTGTAGACGGGCGGGATGAACTTGCTCCAGAATGGCTCGGCGAGCTCGGGGAAGTCGGACGAGTCGACTTCGCGCAGCGAGCTCGTCTTGTACAGGTCGGGTGTGGCATCCTTGGAGAGCTTGGGTTCGTGCGTCGGCGTTGCCGCAGCGCGGGTTGGAGAGCCTGGTGAGTCCATGGCGGGAAAGGCGAGAGAAGTGCGAAAGTGTGCAATGGGAGCCGTCCAGGTCCGTCGACGGACCAAGCAGTGTCGCGGTCTTTATAGCTGAGCTGACTAGACCGGCCCTGTCCGACAAGAAGCGGTCACTACGCAAGCGGACCGGCAAAGAGGCCTGAGAGTATGTGCGGATCGGTACTGATCCCCCCCACGTAGACCTCCCCAGAGTGCGGGTGTTTTTGCGGAGGAGAATGGACCAACCCGTAGCGAGGTTCGAAGCACCTTGGGAGCGCAGAGTGCGGAGACTCGGGTCGGGCAATTTAGAGCAATTAAAGCACCGATGCCGCTTCCGTTGGACCGAAACGCCGGGCATGCTTTCCACCCTCGCCCTCCGAGTGCGCCTGTCCCTTTCGCCCGTCACCACACCATCTTCAGGAGCGACAGCACGCGCCAGAGAATATCCAGCTCCAAGGACCTCAACTTCACTGTACATCTTTATCAAGGGCAAGGTTCGTCTGTCGTCTCAGCTTGACCGGTCGCACGAGCGCTTCCGCTTGGCACAGGCGGGTCGGAGAATAGAATGGACGGAACGATGTGCTACGTAATGGAGAGGTGGGAGAGGAGGCCAGGTGGGATAGAAGCGAATCGGAGTCTGTAATTGCGGAAGGGAAAGAAAGCCGGTCGAAAGACCAGCCTAGGTACGACTCTGTGCCGTTGGCGTTGGCAGAGCGCAGTGCAAGACAGGTGTCATGAGTGAGGACAGTTTTCCGATGCCGAGATTGCCGCCGCCCTTTATGAGCGTCCAAATTTAACCGCGAAATCGCCGGTGCGGCCAGGTGCGGGCCACATCAGCTGTAGGTCTAACAAAACTGAGCGAAAATTCGCATGTGCGCCGCGAGCAGCGACGCGCAGTGCAGCTGCACTTTACTCGAAAGACCAACACTTTTCTCGCGGACGCGTTGCAGCTCGCATGTGGGATCCTCTCTTACTTCCTTCGTTGTGTCAACGMCCTCATCAMCTCMCCTTGCGCACACGACCGCCATACCTATCCACACCTCCGCCTTGGTGCAGACGTTGCAATGTCGGAGAGCGACAAGCTGACGCTGGCGCGCGTGGCGTGGATGCAGTCGATCGTGTCGCACCGCATCGTACCCGAGCGCTTTGCCAAGCACCTCTATGCGCGCTGCTGTGCGGTGGCGCAGACGGCGTATGAAGAAAGCACGTATCGCGCCATGATGCAGGAATCGTCGAGGCATCTGTCGGTGCTGGATCTGGAGCTGCGCACCGTCTCCGACCAGGCAACGGGCCAAGCCGTGCTGGCACTCGTCAACACCAAGCAAGACACGCTCATCCAGGGCGCCACGCGCTACTCGCCACTCGAAATCTCGTTAGTCAAGAAGCTCGTCGAGGAGATCTTCAAGGCAAGAAGGGATGCATATGCAATTCCGGCCATGGAGGCGGTCAGGCTCGGCAGCAAGTTGAGGACCCATCTGACTAGGGATGCCACCGAAGAGCTGCTCAGAAACTTGGTCGACCATAAATGGCTAGACTATTCCTCGTAAGTTTCCCACCCTCCCTCTCGAGCAGGAAAGAAAGATGGCTGACGTGGGGTTGTAGAGAGGGGATTTATACGCTTTCGACAAGGTCGCTGGTGGAGCTGCGCAACTATCTGCAGAACGAGTTTGAGGAGCACTACAACACGTGTACGCACTGCAAGGATGTGGTGACGCTGGGACTGGCATGTTCGCATGCAACACGCAGCTGTTCGGCGCGCTACCACATGCACTGCGCGCGCAATACTATCGGCTCCGCTGTAAACGACGACGAAGCCCTGGCGCGATTGACGGGCTTTCCGTGCCCCGTTTGTCGCCGCTCCTGGAAGTCCCGTCCCATCGGCCCCAAGGCTCTAAGGCTTACGGATCGCGATACGCCCTTCAGCTCCCAGCCCGAACACTCACGAACCCAGCCCGCGCAAGACGACGACGACGATTCCGACGCCGAAGTCGATTCCCAACTCGCCTCGCTCGACGGCGAAGAAAGCCCGCAACAGGCTACCACCGTCAAGCCAGAACCAGCAACAACCCAACCCGCACGCCGCCAAAGCCAGCGTCGCCGCATCGACGACAGCGACGACGACGAACAAGATGTCAAACCCCGCCGACGCCTCCGCTAGCTTTCGCACTCTTCGCAATCATACCCCGAGCCTTGAACGTGTTCACTCGAACCACCTTGTGAGCTTAGCGCTTCTCCACTCACGTTTGTCAGACAGGCGCGCACGGTGGAGAGGACAAGACGATTTTGACAAACGTCTATGGGGAGTACTAATACAAGCGATGCAGAGGTATGACGGCGACACTGAGTTGGCATGCGACCTCGAAGAGATCAGTAACATGCCGTGGTATGTTGGAATTATGCTGAATGGGAACCGGGAAACGTTGCAGAGAGAAAGCTGGTGGGCTGAGCGCGTCCGACGAGTTAGTGTGCGAGACCACGCGTCGCCTGGGTGCGCTCGCTCTCGAGCTTGGCCTTGTTGGCGGCAAAGGCGGCGTTGCGCACCTGCTCGACCTGCGCACACTTGTGCTGCTCGGGCAGACGGTGCTTTCCGCAGAACTTGAGGCTGCAGTGCGGGCACTCGCCCACGAGGTTGATGGCTGCATCCTTGCACTGCGACTCGGTACCCGCGCCGTTCTGGCAGCGCTTCTTGGCACCGCCACGCAGACGCAGCACTAGGTGGAGCGTCGACTCCTTCTGGATGTTGTAGTCGGAAAGTGTGCGGCCGTCCTCGAGCTGCTTGCCGGCAAAGATGAGGCGCTGCTGGTCGGGGGGAATACCCTCCTTGTCCTGGATCTTGGCCTTGACGTTGTCGATGGTGTCCGACGACTCGACCTCGAGGGTGATCGTCTTGCCCGTCAGCGTCTTGACGAAGATCTGCATGCCACCGCGCAGACGGAGGACGAGGTGGAGAGTAGACTCCTTCTGGATGTTGTAGTCCGACAGAGTGCGGCCATCCTCGAGCTGCTTGCCGGCAAAGATGAGGCGCTGCTGGTCGGGGGGAATACCCTCCTTGTCCTGGATCTTGGCCTTGACATTGTCAATGGTATCCGAGGACTCGACCTCGAGGGTGATGGTTTTGCCAGTGAGAGTCTTGACAAAGATCTGCATGGTGGATGGCTGAGTCGCGGGTTCAAGTGAGACTCGACGAGTGTTGGGAGGTGCGAGCGCTGCGGCTAGATAGGTTGCGTGGATGTGCGTGCGAACGGACGAATGCGTTCGCAAAAGACGCGGATAGGGTCAAGCTTGGTGTGGATAGCGGATGAGGGTGGTGGTGGAGTGAGAGCGATGAGGGTGGCGGGGTCTTATACGAGGAGGGTGGGATTTGAGTGACTCAGGTCGGGCGAGCTTGCACCGGCTGCAAGCGGCGTGGGCGTGGCGTGCGGGAGTGGGTGCGGGAGAGCGAGCGGGAGGCAGTGTGTGTGTGCTTTGCAGTTGCGTTATCTGCGGACTCACGCAAGCGGCCGGCCGGGCTAAGCTAGGCTGAGCCTGAATTTCGGGCCCAAAAAGACGGGGGGCAAGGCTGGGCAGTCGCAGCCGTGAGCCTTGCGTTATCGCCCTGACTGCATTTCGAATTTGGATTTTCACCGCTGGCGGGCCCGGTGTGCCTCGGCGGCGGCGGCGGTCGGTGGTGGTGATTGCAATTCGAAATGACGGATTTGCAAGCGTGTGTTTTTGGCGGCCGGTGTGGCGAACCCTCCACACGCGGCCGCATTCGCGCAGTTTCATGCAGGCGCCTACTCTAAATCCACCCTCTCCTCTCTTTAGTGCGTCTCGAACCAGCTGTGGGCTGAACTCAGACTGTCTCGTCTCTGTCTTTGGCTGGCAAAACCTCGGCCCCCTTTTTTTCGCTCAACCTCCACAGCCCTCTTTGTGCTTCTGCACCTTTCGGCTGCAAGTTGCGACGTGGCGCGCCGCCCGCTATCGTTGGTCGGGGATGACGCGTCCCCTCCCTGCCTCTGAGTCGAGAGCGAGAGGTGATCGAAAAAAGGGCCACATGGCAACGTCGCCTAGCACAGCCCCTGACAGCCTGTCTCGCGCGTTCCTCTTTCGCCGCTGCCCTTGACTCGAACCCTGGATTACCCAGCAACGGGGGCGTTCGGAACCAAGTGTCTCGCCTTGACCCGTCACCGGGCAACTCGGGACCTGTGCTTCAGTCCCGCCTCCGGAGCATCACTCCTTGCACCGCACAGCTAGGAACATCTTGCGTCAGTTCGAAAGATGAGTTGATCGCGTTTTGAGGAGCAGTTGAGTGATGCGCCGGGTAGAGGACGGACGAAAGCGGCAGGTCCAGCCTGGCTGCTTGGCGGCGACTGAGCGCCTTGTGGAGGCGCCCCTCCGAAATGAAACCCCATCCGCATCTCGGATCGCAGCACGTCGTGTATGTCATCGAGCATCTGAGCATGGACTGCTCCGCACGCTCGCCAGCTGTCTACCCCACATCGTACCGAGTCATGCCGAGCACCAGGCGCAAGATCTGATCCCCAATTGGTGAGCAATTGAGCCAAGAGCCAGGAACACGTCGATGCAGCACTCTCCTGCGCCGCTCTCGCGTCTCACGCTGCGCCCAAAGTCCGACCTGTCACATCCATTGCGGCCTCGCCAGCGCACGTCATAAAAATCACCTGGTCATTCACAAACCCGACGTCGCAGGCACGTCTAAGGGGTGTGGTATCTACTGGCATCATCGTATCAACTACATGTATGTGTATGGGCAAAAAACGCAAAGCAAACGCATCTAGGCCACGCGACTCGCCAAACGGCGGATGGCAGGCACCGTGATGTACGCCGGGCAGTAGGTCTCGATGCCCGTCACCTCGCGCGGCAGCGGCAGCTCGTACGGCCCCGCCTCGTCCACCTCGGGCGGCAGCAGCAGGTGGTCGTTGCGGTCGTTGGGCACCACGCGTGACGCCACCGCCTTGAGGATCTCGGGCGAGATCGGATTCTCGTAGTCGGCCACATAGTAGTGCGAGATGAGCTTCTGGATCTGCGTCGGCGTCAGCATCCAGCACACGTCGTAGATGATGTCAATGTCGCCCAGCGTCGCCTTCTTGAGCTGCAGCAGCTTGGTCGCCTGCATGAGGTGCTCCAGCTGCAGTGTCCCCTCGGGCATGTCGTGCGACTTGCACCACTCCTCGATGCGCGTAATGTTGTACTGGATCTGCATCGCCCGCTTCCACGAGCAAAAGTTGCGGCGCATCAGCAGATCGTTGAAGCTCGTCACGCCAATCAGCTTCAGCAGCTCCGTCACCACCTGCTGCGTCACCGACGGCTCCACGTAGTAGCTCTTGAGGCTCTTCCACACCTTGTTGAGGATGCCCAGGATGTCGTCCATGGTGTGCGTAGGCGTCGAGTTGTTCGACAGCAACCTGTTGAACAGTCGGCCCGAGTGGTCGCTCGTCACAAACCCGGGCAACGACTGGCTCTCCACGAGCGCAGGGATCACCATCTTGTGCAGTCGCTTCTTGGCCTCCTGCATCCAGGTGTGGTAGATGTTGTACTCGAGCGAATCCAGGTCGTGCTTAACGATCGTCACCAGACGCTCGTAGTCGCCCCACTCGAACGAGCGCGCCGACCCGTCCACGCCCGGTCCGATGCCTTGCAGCATGTCGCTCTCGGCGATGCACACAAACGACAGGATCTCGTGCACGTTGGACAGCCAAAAGATGCCCGGGATGATCGCCTCCTCGCCCTGGAACGACATGACGTGCTGCTGGATCGTCTGCATCACGTTGGCCAGGAAGCGCTCCGATTCGCGCACCAGGCCGTACTTCCACATCTCGTTGGTCACCAGCGAGATGAGGTGTGCCGGGAAGAGCACCTCCTTGGGCGATGGCGGGTTCTGCAGGCTCGGAGCCGGCACCTTGAGGAATCGGATGAGTCCGTTGAGCACGTCCTCGTCCAGCTGCTCCTCGTTCTCCAGGATGCGGATGATCTCCTCGGACGGGTCGTCCTCGTCGTACTCCTCGTCGTAGCCGTTGCGCTGGCCGCCGAGTCCGGGGATCTGGTGTCCGTCCAGGCCAAAGGCGACCGAGACGTGGCGGTTGGCAGTCGCCGCGCTGCGCTTGGCGGCCATCATGGCCTCTTCGTGCTCGTCGCGGCTGAGAGGCTGGTCGCTCCACGGTCCCGCCTCGCTGTGGCGGCGCGGTCGGCGCTTGGGCCCGCTGTTGGCGTAGCCGTTCTCCTTGCCCGTCGCCATGTTGAAGACCGGCGGCGCTGCATTCTCGATACGCTGCGAGTTCTTCTGCAGCGTGTTGAGCGCATTGGCACGGTTGAGCTGCTCGCGCAGCGAGGCCACCTCGGATCGCAGCGAGTTGATCGTGGCGACGTCGTCCTCGGACGACTTGGTGGCGCCGTTGAGCGCGTCGGAGCGAGCCTGCAGCTCGTCGGCCTGACGCTCGATCTCGGCGGTGAGGTCGGCGATGCGCTTGTCCTGCTCGGCGATGCGCTTGAGCGACGCCTCCTGCTTGGCGTCGAGCTCGCGCTTGGCAGCCACGAGCGCCTCGAACTCGGCTAGGGCCACGGTGGGCTTGGCGAGCTCCTCGGAGAGGCCACGGTTGCGACCCTCGATCTCGTCGTGCTTGCCCTGCCACGTGAGGATCTGCTCCTCGAGCGCCTTGATCTTGCCCGAGAGCTCCTTGTTGTCCTTGATGCGCTTCTGTAGGTTCTGGGTGAGCTCGACCACCTTGTTCTCGAGCTTGTACGAGACCTCCTTGAAGTGCGACACGGACTTGGCCTCGTTTCGGCGCGCGATGAGCTCCTTCTTGGCAAGGCGGCGACGGTAGCACGACTGCAGGTGGACGACGCCTTGACGCTCCTTGCGGTACTGCCTGCGGGCCATGGCACCTCGCAGCAGCGCCTGGAGACGCGTTGCCGAGAACTCGACCTTGGCGGTCTTGTACTTGGATCGCACTGCACGGCCACGGGCGACGCTCTGGATCTTGATGACGGCATCGCGCGTGGTGAGGTACTTCTTGCGAGCCAGGAAGCCGCGTGCGACGGTCTGGATCTTGGTGGCAGCGGTGGTCTGACGCAGATCGTCGACGTACTTGATGGCCAGGCGCATACGCCACCAGGACTGAACCTTGACGGCGTTGACGCGCATCGCCTGGTACTTCTTCTGCTGGACGTGGCGCCTGAGGTTCTTCTGGATGACGGTGGTGACGGCATTGAGGCGGTCGGTCCTCCTCTGCTCGAATTGGGCGAGCATGCCGGCTCGGAAGAAGATCTTGGTGAGACCGACCTGATACTTGTCCTTCTCGGTGATGGTGGATGTGAGGATGTGCGTTGCGAGCGCCTTGACCTTGTCCATGTCGGACATGTTCCATCGATCCGAAGAGACGAGCATGTAGTATCGCTCGGCAAAGTCGGCAAACGTCCATCGCGACGGGTAGCCTGCACAGCTGATGCGGATGGTCTCGAGCACACCGCAGGCGCGCAGCTGTCCGAGCACGTTTTGCGGCTCGACCTCCCACGCCTTTTTGGCCTCGTTGGGCTTGATACAGCGAATGTAGTGGACGTTGGTGCTGTCGATCGTCGCCATGAGGCTGACGAGGGAGCTCTTGAACTGCGAACCGAGGGTGGGCTTCTTGATGCTCGCGCCGGGCAGCTTCTTGGGCGCCGGCTTGGCCGGAGCGACGCCTGCTGCGGCGTCGGTGGGCTCGTCGGGCTTGTGCAGGTTGAGGGCGGTGTCGAGCACCTCCTTGAGGAAGGGGTTGGTGGTGCTGTTGAGCAGGTTGAGGTGCTCGTCCGGCACCGTGTCCTTGTTCTTCTCGACAAAGCCGGCGCTCGAGTACTCGACGTCGAGCGCGTAGTGGCAGACGGTGAAGCTGGTTTGGCCGAAGCGCGGCTTCTTGAAGGCATTCTTGAACTCGGGTCGCTTGTCCATCTGCGTGTAGAGCTTCTGGACGAACGACTCGTCGGAGCCGGAAGGCAGCCTGGACTCTTCGTCGAGGAGCGAAAGGATGCCGAGCTTGCCCTCGATCATGTCGATGCAGGGCTGGTTGTCGGAGAAGTCGATAAAGGTCCACGAGATCTGCTCCTGGAGGTACTCTTCCTGCTCGAGCTTGAAGACGTGGTGGTTGAACTCGTGCTGGAGGCGCTCGTTGGCG